TAATATTATAAAGGGTAAATTTTTATTAATTATATATTAAAGGGTTATAAAAATTATATTATTTTATAACCTTTAAAGTAATATATATTTTATAATAAAATATTTTATAAAACGTTAGGTTTATTTATTTATATTTAAAGCTAAATAAAATATTATTTATTTTTTAATAACTTTATAGGAAATTATTAAATTCTTTAACTACTTAATATTACTTTTATAATTTAAGTTTATTATTTTATAAAGATAATATAGTTTATATAATTTAAATAATTTATAGTTTTTATAGGGTTTTTTTAATATTAGTTTTTAGCGTTTTTTAAGGTTAATCTTTAGAATGTTTTTTTATAAAGTATTTATAGACTTTTAAAGCTTAAGGGTTTTATAGTTTTTTATTAAATTTTTTACTAAAGATTTTTTATTTTTTTTAATAATTTTTTTAATTTTATAGTATTATTTAAGGTCTTTATTTATTATATTATAGATATAATATAGTTCTTTAAGTCTTTAAAATTTACATTTATAATATAATTTATATATTTTTCCTTTTAAAAGTTTTTTTTTTTAGTTCTTTTATAATATAGTATTAAAAAGACTATTATTATTTTTTTTAAGTATAACTATAGCTTTTATATTTTTTAATATTAAATATACTTTTATAAATATAATTAAAGTATTATTAATATTACTTTATTTTTTATATTTTTTAATTTACTTTTTTAATTTAGCTAAATTTTTAAATTTATTAAAGAGTTTTCTTAAGTTTTAGTTAATAACTTTATTATTTTTATATTTATTAATTTATTAAATAACGTTTAAAGTTTTCTTTTTTTTTAATACTTTAGGAAATTATTTTATATTTTATTTTTTACTAAAATAAGTTTTATATTTATTATTATAATATTTTATTTAACTAAGGGATTTATATAGGATAATATTAATAATATTAATTATTTTATTTTTAAATTTAAGTATTAAAGTTTATTTATTATTACCTTTTTTTTTTAATACTTTATAATATTTTTTTATATAGCTTTTTTTTTTATAGTTAAAATATTTAATATTTTTATGTTATTCTTTAATAGTATTTAAGTTTATAAATTTTAATTATTTATTATTAAAAAATATAAGATTTTATTTTTTACTTTAGTTTATATTATTATATTATATATAAAAATTTCTTAGTTTTTTTTTTTTTTTTTTTTATTTATATTTTTAAATTTAATTATTTATAATAATAGCTTATTATATATAGTTAAAAAAGCTTATTTTTTTATAGTTAACTTTATATAGTTTATTTTTAACTTTAGGTTTTATTATATAATAATAGGCTTTTTTTTTACTTTTTTTAGTTTAATTAACCTTTATTAAAAAGTAAATAAAAATAGTAATATTTTTTAAAAAAAATCTTTTTTAATATATATTTTAAAGGAGTTTTTTAACTTTTTATTCTTTATTAGCGGTTTTAAATAATTTTTTTAATTATTTATAAAAGTTTTAATATATTTTAAAAACTTTTTAAATTTATAGTTTTTAGTTATTTAAAGTATTAACCTTAAAGTCTTTTATAATAAGTTAAGTTTATTTTTCTATTATTTCTATTAAATAAGTAATAATAAAAATAGTTTTATTTTTATTTTCTTTTAATATAAATAGAAAATATTTAAAATAAATATTAAATTTTATAAAGTATTTATTTATTTTTTAAAAGTCTTTATTATATAGGTTAAATTTTTTTAATTATAAAACTTTATTATATTTTTTTTTTTTACTTTAAAAGCGTTAATTTTTCCTTAAAGTATTTTAATTATAGCTATAGCTTATTTTAAAGTTAAAGTTTCTTTATTAACTATTGCTTTATTATTTTTTTTAAAATTATTTTTAATTTTAATATTATTATTTAAATAATTACTTTAGGCTTTACTTTTATAATTAATTTTAACGTTTAGGACTTAAAATTTAATTATTTAATGTTTTATTTTATATTATTTATAAGTCTAAGGTAACTGTTTAAATAAAAGTTATTAATATATAATAAATTAAGTCTTATATATTAGTCTAGGTTAACTGTTTTTAAAGAATAAACCTTTAGGTTTTAGGTTTATATTAATAAAGCAGTTAAATTAAATATAAACGTTATTTTATTAATGTTATATAGTTAGTAAATATAGTAATTAAATTTAATTTAATTATTATATTAATAACTAACTATTTAAACTATTTAAATAAGCATAAGAATATAAATTTATATACCCAGTTACTTTAAATTAAATTAATAATTTAGGTATTAATTTATGTTTAGATTAATAAATGTTTTATTGATTTTTTATTAAATTAAGAAATTATATTTTAATCCTTTTTTAATTAGTTAAAGGATTAAAGTTAATCTGTTTTAGGTTAACCTATTGGCTTATTGTTGTAACTTTAAGAGTTGGGTTATAATAATAATATACCTTTTTATTTATTAGTTAACTATAATAGAAAGTAATATTTAATATTTTAGGTTTAATGTTAATAAACTTATTAATATTCTGTATTAATAGGTTATTAATAATAATATTTATGCTCTTTAGTAATATAAATAAAAAAAATAAACCTTTAATAAATTCTAATAAAAAAACAGTATTAAGGTTTTTTACTAACTTATATTTAAATATTTTATAATATTATTTAAGGTTTATTTATATTTAATAAAATATATTAAAATGTTATATAAAGTCTTTTAACTTATTGTATTTTATAAATATTAATTATTAAAATTATTATATAGTTAAATATACTATATTATAGTTAAAATAGTTTTATAATATTATTTATATTTAGTATATTAATAATATAGTTATAATTAATATAATAATATTAAGATATACTGTAAATATAATTATTACTATAGTTTTATTATTATTTTTTAATTATTAATTAAATTAAGTAGTTTATTTATTAATAATAAGTGTAGTAATAACTAAATGTAGCATTATATTAGAAATAATATTTTATAGTTTAGTATATTAAAACGCTATAGTTTATACTGTTTGCTATTTAGCGTAATTATCTCCCCTATTAGTTAACTAAGGTAAACTAAATAAATTAAGTTTAAATATAAAAACGTTATTTAATATTATAATAAGGTTTTATAAAGTTATTTAATAGTTTATATTTTAATATATTAGTTATATATTAGAATATATTAAGTATAGTTATTTATTTATTTATTAATGTCTGTCGACAATTAATATTAAAAGGTTATAGAAGGATAATATATTTCATTATAGAAGATTAAAATTAAAAAAATAATAGTTAGTAAAGCGCTGGGTTTATAATCTATTAAAGTACGTATGTAAATGAATAAAATGAACGAATATATTATTATATTGTAAAAGAATAAACTAACCGACGTTGTAGGACGTTTAATACAATCTATACTCGCTAATAAGGTTTACTAACAAACTATAACTGATACTGTTCCTTCCAACAGGTTGGAGCTGGATGTACCTGTTCTTGCCAGCCGCTGTTGGAACAGGAAATGGTTGGTAGAATGGGTAGTTCATATTTGAAGCGTAAACAGAGACCCATAAAAATGTCGTCTTCTTGATCAGCGTTGAGTCCGCTTTGATAAAGTCGTTGACCTTGTTCTTGCTCACGTAATGAGGAACCGCGAACTTGCCATCGCTGATACGACAAGTATTAGGGAGGGTAGACCAAATGAAGTGTTCCAGTGCTAGTGTCGCACTTGCAGCTTTAGCAATGTTGATCCCCTGAGTTGTCTCGATTTCGACAGCCTGTTCGTTGCCGGAATTGATGAACGGCTCAAAGAAGTTGGTTGCGGCAAATATGATGGATGTGCCAGCAAACGCTACCTTAAGTGAGGCAATATCGTCGAGATTAGCCTCAATAACACGAATTCCCTCTGAAGCGAGTTTTCGAGCTGCATCGCTTGAACTATTTCGGGTGATGGCTGTAAGTGAGTAGGCGCCGTCTTTCACCAGAGCTCTAATGACAGAGCCGCCCTGGATACCTGTGGCGCCGATAACTGTGACGTGCCTGACCATGGCGCTAGTCTTAGATTTTGGGTTGCCCTTATTACCACGGCAATTAACCCGACTTTATATCACAAAACGATGGGTAACGTTGACCATGTTCAACCTCTAACTTTTGTGCGATATCATAATAATTGCTTTGATTGATCTTTTTCGGTTATCTCCACCCAATTCCACTCCATTTCACTGGATTTATTACAAATCGAGTATATACATGAGATTTGTAATGAGAGCCTATAGTATTCTAACCACGAACCAAAATATGCAGTTCCACTGAAGTCCGCACCTGGGCTGAAACACAATTTCGTCACGAGTGCAGTGCTTTCTTGGTGGTATGATCTGAGGACCCATTGTAGCTTGAACGTAACAAGCCAATCAAAATACTTATTTATATATATATATACTAATATTAAGCTTTTTTAATTAAGTTGCAGGGTAAGTTAAAGGTCACTGTGGTGCTGATATAACTACAGTGGGGCGAGTATATGCAACATGCCTTACCTGCTTCAAAGGGATAGGGTGAAAAGTATCGCGCTAATTTCAGAGCCAGGCATAAAGACGAAGGAATCAGAAGATATCAGCAGTCAACAGACATTTGGCTGAGGGCAATTTCTTTCATTTTTAGGATATAAATCTTATTTAGATCAGTGCTTGCTCGAGTAATAGATATTCTAGAACTACGTAGACTATGGGAACCATTTTTCTTATAATCAAGGCGCAGCGATCCAGCCACTATCGGCGCTCCCAGCTAACCACAGCTGGCGCCTTTGGTCGAGAGAAAAGAGACAATAGTCGGTCTTGGGAAGATTGTCCTCCTCAGCCGGCGCCAGTAATGAGGACGGTCAGGCCAGCCAGTGGTTCTTGGGAGACCGCATTAGAGAGAGCTGTATAAGACGATTTGTGATTTTTGACAAACGACACCATGTTTGATGATGATCAATGGTAAAGACGCGGAAGAAAAGGACCGACAATTAGACCTAGAATCTTTTGGCTGATAGATAATTCGATTCTGGAGTCAACGTATAAGAGACGACCCACTTTGTAGGGCAGACCTTAGAGCCTCACATCGTGATTGCCACACTCCTATTGCAGCTTACAAATCCGTAATTCCATGAGGATCTATGTTGTCCATTTGTCGGGACTATACGAAACCATGTCCATCTGCAACAGAGCTGTTGGCTGTTTTCCTCACACAGCGGTGACATCAACGCCCACCACCCACTGGTGTTGAGTTAGCGTAATGCCTCGTTTCGATTCAATAGAATTCGCAAGGTCTCTCATGCTGCCATTGTCTGACTCTGCATTCGATTCCTAAGCCTATGTGCTTACACAAATGCAATCAATATGCGGCATGCCCATCACATCACGCTGATTTAGCTCCACCCATTTCCGCAATCTGCCAAGCCACGCACCTGCCTCGCTCCACAAATCTCCGCGACCCCACACCTCCATGGGACACGAGGAAGCGCTTCTCGCGTATCTACATGTAGAAACTGTAAATTGTTTCTCAAGCAGCAGTTGTACATAAGTGAGATACAATTGCCTGATATTATTAGCCCAAGAAAGGAGGTCAGCAACTATGTTCAACTCACTCCGAACAACTTTCTACCAGAGGAGCAATCACTTTTTAAATAGCCGGTTTATCAGGCTGCACTCGGCCTTTACCTTTACAGCCAAGATGCCGGTCACTGAACTTGTCTTCATGCGCCCCAAGCCAGACACTCAGTTGCGAAAGGAGCTTAACGCCAAGCTAACTGGTGTACTAAGTGGAGTATTCTCTAAGCTCCCCAGTCTTGATGTTTTATGTGTTGGATTGAACTTCGATGGCTCGAGTGAGGATACACATCTTCGGGACACAATATGCCTCTTTCTGCGTAGGTTTACTACAGCCCATGGTCAGCAAGAGAAATGCTTGTGTCATTATATAGAATGGCAAAGTATTTCAGGATTTGATTCCTTCATTGAGTCACCCGAATTTACTACGTTCAAAGAATCCATGCTGCCATACTTTACCGGCCCCCCTGACATTCAATTATATCAGTCGTCCGAAGAGAGACTGCTTCGCATAATAGCGAATCCGTCATATCTTCATATAATGAAGTCACATCCCGATGTTGGCAACACTGAAACTAGCTTGCAGCATCGAATCGCTATCAATAATGAGTGGGAAACTTTTATTGAGCGATCTAGATTAGCCTCAGGCTCCAAGGAGAGTTTAGTCTTATAGTTAAATGGTTTTGGGTTGCGAAAAGACAATAACGCTTTCCTGAGTGTAGCTGGTTGGAGAGATCACAAGGTGAGCAGCCAACGGCTCGTGGTGCTTTTTTTGATCTTTCGCACTAATGAGGTATAGTTGATTAACTTAACCATGAATGACTTAGATGTTAAGCATAGTCTCCAACGACTGCAAGATATAACAGGGGCGAATAGTTGGGATCACTTTGTCTTTAAAATACAACAAGTTGCTTTGGATAAGTAATAACCATAGTCTACGTTGTCTATACTGAAAGTTATATACTCGCCGTGATTTTTGGATGGGGACAGAATATAGCAGAGGGAGTCGCCAAATACTTTCTGCTAGACATAATAGCTTCGTCTCCAAAAAACATCTTCCATAAGATAAGTTCGTTAGTGTATAATGAACATTGTTGTTAAAGTTTTCAAGTGCCCTTCGAATTCTGGCTAGGTCTGACGTGAATTCTACATCTTCATGGGAGATCGTGAATTATGGTTAGATATAGCATATCTGGGCGGGCACTGATCGATAATCGGTATATTCTCAATTTCTGGTATGTGGTTCTACGGTGCCTACGGTATAAGAGCATTAGGATTAGTCTTTTTTTTTTTTTTTTTGTAGAATTAGGGTTTCAAAGGGCTAGCTATTATGATTCTAGGTAGCCATTCTACTAAACAGGTTTCTTCTAGCCATACCTCAAGCTGATATAATAGGGGCCGGAGCACGGAGCCATTCGCACAGGTTTATCCAGGTTCCTCCCACTTCATATTATAAATGCGACCGCGCCTCAGCTCCAGTTCTGTCCGCTAGCATTAGTATCCACTGGGTATTTCTTGCTTCTAGAGAGTAAAAGAACTAGTTACTAAGGTATCTATCTTAATGAAACCAGCTTGTGAGATCGAAAGTCACTTTTCACTCTCCGCTCTAGGATAACAATCTTAGCGATGAACCTTTTGCCTTAAGTAAATTTAAAAGTTAATAAGTAAATATTATTTAATAACTTTTAATTTTTGATTTTTATAAATAAAGTTAAATTAATTTGCTTTTCCTAAGTAAGAGGTTTGGGCTAATAAAATGCTATGTAAGCTCTCCTGGATTCGATATCCTGTATCTTTAGGTGCCTAGGACAAGTCAACGTGTCCAAATACTCAAATACATTGTCAATTTGATGTAGCACATAGTTCAAAAGAGACAAAAAATGTGGAAGCGACCCTCACTTCAAGGCATCTCTCAACTCGTCATACGTCGGCGCCAGCTCACTCAATATCTTAACAGCACTCTCCACATCACCGATGGTAAGAGGATATTGCAATCTACCAACCAGCCTGGCCTGCTTGGCCATGATGGCCGCAGCATCAACAAGTCCAACTCTCTCCAAGCAAGTAGTACCATCAGCGAGACGACGTGCGCCGACGCGCACAGCAAAGTAGATGAGCGGATTCTTCACGCCAGGATGGAAATTGGTCTGAATCATCTCGGCAAGCTTCTCCGCTGCTTTGCGGTTGCCGCACGAACTAGGGGGCATGTCGCTTGCCTTGACGGACTCCATACCAAGCCACCTACGGGCATTGGGCAAAGTGCGCCTGATAATGTCTTCTTCTGTGAAGCTTTGAACGTGCTTAAACTCACTTCGCATCATGTACGACGTGCCGTAGCCGAGGGAATCCGTCCTCCACGCCGTCAGAAACTCGGACACAGGAATAGACGCATACGGGAAGCCATGGGGATCGTGCAAGTCCACCATGTCGTCTTGGATGCCCAGCACAACGACGTAGTGATCTGCGCCAATGGGTCCGTTGTTGCCGGGTTGGTAGCACAGATATCCCATCTCGACTGGTCCAACAAACACAGGGCCATTTTCAAGCTCCTTCTTCAGAGAAGCGAGGGCGTCATCTGCGTCCTTGCCAACAGTGAGCTTGGAAGTCCACCCTGCGGCCTCGAGCATGTCCTCAAAGGATTTGAGAGGATCCCAGCCAAAGGGGTCGAAGAAGATAATGTTTTTTTCTATAAACTGCATCCCAAAGGGACTGCAGGTGGCGAATTCAATGACAGCTGTGGACGGGGCTGCTGGGCCCATCATCATGGCAAACGAGTTGGCGTAGCAGTAGGGGCCTGAGCCGGTGTATGCATGGTGAGACATTTTGTTTGACACTTGGTGCTTTGTGTTGAGAATTGGATGGAGAAAAAAAAACTGTTTGGTTGGTGTTGCCTTGACAGCGTTGTGTTGTAAACGGGCTGCTTATATGTTCAAAATGGCCAAAATCTAGAATTTACGCGGGGGACTTGGTCATCTTCAGCTCCCAAATTGGAGCCAATGGCGGTTCATGGCGAGGAACAGCTTGCACCAAAGAGGAAAGCAGCAGATGACGGGCGTACTTCGGGCGTGAGCGAATGGCAAAAATTCTCCAGGGGCGGCGTCGTGGGGATTTTGGTTGTTCATTTGGCTCTAGGGTGAATGTTGAGCACAGATTGCTGGCGGGGATGGCTGTGAATTTGTGATTTGGCGCACGCACTTGTTTGTTGGTACGGGAGCATTTTGCGTAGCCGAGCTGGCACTGGGGTGAATGTTGAGCACAAATTGCTCGCGGGGATGGCTGCGAATTTGTGATTTGGTGCACGCTCTTGTTTTCAGGTGTAACCTCAACTGACCCATCACTGTTATGACCCAACACATTTATTATTTGTGTATAGGAAAAAGTAACTAGCTACCTATGTATTGTTGCTCTGTAGAACTGATCCACCTAACTGCGTGTGTGCGCTGTTTCACAGGCCTGAGATATTCTTGCACGTATCATTTACCGCCCAATTTCAAATTCATCAGAGGTAAATATTTCTGCGATCCGTGAACATCATCTTCCATGAAGCCACCAGATGCTGCAGGCCGTCCATTGCGCATACGAGGAATAGTAGCCTTGAAAGCCAGAGCCTGGTCGAAGAAACCGCAATACACAATGTTATCAAGAGAGAGATCGTACAGCTCTGCAATTAGTTGGGGTCGAAGAAGGCCAGAATTCTTGACTCGGTCATAGGTGTCTTTGCTGTTAAAGATGATGTCGAAGGTGATTTCGTATGGGCCCGCATTTTTTGACCTAATAACCTTTGCTGCCTCACCGACGGTTTGAGGCATCGGGGTAATAGGGTGCACGATCTCGGGTACTACATTGGCTGGTGTTGGGCACAAATGTACATCCTCCAGTCGATCGATTGTGTCAACATCTGGATGCCTACGTTGTACTCGTTCTCCAGCTCCGATAAGTAGAGCCTCAAAAGAGAATAGCTTCTTCTGTTTGCTTTGATTCACGTGAAGAATCTCGGTGGCGTCTTCTTCCCCATCTTCTAGGTTCATCAAATGATAGATCGAAAACTCAGCACAGAGGCCTGTCTCAATTTCTCCCTTTCCCCCCAACCCAAAGCCAAAATTGCCGCTCGTGGCTTTTTGACCTTGATATGGTCCGTGGACACACCCAACTCTAGCACTGGAAGCAACGCTCGTAGCTGTTACTTGTGTCTCAGCGAGCGCTTCAGCAACCACAAACACGTTTTTCGCATGGACTGCCTTGTTAGCCTCATCATATCCGTATATATGGAATCCAAGCTCCCATTTCTCTGCGATATGTGCGTGCTGCTGAGCCACGTATGCTTTTACCCTCTCCAAAAGAGAGTGTAGCTGAGAAATCAAAATCGGATCTACAAAGGATCCAATGAATATAGTCCGATAACCGATGACTTTAGCACCTTCTAATTTGACTGTGTAGCAACTACCGCTTCCCTTTGAAGAGTGAAACGTAGTCCCACTGACCCTGACCGAGCAGTTATCTGACAGCAGCGAATAGGTGGAGGAAGAAAGATCAATATATCCTCCAGGACCATGAAGCTGGTCAGGGCGAGATTTCTCGTATAGTGTATGGGCAGCGACGCTGGCGGGAGTACATACAGCTCCGGGGAGAAGCGGTCCCACGTCAAATGTGCCGTCTCTGTAGATCATTGCCTGGGAGGAGGGGCTCTTAGGTGTAGCACATAAGCCGCCGCATTCCATAATCTTGCCCATATGTGTGAACCCTCCCAAAATATGGCTGTCAAGGGAAAGGACGGGACGATACGATTGGTTAAAGGCATGGTAGGCGCTAAAGGCAACGTATGGCGCTGGATCGTAGGAACGGCCGCCAACAATGATGTCAAAGTCTGGGTGAGCAGACATGGCTCGTACGTAAGGCTCTGGGCCCATTTATCCAACAATGGTCTTTGAGGCCTCGACGTCCTCAACCGTCAAGGGGGGCACACATGGGCCACAGCCAGAGATGTTTCCCATTCGCAGTCGCTCCAATACGGTAGTGCCGTCAATTTCGCTATAGATTGCCAACACTTTCAGCTGAGCAGCACTGCAAAGATGATCAACTTTAATTAGCAAACAGCCCAAAAGATACATGGTTGAGTGATTATGCTTACTTGTTGCTTGAAGATGCCATAATCTCTTTGATAATGTCCACAAGCTCCCTGACATGACCATTGCTTCCATCTCCTCCTGCTGATCCAATAATTACCGGAAGACGGTATTTGGTTACTATAGTGACAAGTTTCCGTAAATCCCTTTCATAGGATGCGCGAGGGCAGGTCATTGTTCCTAATGCCAACTTCATAGGCCCTGAATCCGTAGAACCAGAGTCCAAAATGATTGCAGTGGGTGTTTTACTGATCAATGAGTATTCTAAAGCATCCTTAATATCAGATTCATCGAAGCCATAACCCAGCATCCCAACAGGTGTAATAATGCGGCAAAGCGGCTCAAGGCCTGATGCGAGAGTGGTGAGAGAACCCATCTTGCTGAGGTAGTTCAAAGAGACTGGAATACGTGAAAGCACAAAATTGGCGACACTAGTTCAAATGATTCTTCATAAACTCAGATATTTGAGTTGCTTATTAGAACTCTGTATCTTATATACGTTATACAACGTGCTGGCATACATGGGCACTGTCTCCTGGCGCTATGGAGTTCAAGCGAATTCCGCTCCGACTTCCCGCATGCCGAATCAGCCGCCCTCGGCCCAGCAAGCGAAAATCGGCTGCTGGCTTGTCTTTGTTATGGACAGCGAATTCGAGGCCCATCGAAATGAGAGCGCTTCAAGTTTCCTCATAACCACACAGCACAGAATCGGGCAATTCTTCTGTAGTGCCGAAGATGCCGGTCACAAAGCGAACTTCCATTGCGTGCACGACCTGCCGACAGGTCAAGGTTCGCTTCCCCACGTCTCACTCAGCTGTTAGAAGGGTCCCATTTTTTATTGACATTTTTTGCCAAGCTGCGCTGTGATGCCCAACAACGATTCCCGGCCCCTTGTTCGAGGTGCGAGAAGCAAGTGAAAGCATGCGTTTTTAATCCAAGATTCAAGCGACAAGTAGTCAGAGGGTAAGCATCAATTCCCCTGCCCCGTTTTTGCATTATAGTTGCCTTGTAGTATCTCATTTTCTTCAGGACTCTACAAAAAGTGATCGAAGAGAAAGAAGAACTCGAGAAGCTCATTGATTCGTTCAAGAATAATTCCAGAGCCTTTGATGCCAGCCAATCGACACATTCCAAAAATACAAAGACGCCTGACGACATTGGTGTCGGAGTAGATACATCGCTACCAGCCGAGTGTAGGACACCATCCTCTACAACGGGAGTATACGAGCTGGGCGGTGTACATTTCGGTTCTCTTGTCGTCACTGAGCTTTTGGAACAGCAAGTATCAATCCTACAACGTAGAGAACTTTTATTCTGACTCAATACAGCTTTTATACTAAATATTTTCATCATGTTCCGTTTATTGCTTCCGGGAAATCCGCTGACACCCTCTATCGAGAAAGCGATCTTCTGTTTTGGACGTTGTTGCTCGTATCAGCACGAAATCACCCCATTCACTCGCAGCAATTTGCACGACTCAAGTCTGCTTTTCATAGGCTACTTTCAGAATACTTGATTAGAGCAATCCGCTGCATTTATACAGTTCAATCCCTCTTACTGCTCTGTGCCTGGCCTATGCCAGTCATGAGCCAGGTTGACGATCCAAGTTGGAATTACTGCCATCTTGCGGTTTCAGCTGTGCAGCAGATAGGAATTCGTGAAAACCTTCAGACCGTGGGCGACGTATCTGCCAACTCTCTAGTCTATTTTAAATCATGGCTTGGTTGCTTTGTTATTAGCACAGAGTTAGTGCCACCGAATCCCCTTCCAAACACGTGAAGCAAGATCGAGGCTTTTTGACATATCTGCTGCTTAGGCTAGCAACCGACCATGGTTTTCCACCACCGATGAGTTCCGCCGCTGGACGACTCCCAGGTATCAAGTCGTATATGCAGCCTTATTTTTCTGACGAGTTTTGGGCGCGGTGTGAACTACAGGAATACTCAATTCGAGTTTCTACAATTTTGTCGGGTATCTCTCCAAGTCAGCTACAAATGTCGCTTTTGGGCCTTCTTGAGCGCGATCTGGATTCTTTGGGAGCCAGGGTACAGAATCCACTGCCTCAGAGATATCACATTGACTTCCTGGCAGCAAAATTGCGTCTATGTGCTATACCTTTGTTGGCTTTGAAGTCCAGAGAAACTGAAAAGAGCTCAAATACCCAGGAGAGGGCAGCTTGGTATAGAGGATTCCATGCAGCTGTACAACTTACTAGCATTTATTCGAGTCTCCTTACACCCAATACGCCGTCCTTGGCCGATGAATCGTCATCTCACGGAATTCGCAAAGTTGGGGGGGTCACGGTGTATTATCCAAAGCACCTTTCCCGCGTTTTGTGCATCGCCGGGATGTATTTAACCAAGTTCCTTGCCATGGGTCAAGATCTTGAACCTCAGGAGCGAATTTTAGCCCGCAACCAGATAAAAGAGGTATATGAGACATTCCTAGCTTGGTCCACAGAAGAACTAGACGAGCCATTTCGAACTGCCCGAATGATCCGCCTTTTATCTCGGCATGCAGAAGACAAAATATCATCAGCATACTTTAGCGATAGCAGTGGAGATCCGAGTGCGACGATAGTAGATGATGGTTTGAAGATTGCGCGCAAGATTCGCGAGCGCACAGCTGCTATCCCTTCAACCCTAGGTTTGACTATGCGACCGACTAATTCCACAATACAGTCATTAACCACAAATCTAGTGGCTTCAGAAAGCCATACTAGGCCTTCTATAACTGAGAATTCGCTATCTGAGTGGAACGATTGGCTTCCAAATACATATGACGACCTCTTGGGATTTTTGGCGTCGCCCTCAAATAACTTCTTCGATGAGCCATGGACGCAGCTGTAGGCATATAGAATTAATCCTAGGGGGTTTATTAATTACATACTTTCAAGTCTTTGATAGTATTTGCGCGATGTACAATAATAAATAGGAAGTAGAACACTTATCAAGAACCTTTCATTTACATACAAAAAAAGAGTCTGACCCAACGGGGCTCTGGGATGTGATACATCAAAGGTCGTACACTACAGATCAGTGGCAGCTATTCAATGAATAAAATAACCAACACCCTCGTATACATTTAAAGTTCCATGCTAGAGCTGAAGCATCAGACTCTATTGTTGACGCATCCGCGAATCCAAGAACTTCAATGAATGACCCTGACATTTAATACCCTCATGCTTCGCACCCTCCACAATATCCAATTGGGCATTTATCCCATCTTCTCTCCACAAAGTTTGCAGTCTTTTCAAAGTGCCCAGCCTATTTTCTACCATCCTTTTGTTTTGTAATCCATTCGGCTCGGTATCCGGCTGTACGCCAGCTACCGACTCTGCATCGGGTGCTATTCGCAACTTCCGTAGCCAGGTCCAAAACTCTTCTCCCCCATGAACCTCAATATCAGCGTCGCCTACAACGAGTTGAATTTGTACTTGCTTGATCAAATCCCTATCGATACATACACCAAAAAGCTTTTCCACATCTGCTATGCCTGCAGGCCATTTCATTGAAGTGTCTAGGGCAGTCACACTCCCTGGAGCCCCAATGCTGACGGCTGCAAGACGTTCAGGGTAAAGATAGAGGAATCGATGCACAAACTGAGCACCGCCTGAGTAACCCATGAGAAATATTTTACTTGTATCAATGCCCGGCCAACAATGAGCCACCTCATCTAGCATACCCAAGAGCGCCAAGTCGGATCGTAGTGTTCGAGACCGAAGTAATTTATATGAGTCTAGGTCAAAGGGGCCTTCAAGTCCGGCAGGGAAAAGCGGCGCCATGACGGCACAGGGTGTGGATTCAGCGAAGGGGATAAGTCCTCTATCGATGTAGCAATCATCACGCAGAGTGCCATGTATAAAGACCAACAATGGAAGCTTTTGGGGAGCCTTTTGTGGTCCGTCTTTGCTTTGGGCGAGTGAGATAGACTTGTAAGGCTCAGGTGGAATGTAGAGGTCGTAAGAGACACGAGGCTCCGACGCCAGGGCTCGTCGTGGGATTTTCCCTATAAGGTATGCAGACTTTAGAAATTTTGTAGGAACATGAGCGGTGCTTATAAGAGTCTCCATCTTGAAGTGTCGGCTATGTTGGGTGAATCTTTCGAATACGAGTGAATCTAATCTTTGGTGACACTAACCAAACAGCACAATGGCCTTTATTTGTTCATAGTAGAAAGTAAACGCTAAGCGAAACTCGCTTCATGATGACTTTCAGGCAAAGACAAATTCGGCTGCGGATTACATCTCAGTTTGATCTTCGGGCTCGGTATAACCTGGGAAGCGAAACTCGCTCCAGATCTCAATTGCATGTGATTCTGGTTTCCCCACACTATGCTTCCAATAAAAATAAACTACAAAGTAGCGCTAATAAAACTTTGATTCAAAGCTCTATCTATCTCATCGTCGATGTGCCGATTCCATAGCCTGGAATAGTAATTGTTCTGGACAAGTCTTAAACAATGAAAGGCTACTACGTAACTTGCGTTTAAAGTACATCACACAGTTTAATCGATGGATTAATACTACTAGTATGGCTAGAATGCTAGCGTGGTAGTAATTTGTGATACAAAAATGCATTGCATGTTCCAATCTCAACTCATACGACATCACAGGGCTGTGCAAGGCCGCGTATGCTTTCAGTCGTAATCTCAGATAATCCTTTTCATCTTCAACCTGAGAAAAGAGAAAAAGGTGTACATTTGCGTGGAAAACAGAGAGATCTCAGCCCCTCGGACAATGGCAGCTGTGCCAATCGGACTACTTCGCTTACTACGCCGAGTTTCGCTCTACCCAGACATATTCCGGCCACTCCACTTTACCCCAGATTTTAGAATTGTATACAGTTATTGCTGGGTGGCTGAGATCCCAAGAATAATACAAATACTGCTTTACAACGAATACAGTTTTAATGACTTCTCATAAGTCTTCTCACAAAACTTCTCAATCACTCCTCAATTGGGACTCGTATCGTTCATTTCGTATTATCCAATCACGAATTACAGCATTAATTCTCCCAAAATGTCAAAGAACAATCCAGACCCGAGTATTACAACAGATTTCGAACCGGGCAAGACGGATACCTCGCATGTTGAATTTTCTGCCAATTCGAGGCTCGACAAGAAACAGCGTCGCAAACTTAAATGGAAGCTCGACTGGTTTATTTTGCCGCTCATTTCAGCTGTCTACTTCTTTGGTTCTATGGTAATCGAAGTCATTATTCTCCCGTATATACTTTCGAAGCTGATGCCATGTAACTAGGATCGCTCTGACCTCGCAAATGCTCTAATTGCCGGTCTTGAGGAGGAGTTACATCTTTCACCAAAGGACTACTCAAACGCTTCCTCCATGTTTTTGGTTTCTTATGTTGTATTCCAGCTACCGGGCACTCTATTAATCAAGAAAATACGCGCACCAGTGCAGTTTTGCGGCGCAATGGTACTTGTAGGCTGCTGATATTTTACTCATGTTTGACGAGTATTTCTGGCTAATAATTCTTCTATTTTAGTGGGGTTTACTCACCGTCCTCACGGTTTTGGTCAAATCCAGTGGTCAATTAATAGCCATGCGATTTCTCATCGGTGCTGCAGAGGCCTTTGTACAAGGCGGTGCATTTTGTATGGATGCCAAAAGCCACTTCCCCTTTTTTCTTAATACAAGGACAGGCAATACTAAGTCGTTAAAATTTCTCATAGATCTTTCATTTTGGTACGAATACCATGAGCTCGCTACTCGGAGTGCAATTTTCTTTTCAACGTCAACTCTTGCCGGTGCCTTTAATGGATTACTTGCCTACGGAATCAGCAAGAATTTAGACGGTACAAATGGATGGCGAGCTTGGAAATGGATCTTTCTTATTGAAGGAATTCTACCTATCGGGTTCGCCTTCGTTGTTCTTTTCTTTCTTCCAGCTTCGCCTTCGGAAGTTCGACACGGTTTCAGCGAGATCGAGAAAGAAGAGTTGATTCAAAGAAGTGAGAGATGTCACAATTCGTCAGAGGCGCGCCTACAACCGAAGAAGATATTAGAGCTCTTGATGAGCATACACTTCTGGCTATTTACTGTTTTATACTGCGTCTCTCTTTTCACAGTATCTTCCTTGTCTAATTTCCTACCCGCGCTCGTTCATGTAAGCCATCTATTGATTCACCTCACGAGAAACCCCGTGTTTCACCAGACTGATTCTTGACAGGGTTTTGGATACAGCTCAATCGGGGCTCAGTTGTTCACAGTGATCGTATATGCATGCGCTTGCTTGGGCATTCTATTCTTCTCCAGAATTGCGGACAAAACAAATGCTCGCGGGCTCACGGTTACGCTGTCCTCTATCGGGGGGATTGTAGGTTATGCAATGTTGATTGGACTCGAGAATCGCGATGCTAGATTTGCCGCCACTTGCATAGTAGCCTTTTGCATGTATTCCAAAGTTGTTTTAGTTCTGTCCTGGGCAGCTATGAACTTCATCGGTTATACAAGGAGGTGAGCTTTGCCCATTGTTATTAAATTAAAAGCATTTGATCATGAAGGAGAAATGATCTTACTAATCTGGCAAAGGGGTGCCGCTTTGGCTTTGTTTAACATGTTCGCACAGTCGTTTTCAATAGCAGGTAACCAAGTATACATCGACCCGCCATACTGTAAGTAGATATCTATTGAAAGGAGTAAAAATAATGCAGACCTGTCTAACAACATCAGACAAAAAGGGAAACGCAGCATCCTTAGGAATGTCAATTGCGGTGGTTGTGATATCTTTAGTTCTTCGATGGTATCTTGGGTTTTTGAATAACAGAAAGGAGCGCGTACAATTCTTAGAGGAGAGCTCTGCTTCCAGGCAGCAAACCCCAGAAGAGATTGGAGACACACATCCAGGTATAGCACCCAGTCCATACAGCATATTATTAACTTTGTTATCCTGCTAATTATGACACCAGACTTCTTTTATACAACATGAGCATAATATCATACGTTGCCAAAATGAAGGTTGCTTAGATATATACTTTGTTAAGCTCCTAACAATAACATTAGTATTAAATATTTAAAAAATAATTTTTTTTTAATTAAAATAATAAATATTTTTTTTTTATTTTAATTAAATACATTTTTTTAAAAAAAGATATGTTATAATATTTTATGTTAAAATAAAATCTTTTATAAATATTTAATATAATAATTAATGAAAAAAAATAAATATTACATATGAAAAAATATTTAAAAAATAATAATAAATAAGTATTTACATAAAATATAATAAAATTCTAAAAATAAAATTAAATAAAAGTTACCCTGTAGTTAATGATAACTTTACATAAAGAAAAAAATAAAGTTATAAAAAAGGAAATTGTAAAAGTAAATTATATAATTATAATAAGTTTAAATATTATTATTTTATTATGTAATAACAGGAACAGCTTAATAAATAATATAACAGTATATAGCGTTCTATGTATCCCCTAAGTTAAACCAATATATTAGTAGTGTAATTTCGTATGCTATTATTAAACTCAGAAGACCAGCTCTCTCAATGAAGTTACTTATGGTGGATTTTCCCCCTTTGCACTTAGGTTACAGGACTGGAATCCCAGCAGTTTCAAAGTCCAAGTACTGTATTCTCTTCGTATTTGCTCCACGGGGACTGATTTTGGGTCTTTGGAATACCTGAACCGGCGAACTTTGGGCCATTTAGACCAAGACTACCATCTTTCACCAAAAAAACCCTGCCCCTCTTGCCCAGCGGCAGCAGGCACAGCTACGGTGCCCGAGCCAGCACTAGAGATGTGGGAAGAAACTAGCCCACTCAACAGTCGAATACGCATCATCCGGCATCTCTCTCAAGCTCAGAAGCGACTCAGTCATTAGGTAGAGAATGGAACATGCGTATACAAGGAGAATGAAAAGCGCTATCAAAGTGAGTAAATACCGAAGCCAGATGGGAAACCACTTTGGCCATCCTTTGGGTTGACCGCCGGCTACCGGACCCCCCTTAGCAGTGTCCCATAAACAATTGTGAAGCTCGATAAAAACAAGTCTTATGATATAGTCGTCGTCTGCAAATCGCACATTACCAGCTGCGTTTATGAAGTAGAGCTTCAAATCTCTCCCCCGAACCATCAAGTATAGTAACAGAGGCGCCAACCCGAGCCCTAGACATGCTAGACGCCATAGCCAGAGTTCACTGGAGGTTGGAAAGGGCCGGTTCCATGCCGTAGCATGAAGGGCACCGCTGATGAGGGCCATAATTGCTGAATAGGGTTCAGCATTGTCTCGAACGTGGACAGCGATTTTGTAGCCAGCACGCCAAACCGTTCGGATGAATCCACCACGGTTTCTCAGTTCAGTAACGAATAGTGGATCGATGGAGTATGCTCTAGTTTCTTTCTCGAAGTTTGGATAAAGGTCAGAAAGCAATTCCGCATCCAGCGGAAGAGGGATGGGTTCCGCAACATCCAGTGGTTTATCCCACCAACAGTAGTATGTCACGACCGTATAGCAGATTTGGATCAGGACGTGAAGCTCAAGCGGTGTTACCGGCAAGCCGGCAGTCTTTCGTCCCACGCACTGCACAACCATCCACAAGATTTGAAGAGAAACAAGTAATTTCGCAATGCTACTGGCTTTGCTTTTGTCTTCGATATTACGGCGACTGAGTGCTTCAGTAAGCTTTTCACTCTTAATAAGCTCTTTAAAATCCACGTGACATAGTAGCTTTTCGAAACCGGTCGGAGAAATAGTTGTTACGAGCTTGTCTCGTTCACTGGTCTCAGTATTCGAATTATAGGTCATCGGTGTGTTTGTTTCGTTGGGTGTACTTTTCGCTTCCACCACATAACCCCCCATAACGACAAAAAACGCCCCAGACATTCCCATCCATTGCTGCATATCTGGATTGTCGTTGAAAACATCCCGCCATCTCCGGTGCACTTGTCGAGCACGCAAGAGCTGAGTAACAGCAGAGTATACTATAAACTCCGGGACTACAGCAGCAAGGTATAGCCATGCAAGCTTATAGTACGTCCTGGACCAGCGATCCCTGATCGGAACGATATTGGGATACATTGCCGTCCATACGCACAGGCCGAGAGTAACAGTACAGCTCCAGAGAAGTCCAATTGTACCGCGCCCACTAGGATTTGGTACGTAAGTCTCGGTTTGGTTGAAAGGAAGGGATAAGACTGTGGGGATATATGAAACCAAGATGAAAAAGAACGAGTACTTTAGAGGTATCATAATGTCTGGCCAACTTCGTGTTTGGGTGTTGTTGTAGTGAGGATCAAGTTGCGAGTATGTCTTATAGTGGAGTATGTTGGTGGACCAAGGCAAAGTAAGATACACAAGGGAGAAGGAGCGATGCACAATGCACGTACGTGAGGCAAGGTTATGATATGTGGGTAGTGATATATTTTAGTACTATCCATATCTCATCTCATAAATTCTAGTTTTGGGCTTCAGAGTTTAGCTTCCGATACTTTAGGCTTTAAAGCCTAACTTCCAATTCGCTGCTCTAAGTGCTGACGTGGCTGGCGTTTTATTCCTAGCCCAACCAACTATACCACGACTTTCTATTCTGGAAACGTCTTTGGCCTTTCTTCTAGCCTTTAAGCGAATCAAACTCGTATGCAGGTGTGACTTGGCAACTAATTCGCAGATTGGGTTGTAGCTACGTGGCCAAGCATTTTTGGTTTTAATCCTAACGAGTGCGGAAGTCGAAGTAAGAGCTGCACTTGCAATTTGCGATCCAATATAGGTGACTTGTCTAATTGAACGGCGTAATGTAAAACTCTGTATCTACAGTGGGCCCTCCAAGGAGCCGTGAAGCATGTGAATAGTACATGTGTAGGGGGCGCTACATAAGTCTATTTTATGACATTCTGGACTGAAAATCTAATTGTATATTGGTGTCAGATCCGTGGCACACACGATGTATAGCAGTTTTTAATAAGTGTTGATACAGCTGGAGGAGCAGTCTGTGTCTGCGGAGTCAACTTTACCCTATATCCCCAAATCGCTCAATAATATACATTTTGATAATAGCATACTGTTGGCCATAATTGGTGTCAAGCAGTATATAGGAGACTATGTTAACTTATAGTATTTTGCAAGCGGGCGAGATGAATTTTCTTGTATTCTCAAAGGTCAAGCAAGCACTAACCGTTCCCTAAGCTCTCTTTCACTGAACGCGCAGTGTCAACATGACGCGGGTGGACATATCCCAGAAGTTCCTTTGCGTATGCAGCAGTCACAGCTGAAGCATACTCCTGCCAGACTTTATTCTTCTCTGAGTCTACATAATGCAGATACCACGAATAACAATACTCGGGAAGTCCCATAACCCTGCAGCTTCCATCTCGATACAAAGGGCATTCCTTTCCCATTCTGCGTCTACCCTATCGCGCTCCTTGGCATCCATGATGACTTGATTACCGGATGCGATGAGACCGTAATGGACATTGATATCCCTAAGATCCTCCTTGGACTCACTCTTATGGATGTCTGCCGCGGTGCTGATAACGGAACTAGTGTCCTGAACCACAGATGTCACCACCATTTGACCCAAAGAAATAAGAACAGGGTCAGAAATGTGCTCCAGAATACATAGAACATGGTATGCCACCTGCTCTCGCTGCAATCGGAATCCGACAGGGACAGAGGATCCTCGGTGACGGTGGGCCGCGCATACTCACGCCCGAGTTTCAGGTACTTCGTAAACATGCTGTCCAGATGTTGATTTATTGTTGAGCCCTCCAATGCGACCCTGACTCTCATTTTTGATAACGATGTCAACAATGCGATTGGTGGATTATTCAGAGCGCCAGTTCGTTTGAACTTTCCGTTCTTCTCTGCCTTGCCAAGGCCCCACTGGACTACTCCGGGATATTAATCCACAGGTGTGCCGACGACAACGTCCCCAAGCCTAACCTTGGGTGGAATATCACCACCAATCCCGACCAACAGGCCAAACTTTATGGAAGGAAATGTCCATGTCACTTGCGTCGCGACCGTGGCTGCTGTATTGGTGCCGTACTTGCCCAAGGGTAGGCCGACGATAACGATATTATGAGGGCCGATGGAAACTAGAGAGTACCTGTAGGTATTGGGGTCGTTTTGCGGATATTCGAGATCCTCGTGCCTGCCACCGAGCATGGCTAGCGTTGCTGTCTGCTCTTTTGGTGAGGCGCAGACCCAGCCGACTGTGTAGTTGTCATGGGCTCTGGTGTTACTAGCTAGCTCCTCCATCAATAGAAGAACGTAGATCTACCTAAGCAGAGGTTTAAAATCCATACGGTACGTAGTGGAATATTTCAACAGCAAAAATAAGCCGTCAAGGAGCAAGAGTTTTTTTCCCCCCCGACCTCAAACGCAACCCCCTCCTCATCTGCTGCTCTTCTTCCTACTTAGCGCACATCTGCCTTTGCCTCCCGCCGTAATAATTAGTTCCGCCTCTGCCGTTGAGTATAGACCAACTACGAAAAGGTAAGTAACAATATTTATGATATGAATTATATATTCATTAAATATTTAGCCTAACTTGTTTCCTAATATAAACTTGAAATCTAGGGTTATCCCTTAGGAATCCTAACCTAAACGCATATATAGCTTTACAGTATATTATATCTTTATACTATTATAACTTTCCGTGTGGAATACTACAGTATTCTAGGTAGTGTCATTTAAGGCTCAGGCCCAGGTTCTCTAAGTATTAACTGACACTCCGTGCGTCGGAGAGCACATTCTGATCCCTTATACTCCATGTCAACTAGCCAAACGTCTTCCAAGCGTCATATAAAAACCGAACCGCAAGATTATGTGCTTTCACATCATAGCCGGGCAGCAACTGGGTGCCCAAAAAGCATCATGCGCCCTTTTTCGCGGTTCATGGTCCAGATGATATTGGGCTGCCCTTCAAATGCGACAGTCCCTTTGGGGATCCCTGAGCCTGGGAGGGTACCGTCCTCTTCAACAAGTGCGCCCGCCGCGGTCCAGTTTATGACCGGAGGTGGTGTTAACGCCCATGATACCTTATGGGACACGTCCTGTTTGAGAGGGAGCAGGAAGCCATAGTTGGTGGTTTCGGCCAGCAGCGACAGGTGCGCATGGCTACCGGGCGTCAACTGCGGCGTGAAAAACAAATCACGGTGTTCTTGGCGCTGGAGCAGCTTGCAATCCGGCGACATAATATCGCCAAAGAGCCGGGCAAGATCGGATACACTGCAGGTCAGGCCATACGTCTCCTTGTCACGGGCCACCAGACAGGCCATGCCGTCCGCCGTGGAGGTGTCCACCTTACGCTCTACCATCTGCAGGCGGCGCTTCCAGACATGCGGCACCAGAGCCGGCCGGTAGGTGGAAGCGGTCATGCCAAGCGCGCCAAAGATATGGTGGTCGACGTACTGAAAGAACCGATCCTTATCGCCAAGCCGCTCGACGAGTAGCTGCACGCAATAGATACCCCATCCGTACTCAAAACCCTCACCGGGCTCAAAGAAGAGGTGCGTAAATTGATTCTTGACTAATGGGTGGGCGTCATTGGGAAAGTCTGGCGGCAGCACTCTATTCTGGCTGCCAAACCGTTCTCGGTACGTATCGGGGGTGCCCATACCACTCGTGCTCAAAAGTAGGGTGCGCAGTGTGACGCCGCGGATTGGGGAGCGTAGCCGTATTTCTTTATCCACTTCCTCGACGATCAGGCATTTCTCAATCTCAGGAATATGCTTGCTAATCGGCTCGTCGAGCATCAAAATACCGCGTTCAACCAATTGCAAGGCCGCGATATTAGTGATGAACTTGCCTGCCGAGGTGAGCGATATAGTGCAATCGGGATCCAAGGGCGGCAAGTCGGTATCAAGTAATTGGCGTCCAGCAGCATGTCGGTATAAGAAGTTTCCTGCTCATGTTCCACAGTATGAATTAGATGCCCTCTTCTTATAGCCTCATACACATTTCAACATTTGCAGAGACACGCTCTATCTCACCGTTGTTGTCAATGACCATAGCAACAGCACCCAGCAAGTCCCCGTTACCAAGGTTTGTTGCTTTGGCCAACTCGGCTTCAAACGCTTCCATTGCAAACAGTGTTGACGCCTTTCGATACGTCCTTTTCTAGTTTAGGGCAACGAAATTAAGGTTCTAAAGGGTGAAACACTGAGAAGAAAGCCTCCAGATGATCTCAACATACCTGAGCCAGAGTAGGAAAGATGATTTTGACCGGGTTCAGATGGTGTTTCCTATCGCGGGGAACCTTCAACGTCACCAGCCAGCGCAAACTTCTTACGTAATAAACCCTACGGAATTGGTAGACACACGGATACTGTACAACGTACTTTTGGGGACGCAGCGATATCTCTCAGCCTCACATTGGCTGAAGCAATATATGCTGATAAACGGAGGTATGTTAGTGAACCAGTACGTTACCCCTACTACCACCATTTGCCAGTCCCAGCACTAAAAGAGCACTTTTGAAAGCTATTACTAGCGGCGTGTTGGAAATCTCGTCTTTACTGCATGTTGCCTGTGTAACTCGATTATATAATGAGGCCGCATGCATTATTTTAGCCTCCGTAAAGAGAATTCATTACCTCTAGTGTTTGCAATTAGCGCCTGAAATATAAACACTCTAGTGAGTTTTCCACTACCTTGGCTATCTTGAATAGACAGAGCATAAACAGCACATCTGCATATTCTGCAACCGCAAAAGATTTCGCTAAGATAGTTTACGAAGTGCGTTTTACAACCCCATTTTTGCGAAGACAGTGTATTCCAAAACGTTCTTATAGAATATTCGTGTCGTTGTCATTAATAATAGGCGCTTGGCAGGGCAGATACAGTAGCTTATCCTGCCCAAGGAGCATACCATAAAATATATTAAGAATCCTAACCCTTCACTTCTAAAACTCTGTAATCATCAGTAGCCCAAAAATATCTTTTGAATATTTTACTATTAAAAACAGTACACCCCATAAACAATATAAATCAATGCCCTGACATACCCTTGTCATAGATATACTCTGGCTACCATCGAGGTCAACGGCCGCTAATACGTAGCATCTTCTTTCCCAGCATCATCTCAATTCACCATCTGCATCTCACGTCATCATCATATCAAAACGTATGCTGCTCTGGTTCAAATACCCTCCTTGGCTGTATCTCATATAGAAGTCAGACGGCAGAGTGCTTCAGGAGGTCGAAGAGCTATCGTTGGAGCAGATATGACACTTGCAGAGCATAAAATAAAGATTTTATGTTCCAATTTAATCTCTGAGAGAGAGTTTTACGGATGTATTTTGTCTTAGGGCGGTCTTTAGAGAGCTTTCCTAATCATTCTCATAGAAATAAACGCTTCCATTAATAAACAGTTCCATAAATAAACGGTTCCATGAATATTAATAATAATAATAACAATAATTATAAAATAAGAAAAATGTACAATAAAAATAACCTGCTATGCTCAAATGCTCCCAGCTCTTTTCTTTATCAATTGCTGTAGTCCTTGCGATATTCATTCTCAAAGCCCTTGAGGGTCACCGTAGTGTCTTGGCTCTCTGTCCGAGTGCATGGCGAACATTGAACACCGCCAGTATTAACATTATGATTGCCCCAACGATCAGCGTAATTAATGGGGCCAAGATAGAAAACAACGTGAATCCATATGAAACACGGTTGAACATTACGCTAGTGTTTAATTCTGTTGTGGCTAGACCCAATTGCATTGCCGTTAACACCACGGTAATGTAGATGATGGCCGTCAACACCCATTTATAATTTCTCTCAAAATAGGTCGAGTACTGATGATAGCTGTACTCGTACCCTCGGATCATTGTCATGAATTTCGCGTTGCAAAACCTATAAATCAGGTTTAGTCGTTTGAGACGTAATTCACCGTAAATGTATCTTTCGTTAATGTTGCTCGGGTCTTTTTGTATGCGTGAAACGACGGCTGCAGAGAATGGAGCCCAATCTCTCCATTGGACGCTCTCCGATATTAAACCCTTTGTATGTGCAATTTGGAGATCGCTTTTACTGCTTATTAGCCAAGTATAAGAATAGAGAAACCCTCGTGCGCTCCGAAAAAGATTTTCATCCTTGCAAAGTATGTTAACCCAGGTTGAATAGCTGAGCAAGTAGTCAGGGAGTGGTTTCAATGTCAGGACGTTATCACGCCAAACGATATGAAGATCTGCGTTCTCTGTAATGATGATCTCACGCCCGACCCTGACTTGGTTGTGTAAGGCTCGAGAGGCTGATGGCAGCCCTGCCAACCAGAGATGCTTGTGGATGTTATTCAGTCGCGTAACATCAAGGTCGCGCACCATATACTCCGCCACTGATGAAGTGACGTCTTTCTTGATGCATATTATGTTCCTTTTAAAGTGGTAGGTACCGGGAAGCACGAGGTCTTGTTCTTTCAAGATTTTCTCTTCCTCAGCAAATGGAGGTTCTAAGATTAAACTTGTGGTCAGAAAATTGTAAGAAGAGCTTATAGGGTACCATTCCAGCGCCATAGTTGCCATAACTTTTACACCTTTGACAGCAGTGCACTACCATGGCTAGAGTATAGATAAAATTCAGGATAGCAGAACGAAAGGCTAAACAAATACTACTTACCAAGCACTTTTAAAGTGTCAATGTCTATCGTAACAGATTCGTCATTTTCTTCTACTGTATCTCTCTTGATTAGCATTTGCGTATCGACGTATTGGCCTTGAAATTATAGTCGGCAGTCGTGCCTTGGCAGTGGATCGATATCGGGAACCAGGCACCTACGTTTTGGTCTAACCGTCATTTCATGGCGTTTTCCCATGACGGCCGTAATAGTAAGTGACAAGCATATACTGCAACGATCAGATCAAAGCGATATGAAGCAGTAGCTTAGCGACGCTGCCTACACGCAAGATAGTTCACACAGGCTACCGACAGGAATGGCTCTCACATCTTTCTGAAATTCAAGGCATATTAGTAGAGAGACCTTGGTAGCCTTATAGGTCCACCCTAACTACCTAGGTAGGTAGGTGTGTAATATTACCATGTATACACGTAGTCATCCAAGAATTTTTTTTAGGCTGCCTCGCGGCAAGAATTACCCCGCAGCCATTGTGAGAGGGCATTCCCAGTCCCGATCAACGAATCAGAATATCAAATCATCGCCATAGATTGCTGTTTGTGCGGCGTTTCCGTATAGGGAAAAGCCACAACTGTATGTACTATATATGTATGCAAACAGACGTGGCATGCAAGCGGTAGTAGGATGAGCCCAAGCGAGCTATATACCTGATATCATACTCCGTATACGGAGTAGATCTGCAGGGTATCACCGACGGGTTACCGGCACGGCTCCCATTGCAATTAATTGGCGAGCAGCTTAGACGTGGCTGGGGCCCAGCACCTATACACGCATAACACTAAGTCCAACCATGGCAGTACTCGAAATTGAGTCGAGACGACATAAACAATGTATGTCTTTAGCCCTTCCATCTCAGCCTTAGTGTTTTTTCTCTAAATAGCCTCTAATTCAATGAAGCTTCCGAACACGCGATGCTAAGAGGAGAACAGACAGGTCATGAATTGAAACCATGAGTCAACGAATATCGATTTCACTTCCTTGCTTAACTCAACAACTTTCCTACATGTAATTTTCTCAGAAGGGTGCATAGCTGAAACTTTGCCCCCCCAAGTTGGGTGTTGTTGGGACCACGTATTGCCGTAGAGTCGTTTGACCAATGATGGCCACGTTCGGTGAGACTTACCGCCTAAAACAACTAATCCCTGTTTCAGCTCCCATAAAGCTCGCCGAAGAGGATCAATCACTGAGTTTTCGTCCTCCTGGTCACCCAATTGGCAAACCCGTGTACAGGATCCGGCATATCAGACGCACCTATAGGGACTCGATAGATGAATAACATGTAATTCCATCGTAGAGGAAGCCAAATTCGTTAACTCTGTTTCCCCTTTGTTACACCTTGGACCTCATGGTGCTAGCGTCTAGGAACTGGCCCAGGGTTTCCCCAACTACTAAGAAAGGTGATAGGTTTCCCATATTTAATAAATCTACGGATTTTCTATTAAAAAGAATACCCATACCTTGATTTAATCAACCAAGATCAATGAGCCGGCTGCCCGACCATTATCAGCTTTTGCGATAAACACAATCATGAATTGGTCCCTCGGCACCTTCGCTAGTGACGGGTATTTGTCCCTAATCTTAGGCTGAGTGAGGCGAGCCGCCCAACTCCAGTTGTCGCCTTCCCAGGATACAAGAGACGATGGCTCACCGTTCGTGAAGGCTCTCAGTGAGCTTGCTAGATAGCAAGTTCCAGTTATCGTGATTAAACGGGCCTCGAGTTCATTGCCATCTTCACTGATTGACTTCGTCGACAAAATCTTCAACACTGGTTTGGTTGAAGAGGCTAACGGAGGACTGGTACTCTGGAGTGGTATCTCATCCGACAGCAATGCTGGTGCCAAAGGTGGACTTTCTCGGCGCCTCGATACAGCCTCATATGCAAAGGCGTATTTCAAGAGATCGGAGTCCCGGTATGCCGCGCCACAGAAAGTGAGTCCAACCGGCATCTTCTCCTCTGCAAGGGTTCCCATTGGAACGGTGATGCAGGGAACTCCAAGGTGCTTCAGAGAACGACCGCCATTTGCGTATTTGACGCCGTCTCTTAACGCATCGAGCATAGAGTCATAGTTCTCGTCCGAGTCGGCCAAGGCAACATCGCCATTGGTCGGAAACACTACAACGTCGTACTTATTCTCGGTCATCCATTCTTCCAAGTCCCTCTCTCGCATCGCTTCCAAAGCCTTGAGGGCGAACTCACAGCCAGGCAGGTCAATAGGGCCGGATTTTCCTCGCTTCTTTACTACGGCGACCATGTCTTCGTAGCGGACCTGGTTCTGCGACTCACTGTGTTGAGAGGGGTCATCCATGGGAGCAATATGCGGGTGAACCTTGTCGAGCTCGGCGAAGGTGAAGTCTGGTAGCTTCTCATCGCCATTGCTTCGGAGGAAGTTGTCCCAACTCAAGGCAATCATGTCGCACCGTTCACGCGCCGCCCAATCCTGAGAAAGGCCGGCGACGTTCATGCTCTGGCCAGGGAAGTCTTGTCTGGTGTAGTTCTCGAACAGGGGGAAGTCAGTCTCTATAACAGTAGCTCCTAGATTCTCGAGATCTTTCCGTGCTTTTTCCCAGAGAGCGCGGACCCCACTGGAGCAGACATTTTTTGGCTTGGAGCCCTGAACTCCAATAAAGCATTTTGGGACGGCAACTCGCTTGTTTCGAAGCGCGTTCGGGTCAGCCAATGACTGATAGTCCGCCGGACGGATGTCGCTGGCCTTTGGAAGTGGCACATACGGCTGTTCACGCCAGAGATCTGCGTCTCCCGAAGCGTTGTCATCTGCAACGACGACATTGAGTACCTGGAACAAGTCTGATACAGTTCTTGTGTGAGGGACAACCTGATCGCAGGTCGGATACAACGGCCACAAGCCACGGGGAGGAATGACACTACGCGAAGGGGCGTAGGCAACCAGCGCATTGTTGGACGCTGGAGAGCGACCTGATGTGACAGCTTCTCCAGCAAACCCAAATGCGGCAAGGCTTGCCGCCGTGGCGACTCCGCAGCCGTAGGAGGAACCAGAAGCATAAGCAGTGCACATGTATTTTTGGTTGTATGGACTTTCGGAGCGCCCATACAGGCCGCGTTGACAACCACCGTCCGCCATTGGCGGCATGTTGGTCTTTCCCATGACAACCGCTCCTGCTTTGCGGAGCAACTCCACAATGGCTGCATCAGAGGATGCTTCGAGGCTGGCGAAAGCAGGCGATGCAGCAGAGACTGTCATGCCTTTGACTTTGTAGCTATCCTTGACCGTGAACGGGATACCTTCTAGAGGCCGTGGTGGCTTTCCAGAAGCGCGGAAGTCGTCCGAGGCTTGGGCTTCGGTAAAGACATCAGGGTTGAGGACACAGATCGAGTTGAGACGTGGACCCCGGCAGTCATACTTGCCGATGCGGTGCAGGTAGAGAGAGACGAGCTCAACGCTTGTGATGACTCGAGCGTTTAGCAACTGTTTGAGATCGCTAATGCTTGCCTCAAGCAGGCTGAGAGACGCCTTGTCTGCCATAATGAAAAGAAGGGTGAGTGTGAGTTGTGGAATAAGGTATAGATGCCCGGTTGATCATAAGGGACTATACATATCTTGGGGCAACAAACAGTATTTATAGAAGTGCAGTTGTGATAGTAACCAGCTTGAGGTAGTCGCCATCGACCTCCAATATTGAGGCTACAACCGGATCGACATACTCTCCGAAGTTGAACGGGCGCGCCCACGTCTTGACATTCCCAGGGCTCCGGCTAGCCGCAGTCCCCATAATAATATTATTTTACAGGTCCTCGATCAATTCCATTGGGCTATCGTGTGAAAGCGTCCGAAAAGATCGTGAATCGTTCAACTTCCGAAGTTGTATGTGAACTATTAATCCGGATAGTAGTTTTTGGAAGTTCGAAGCGAGGGGTCCATGACTAGATGGACGCACCCTATTGGCTAGCCCGGGCCCCCGATGCCCGGATGATGGTCTGTTTGACCCACAGTAGAACCTTTTAGAGAGCTCTGAGGGGTCAATCGAACCAAGAACTCGAAAACAGCGAGGATTGCTGACTTGGGAACTTCGGAACATAATCAGCCTCTGACCTTGCGGGGGTTGGCTCATATCCGCTTTTCTCCTGCCGCGTCGGCCTCATGCGATGTAAATTGCAGCATCCACAATCTGAGTTCACAATGAGGAGCCCCAAGAAAGCTGATTGCTGTTGGACATGTAAAATAAGGCATGTCAAATGTGACGCAACACCGGCGGCCTGTGCGCAGTGCACAAGTCGACAGATTAACTGCCATGGATATGGCCCAAAACCATTATGGATGGATGGAGGTGAAGAGGAGGAGCGAGAAAGGCAGCTCATCAAGCGCGCCGTCAAGAAAAATTTCAAACAGAAAAAGAAACTCCAGCATCGTCTAGTCAAGAAACAGAATCATCCACAGCCTCGAAGTCGAAGCCTAATTCCGCTAAGGCGCTTGCTGGATGTACAGATTGCCACTCCTCAAGGTAAGTCCAAGTCTCATGGCCTACACGCCATTAGCATTTCGAATGGTTAGAGATATACTTATTCTATAACCTGTATTTGCTTATCCAGATAACGCAGCATTGCCAATGCTGACCCCACAATCGGTGCAAAGTCGCGCTCCCTCCGACCGCTCATTTCCAAAACCCTTACAATATGACGAAGCAAATCTTTTGATGCATTATTTGGACTATGTATTCCCCTACCAGTACCCATTCTCTGAAAAGGGAAAATGGTCTCGTGGCTGGCTTCTTTGGCTCTTGAGCAAAAATGGACCGCTTTATCGAGCATCTATGGGCCTTGCAGCGCTACATCAGCGATCACTCCAAGGCGGAATCGAGAGCCACCATCTTGAACTTGAGTTTCATACCAAGGCCCTGAGGCAGCTTCAGGATTTTATTGTTTCCTTCAACATAAATGAGCTTCGGCTTGAGAACGAGAATCTCGTCGAGGTGATAACATGTGGCGTGGCTCTAATTAGCTTTGAGGTGAGTCAATCCCACCATTCGTGGTTGGCGTTGCTAAGGTATCGAATCGAGCTCTAACAGCTGAAAGGTCCTCAGAGGAAGCACGGGTAACTGGCAACCTCATCTATGCGCTATGGCTTCAATTGCCATAGCAATACATGAACAGCATCAACTTCCACAGTCACCAGATCAACTCTCATTGCCACTGTGCGAAAACAACACGGCGGCAGCCTTAGCATTCCACATCCCAGTATTATTGTGGATGGACATATTGGCCTGCGTAGCAACACAGCAAAAGCCAAAGCTGCCTTATGAAGAATGGCTAGGTCCAAGTTGCAACTTTGAGCTTTCACGTATCATGGGGTGCCATAACTCGGTAATGAAAGCCATTGGCAACTTGGGAGCACTGCACGAGTGCAAGGTCGAGGCCTTCGACGTAAATCACCTTGAAAATGAGCAATTCTGGAGGAGAATACAGCGCATTGAAGATGAACTCGAAGATTGCATGGAAGAAATCCCCATAACTTCATCAGAGGTTCGCACATTATCACCTTGATCGATTGTTTGCAATAGCTGACACAAGCGAAGTTACTATCCCGATCTAATGAAGGGTGTGTCACTCGCATATTTGCCGCTGCAGCGTTGGTGCAACTTCAGGTTCTCAACGCTCAGATTTCACCGAGTCCCTCGCCAACTAAAATAAGGAGAGCAGTAAGCCGGACGATATCGGAGATCCAGGTGACCCGGGGCACAATTTCTCCTCGCCAAATGAGCTGGCCTATCTGCGTCGTCGGCTGTGTGGCTGACGCAGATCAAAGGTTCTTTTTTGAGAATCTGCTGGAGAATGTACTCTCTGAAGGGAGTAGCATCTTTGGAAATTGTGGAACGGTACTGGACATCATGCGAAATTGCTGGAAGTTCCAGGTTGAGCAGCCGGATTTTCAATGGGACTGTAGCTGTGCAATGAAGAAGATGGGTATAAGCGCTTTACTCATATAAATAACAATACAAAACTCGAGCTTTGGCTACAAGCTGTAATTAATGAACTTTGATGGTGCTTATTATGGATATGACTGCCCATTCTATCCCCCACAGCGTAATTTTCCCGGCTTCATCGATTACGACGGGGAGGTCAATCCCAATCAGGTGTTGTCGTAGAAAAAATCGGTATCAGGATTACCAAATTATCGAACGCTAGTGCTCTCATAATGTGGTTTGAGTTATGATAAAAAAGCGTGATACCACGGTTCGATGTATTTATTGAATTACCCACATACACACACCGTGTGCAAGACGGAAAGGTCTGTTGGTTGGCCTGGGCCGGTTGTTGACTGCAGGGTGACTCCTATCCGATCTGCCTCATCGGATCTCGTAGATTGTGTATTTCCTGCCCCCGGCTTTGTATATAGATAACTAAGACCTTTAACTAATACAATATTACACCCAACCTCACTTCCAACACCGGTCTCCTGTGATAGCATCCCCACCATCAGCCACCTTGAGCCGCTGTGTCACAGTAGCCAATGAGAGTGCGGCCTGATTGTAGTGACTCGGAGCTGAGCCAGGCACCAGTACTGGAGGCGCCGGGTGGGTCGTGGAGCAGGCTACCCCACCCCCTGAATGCCCTGTTTCGATCAACATAACCAGGGACTCTCGTAAGACTTCCATCCCCTCCTCTTCATCGAAACAAAACCATCATCCTGCTGGTCATACTACTTACATCATCTCACACTTGATATACCTTGCCCCAGAAATGTTGTCAAAACATTCGAAATTCCAGGCCGAATGCCTAGACCAAGACGCCTCTCTCTTTTTCACTCGCCTTCCAAGGGAGATCCGTGACCTTATCTACCAGCAGTACCTCGCTATCGATGCCATCACAGATGGCGTCTCAACGAACCAGCCCGAACACCTGTTTCTCAACGACGACCAACCTTACGAGGGCGATGGCATACCGCTTGAAGCTAGCTGCCAGAAAATATTGTCGGAAATGCGATGTGTGAGGCGGCTGCGGGAGGTGGCCATGACCTTCTACTCGCCTTGGAATTTCCGGCTCCAACTCGCAGTAAAAGGCCGTCTTGACTGGGCTTGCGTCCAGAAGATTCGCCTTCAACTCCGTAACGAGGATAGGTTCGACATCACAGGCGCAGAGTTCACCAAGAAAGCCCTGTTGCGGACGAGAAAGCTGAAGATTTTGTATATTGACTGCTCCGCATTCCACGAGGCCTCCAACAGAGCAATTGAACCCAATATAATCATCTCTAGCGCGGATCCCAGTTCCCAGGACGACGAAGATGAAGCGGATGGTGAACTTTTTGCAAAATTACATTGGATAGAAAGCTTGCTCGCTGATTGTGGCATGCAGCTAGAAAGGCTGGAAATGGTGGTACTCAAAGGCAAAGGCTGCTATCCAACGTTCTGGCCGCAGCAGGTCAGGCAATTTGTCAATGACAATGTCGAGGTAATAGAACTAGACTAGACCTGTGCCACATTGGCGGGGACGCGGCACCAGACCTTTTTCAGTCAATTTGGACCTTCTAGAAAAATTTGGCTTTCGGCGCGCACCACCAAGCACCCACCCATCATGATTAACCAAAAAAAAAATAACCTAGGAGACAGCTAACAATCTAATCAATCAATGAGTTAAGGTTACTTAGTCTTGAAGAGTATCGCTATTTGCACGGATAGAAATATCTATTTGTACGAATATGTCACTAGTTCATAGCTGACCCAATTCGGGGCGAGTGCCATTCGACTAGCCTGCGACAGTCATATTCCAGTGCAACCGAATGAAGAAAAGGTAATCATAAAAATTGAGAGTCGTCGTGTATATCTCGCTGTGCGGAAATTTGTTGCGGTAAAAAAACTAAAAGTGTAGGCCTACTAAATCCCTTCAGCAAACATAATAGTGGCGTATTCTATGCGACAAGGAGATGCGGATGCATCCCAAATAGCTGATGGAGCAAAATACATGATGCTATTGAAAGAGTGTTTTTTTCATCGTTATCTTTGAGGCATTACTAACATAATCCTAAACCTTAAAGTTTCACCCCTTAGGAACAGCTAACTTATAGAAACTGTCCAGTTTACTTGCGACAGAGTAATACTATACTGGGTTTGCAGACTTAAAAAAGATGGAACAGCCGTTGTCGTAATCTACGTGAGCATGAAGCACCTTATAGATGAAAAATCAATATTAAACCCCCAACCTAAAATGTAACAGGGAGGGGGGGTTATGGGCGAAAATCGGTTCAAAGGATCAAGTCTATCGCCTAAAACGGGCAGAGGGAAAAGATTGATGCCGTCTTTTTTTTATGCAATATCACCACCTGTGGGTTGGCCCACTAAGCCACTCTTGGTGTTAAAGGGAGCTGCTGAACTATCAATGGGCATTTCAACATCTTCGACAGCGCCCATGGTTGCGGAAATACATTAATAAAAAATGCACTGGGTAACTTTTGCCGTCATCATAATGAACTTCTTGAAGAAAATGGAGGATTTGTTGAATAATATTGTACGAACGCCCACATTGCTGGGTATCGCAACTTCGCGTTTCGCTGTGACCGCATTGACTCCAGGGGGGATATTTGCACAATAATACCAGTAGCTGCTATCATGCGAAGAAAGTATTATGTGACTGGCCATTCCCACTTCTGGCAGCCAGAAGTGAACCATCTATCAACCAAGTTCCACATCCAAACCATTCTCAAATAGGACGTACAGGCGCCTTATAATAACCCATCATAGGGAGTATGATAGTCGCCTGTGGCCGTGAATGATACTTATTTCCAGTGCAAACAATGTTCGGGAGAGTCAATTATTATGTAGTGTAGAGACGCGGCTGCATACTCCCGTATCTTTGGCATGTGGTATAGATCAGTCGCATCATCTAAGTCCTCATGGCTTGGTTGAGTTTCATTTGGGTGTGAGGTTGCTTTATCCTCAATTGACAACTCTCTTTAGGGCCTAGGCTTCTAATTTCGAGAAGCTATTATTAATACAATATTTTCTTGTACAGATTTTGTTTCCTTCAGATTTTTACAGTGCAATCCTCCCAATGCAAACCTGGATGGTGTTCACTCTATCCGTTCGGCTTCTCTATAGACTTCCATATCACAATTTGTGAAACCAACAACTATAAGCAATTTCAGTGCCACAGCAAAAGAAAGAAATAAACATTCTCCTATCCATAATCCATCCGTGAAAAGAAAGATAGATGCCGCCAGGCAAAGTTCCTGGGCGTAGCTACCTAGGCTGACGAGAGCGCCAACCCATTTATACCTCTTAATATCCCGTCGTAGGCTCCATTCAAGCCATCTGCTATTTTCAATAAGGCTATAAACACTATGACTTCTGAAACGAGGGCAATTACACGAGCATCGTCGTTGAACACTCGGCCGATGTGATTGCGGTTCGAGAGAAAGCGATGAAGAGTACGCTACCAGATCATACCAAGAGGAGAGCGGCACAATGTGCTGGCCTTCTCGCACCACGGGAATCTTTGCTTCCAAGCAAGTTGCTAAGTCGAACAGACCCTGCCACGCTGAGTCTAAATGGAACGGTGTTGGTGATCTGATCTACGGTCATGACGATCGATTGAGCAGCAAGGGGAGTAGTTCCAAGGCGTCCAGCGGCAAGAGCCACGATTTAAAACGCTCACTACTGATGAGAGATAGTTGAGAATAGCGTTAAGCGGGGCTGTAATGAGTAGAACATACGTTCCCGGTCGGTAGATCTCTTATGCTTGCAGATATTTCTTCAAACACTCAAACCAAACATATCTCTCCTATATTGAAGCATTCCTACTATAAACTGGCTATTACAATGGAATTTCTACCTCCCCGACGCTTGCTCAGGATCTTAACTAACCACAACGGAATTTTCAATGCAATAGGCTGAATGAAGGGCCACTGTTGAAAGAACCAGAAGGTGGGCCGAGAAACTAGAGAAGGAGACAAGTAGTGTATATTTCCGAGAAGTGTTGTATTTAGGAGCAAGTAATCCATAATTTCTTATACTGTTAATTATAAATACTTTAATTGGAATGACCTTGGAGTTAAGGTTCTTCTTCTCGCGTGGCGGCAGTGATGTCAGCCATAGAGTACTAGTTGCATGGACTAGCTAATGACTAAGGACTAAGGACAAATCTATTAACCCTGTATACTAGCAATGAATGCTATCAGGGTAGTACCAGCAACCTCTATTCAACATCTCCCGAACTATACAATACGTCTACTTCTCTTCCTTGTCGCAACTCTTATCTTGGGGAACAAGCTGTTAGAAATCATCATCATAGGTCATGGAGGCATCACCATTAACATTACGATGTCTCTACTCTAATATAACGGCCGGAACAGCAGGCGCGATTGTGGGAGCTGCCCAAGCCCACACAAGGGTAGGATCAATGATTGCCGGGATCGGAATCTCGCCTAGGGTACTGATCAACGCCGTCATGAACAGGAACAGCGCGACAACTGTGGCCTGCATATTCTCCGGGGTTCTTGTATACGCCAACTCGTATGCAATGACATTTAAAAAGATTTTAGATAGAGCACCGAGAATAACATTTGGTAGCTGCCACCAGATGGATATGGTGGACACGTTCTCACAAGCGATCTGTTACGTTATGCACCCCCCTTGTTCTTTACCTTTGCTTGCGTTTTAATTCGAGCGCTTAATTCTCTACTACCCACACCTTGTATACTCTTTCGTAATTCTGTATCCAATTGTGATAAAATGGTTAAAGTGAATGCCTCTAGCGGCACTTTATTGTTCATTCAACTATTGGTGCGGCAGAAGTAAAAATACATTGGGACAGGACGCTGAATGTAGGTGGCAAAACATATTTAAGCAAAGTGCTGCATCACAAGTGTAAAAGGATATTTCTATCTAAAACGCTTCAAATTAATTACTAGCTTTTACTGTTCTTTATTTACAATGTGGGCTTCAACTTATACATTTATTACTCTTGCAAGTGTAGCCTTTACGGCTGCGGGTCCACCTTTCCAGCGAACGCCCGTCATGGGCTGGAACTCTTACAATTTGATGGCTTGTAGCCCCAATAACGATAAAATTACTACGATTATTAATGCACTGGCTGACGGTGGTTTTGTCAAAGCGGGTTATGAGTTTTTTCAAATTGACTGCGGCTGGGCTGCAAGAGACGGGCAACGAAACGCGACAACTGGGGCGCTAAATATTGACTGGAATGCATTTCCTCAGGGGCTTAAACCTTTAAGTGACCTTGCAAGGTCTAAAGGAATGAAGTGGGCAATGTACTCGGATGCTGGTATACGGATGTGCGATACTCAGGTACCAAGTCCTGTTCTCGGCTCTCTTAACCATGAAGCGGTTGATGCGGACTTTTTCCAGACCCTGAATACGGAATATGTCAAGTGTATGCTTCATTTCGGTATCTAAGCACAATTCTGTAGACTAACCTATTCTCAGACGATAATTGCTACGCAGACGGACCAGCGCAAAATCAGAATGCTCCTAAAAGCCCAAGGACTGATTTCACACAAAGATTTACGAAAATGTGGATTGAGTTGCAGAGAGTAGGAATTCCAGGAATGCTCGTCTGTCAATGGGGCACTCCATTCTCTACATCCAGCGGACTTCAGGGACCAGCTGAATGGACGCAGGGCATATCAACTTCGTTCCGACTATCGGACGATATTGCCATGGGGTGGGGCAATATATATCGCATCTACAATCAAGCTATCTATGTCGCTAAATCTGGATATATTGGCCCCGGACATATAGCTGATGCCGACTTGCTCGAGGTTGGGAATGAGGGTATGACTTTTGATGAACAAGCTACTCACTTTGCGTCCTGGGCAATGCTTAAATCCGCGCTTATGATTTCAACTGATATTACTCAGTTGTCAAAGGACACCATTGCTATCCTTCTGAACAGGGACTTAATCGACATTAATCAGGATGCAGCTGTCAAGCCAGTCGAGCTCGTGCAACGCTGGACAGGAGATCGAGATCTCTGGGCTGGTGATCTAGCAAATGGCGACCTCGCGGTTCTAATGGTAGACTTGAGCAATGTCCGTCGTACTCTAAGCCTCAATTTAGCGGGACTTGGGATTGTTTCTGCTACTATCAAAGACCTTTGGACTGGTATCGTTACGAACGACGTGACCAGTTTTTCCAAGCAAGTCAATGGACATGGATCCCTCGCCCTTCGTCTGTCCAACATCCAGCGAGCCCCCGCCTCGGCGTCAAATTACACCTACATAACGGTTGCAACTGGCTCTATATCATCTGGTGCAAATATTCAGCCTTGCACAGGGTGCAGTTCCTCAAGCAAGGTCGGCAATCTAGGAGGTAGCTCGAATGGTCGAGTAGTCCTCTCAAACGTCTATACCTCTCAAACTACACAGAATGTGAAGTTTGATTACATCAATGCCGATGTAGGATATCTTGGTGGTGGTAATAATGAGCGCTTGGCTTCAATCAGCGTGAACAACGGCCCGCAGCAGATAGTCAGCTTCCCCTTGAGCGGTTACAACTGGGATACAGATATCAATAAGGGTTACAGCGTAGAATTGTCTGGCTTCTATACCAACCGGCAAAACAGTATCAGTATCTCTGGCGTAGGGAATGCTTGGGCACCTGATTTTGATAGGGTTGGGGTAATAGGGTAAATGAACATGTGTTACTCATATTTGTTGGTCCCTGCTAGAGCATGGCAAAAACAGGCATAGTGTATTACCTTTGCTGTGAGTGTATAAGCCAGGACACTCGTCTAGTGATTTAGAGTATATACGTAATACTAGGTAGGATTTATTAACGAACAACGCTTAAAAGTATGTAGTTCTTAGGTATTTATAGGCTGTTCTGGTCTGCTGCAACTAGTTCTTATAACCATCTCTATTTCGGACTTCAGGTTGATGGCTGCTGGCGCTTCACATCAACGAAGAGCCAGGTCGGGTTATGGAGAGCGTTGTACATTGTCAGGCCGTTGTCTCCGTCTTCATAGTTCATGTCTCCACTGATCGGTGCCAGCACACTCGAGGGCACCGTCACCGAGGACTTGTCCTAAACGTGCTAGTTGCGTAGAGAACCACAGCTGTTGCGCTGGCTCAACCCCATCGAGACCCGAGGCCACGGACATTGGCCAGACAGCTGGGAGTGCAAGAGCAGGGAGAATCCTTTCATTCGTCTTTAGAATGACTGTTGGTTCGTTGGATGTGTCCAGATCATGGCACTTGCCTAGCTCAAATCGTCCTAGGCAGAAAGGGACGGTGGATGCGAGGCTGTCGGCCATTTCCTTCAACTGAATACTGCACGCAAAACGCTCCTTTCCGGAAGCGCTGCCGATGAATTCAGATGGAGGATCGAGTTTGAGGAGACCGAGATACGTACTAAGGATGATCATCCTTATGGTGAAATAATTGATCCATACTGTGGCATATCCATGGTTTGTACAGCAATAGATAGTAGAGGAATAGAAGTCCACCCTGGACCACTGGCTAGTTTCTGCTAAGTCCAATGGTCGGTATGACCATGCGCTGGGTATCTGGCCTGCCCAATCTTGACTAGCCTCGTCAAGCTCGCGCGCTTGGTGCTCAAGGTGCTCAGACATGGGAGCATGCAAACTCTTCTTCACTTTGTGACACTTCAATGCATGGTGCAAATTGGCCGCTTGAACTAGGAGTTTGTCAAACGAAAGATCTATAGAACGTTCGCCGAACCGATGGCCATCCAAAATCCAGTCTGGAAGTTGGTAACTTCTGAGCAAAGCCAGGCGGATTATTCCACGTCGAGCTTGCTTCACTACACTCGACGGGGCGTTGTAGCTCATATTCCACGCCCTTAGGATTGCCATTGCGCCATCATAATGCGACCAACTGTGCATAGGGGCAATCGCGTCCTTGGGGCCGAAATACTCAAGCTTATGCATGGTGGTTTCGTACCAGCCCATTAGGACAACTGTTAGCAGGCATTCGTCGATGCCCTCCGGCCAGCGAGTCAGAATTTTTGCTTGGGTTATCTCCTCTTTCGCAACGCTTAGAAGGCGACCATATGCCTTGAACGCTTCCCTAGCTGCCGGGCGGTGCTTTTGTGTGCGTGAGAAGATGGCAAGGGCCAAGGAAGATATAGCCAAGTCGACCATGCCAGATTCCCTTCCAGATGCTTTCCATGAGGTGAGGCATTCAGACATGCAGGCCGAAACTGTCGGCAGGTTTATGGCTGTGCCAAGGTAATAGTTCAGATAGTACGCCACGGCTCGTGACGGTAGGTCAGAATTTGGGCGGAAGAGGGTTAAACTTGAACGAGGACCCCTAGGCCTCTTTGTCTTGCCGCTTGCATAAAGATTCTCACTGTGGATCGAAAGACAAGCTCGTTTGGTATCAATCGACTCCACGCAGAGACGCTGTGACTTTGTACATCTCTGACATGTCGGCTTGGCTCCATCACACTAGTAGAGAGGCAAGTCAGACAGTGTAAACTGTAGGGTTCGAGCTGTTTTACCTTGATTCGTCTATTTTTGCAAGTCTGGCATCCTGTGCTTGGATGCGGCATGGCTCTGCAATGCAGCTTGATATTCCGCAATCATCTCTTTCAGGCTTCGAGTAAGGAAAAGGCAGAATGATTAATACGGTCAAGATACTGGTTAGTGGTGCCAGGGATTAGTGTCGCCGTATATCCTAACTCCGCTTGAGCTCCTATCTTTATGATTTCTAATACGACACTAATCTCCTTCTGGAGAAACCTTTGCGAGACACCACGCTAAATTAAGATTCAGACCAATGCTGAGGACGACATGCGCCTAGTTCTGTACGATGAGCCAACTCTACAACGTAGATGAAGTAGAGATGGACTATTCCTTTCGGGGAGTATCCCTGCGAGCAACGAACTCGGATTACAAAGTGAAGTTGGTGCTGGCTGTCTCCGTTGGCTTGGCCACGGTATTTATACAACCTGTTCTCTTCGCCCAAATGTCTTCTGCATTCCTGACAAGCTTACTAGCTATCAAGAAGAATGCCAGAGACTAAGCAGACAGTTCTAATAACAGGCTGCTCAGAAGGTGGCATGGGTGCCGCTCTTGCAGTCGCCTTCCACGAAGCCGGGCTGCATGTTTATGCTACGGCCCGGGATCCTTCGAGAATGACGCAACTCGTGTCTCGCGGTATCGAGACTCTTAGGCTGGATGTGCTCTCGGATTCCTCTATCTCTGCCTGCGTCGATCGGTTGTCTGAAGCGGGCCTTGACATTTTGGTCAATAACGCTGGCGCCGCATACAGCATGCCGGTTGCGGATCTTTCTATCTCGGAGGCCAAAAATCTATTCGATCTCAACGTATGGTCCTGCATTGCTGTCACGCAAGCCTTTTTGCCACTCTTGTTAAAGTCAAAGGGCAAGATTGTTAATCACACGTCGGTCGTTTCTGGCACCGCTGTTCCTTTCCAGTCGGCGTACAACGCCTCGAAAGCGGCGATGGCCATGTTTTCCGACTCGCAGCGACTAGAGCTCGAACCCTTCGGCATCAGAGTCATCGATCTCAAGTCCGGCGCCGTGAAGACCAACCTTATCAAGAATCAAAAGAGCGCGGGCCAAGTCTCCCTGCCAAAGGGCTCGATTTACGAACCGGCGAAGGAGGCAGTGGAGAGTGCAATGCGGAACGATAAGCTCGCGGACTCGGGCATGCCAGCAGATATGTGGGCCAGACAGGTGGTGACGGACTTGCTGAAGAAGAAACCGCCACTGACAATTTGGAGAGGGGCTCAGGCAACCTTGGGTCGGATTGGGTCGGTTCTGCCGCACGGGATGTTGGACGGAATGATGAAGAAAATGACCGGAATTGACATCGTCGAGCAAAGAGTACGCTAGTCTGGGATGCGAAGCAAGTCCAATTCAGTATTTTATAATACTAGAATAGCAGACTGCTACTAGCAACTTGTGTTGTTGTTTCACTTCAAACTTTCCCTTCGGCCTACAATAGTTACCATAGAGAAGGGTACCACTGTGTCTCATTGCTTTCTAGGTCTGTCGTACACAATTTCAAAACAATTTTACGTTGTAACCCATGGTGTTTGTTAGCACCTGCTATCTTACGGCAGCATCTAGGGTTGCGGGGCCCCATAACTTAAGAACTTGCAGGATCCCTCGAATATTACCATTATTATTATTACCATAATATTTCTATGTAAAATTAATACCTACAGCAGGCAGTATTATACTCTCTAATATATATTTTTAACTTAACCCTATAGGGTGAGGTTAGAAACGGCTTTACGAGTATCTCAAAGGGGTCATATTCACTGACTCCTAACAAAGTAATAGCTAACTTATTCTGAAATACAAAACCCGGTTCGTTTTATGTTACACATCCTATTCTACTCTTACACACTTGTGACTACTACTGCTTAAGCTACTCCCCGTTGTCTCTGCTAACAGAAACCTATTAACCCAGGGTTAATACCTTAGAAACCTACCCTATCCCCAATACTAAGGATCAAGAAGTCACTTATAGTGTTAACAAATATTTACATAAAGTCTGATAGAGCATTCTCTAGACTCGTAGCTTCCTTGAGTGGGACCGATTGACCCTTTCTCCGTAACCCAATCTTGTTATGCCAAACGACTTTCATGCCAGCATTTGTTGCGCCCTCAACATCCCCTGCACTGCCTGCAACAAACAATGCGTCTTGAGCCTGAACGCCCATAGTCGTCAAGATAGCTTGGTAAGCTTTTCCGACAGGCTTATAGAAGCCACTCTCTTCAGCCGTGACAACTGAGTCAAAATTTCCAATTATACCCGCCGCAATATTTCCCAGACGTCGCGAACAATTGGTTACTACGCCGAGCTTATAACCCTTCAGCCTCAGCTGCTCCAATACCTGTGCATATTCAGGCCATGGCTGCAGTTTGTCCCAGTTTTCCAGTAATTCCTTGGGAGCCGAGTCAGGCAGGCCAACATCCTTTGCGGCTTTGTGAACAAGCTGCTCATATGGGACGTAAGCGCCAGCGCTGAAGGTAAGTTCCAAATAGCGCGCACGCCAAAGTCGGCCCTCTGATGCGGTCCCAGACGGAGTACACGCATCCCATAGAGTCCAAGAGTCCAACAGGGCGGTAAGGAGGTCGAATATAATGGCCTTTGGCCTCCAGCTTGGTGGTGGGGACGTCATGATGATGGACAACTTGTGAAGTATAAGGGGTGTTGACAAAAGCTGGGTTAACGTGAGAGTTTGTCGACTGCTATAGACATGTAGGAGCGGATCAACTACATAAATAAGACTTGTGCTCACTGCCGCGAACATAAGTTTCCAAGCACAAGGTGTTTTCTATGACTTTTGTCTCTTCTTAGCACGGGGACGATGGTACCCCATCGACCCCAATTCTGGTCATCAAGTCGCATCCGCACACCTCATTGGGAATAGTCGTATTGTTCTGAACCACCCGGTCCCCATTCCGTGCATGGCGTCGCACCCGCGCACTCTTTTTGGTTAATGATTTTGTACCCACATTCAGACACTAGAACAGACATGATACCGGCCGGAAGAGCCTGCATGCCCAATCTATAAGAGGCGCACGACTGCGCGAGGATACTCAGGTTCATTCAACGGTCAAATTATTACACTTCATGATGGGATCGAGACATCCGACATTACAAACCGCGAGTGATTTTCGACGACATTATGTCGGGAAAAATATCACTCAGCTACCGCAGCCGGCCATGATACTCGACAAGGCCAAAATGCACCGACACTGCAAGTCTCTCCTCGATGCCGTAGAGTATTTGGGTGTACATTTTCGGGCGCATGTCAAGACACACAAGGTACATACAGTCCCTCTTCTTCCAATATCTCAAACTCCAATGCTTACTTTGGACCAACAGACTCTCGAAGGGGTCCGTCTACAAGTTGGGGAAACAAAAAAAGAAGTTCGACTCGTAGCGTCAACTGTTGCCGAGATCGAGTATCTACAGCCACTACTGCACGAATTTATACAAAATGGCCGCGAAGTCAGTATCCTTTACGGTATTCCCCTGCCACCCTCCCAGGTTGATCGCCTGGCAGCCATCGGCCGGCAGTTAGGTCAAGGCACCATTTCTGTCATGATCGATCACACGTCCCAGCTGAGCCATGTAGCTCGATTTGCGGAGCAAGCCTCTTTCCCAGCAGGGGTCTACTTGAAGGTAGATACCGGCTACCACCGAGCCGGTTTACCTCCTTCAGGTCTCAACAAGGATGACTTGGTTTCCAAACTGATGAGCCTTGACCGCCAAGGCAAAATAAACTTCATTGGCCTTTACTCGCATAGCAGTCTCAGCTACAATGACTTAACCGCCGAACAAGCAATGGCCAACCTCGAGGACGAACTTAGCGGGTGTCTTGATGCGCTCGAAAAAAACGCGCATTTGTTTTCAAGCGATAAGGAAGTAACCATCAGTGTTGGAGCCTCGCCGCAGGTAACTTCAATAGAGAATTTGGTGAGGAATGAGGGCACATTGTTAGAGGGCGCCAAAAATCTGCAACAGACTTTGCAAAAGGTTGTAACTGAGAGACACTGTGGGTTTCGTACCAAACTAGAGCTTCACGCTGGTGTATATTCCCTCCTTGACGTACAACAGCTGTCTACACATTCCCGAGCTCACTTTGGTGACTACGAGGAAGAGATAGCCATCTCCGTCACGGCAGAGGTTTGCAGCGTCTACAACGACGGCGAGCGGCAGCAACCCGAAGCCCTACTTGCGGTTGGAGTGTTGGGTTTGGGACGTGAACCGTGTGCAGCATATGAGGGATGGGGTATTATCGATCGCGATGCATACTCTCCTAATACTCCTAACCCTGATCGCCGGCTGATTGTGAAGCGTGTAAGCCAGGAACACTCAATTGTGTCATGGGGACTCATTAATGGACATGGCGATGAAGACTCTCAGCAACCTATACCACTACAAGTGGGGCAGACTGTTCGCATCTATCCAAATCATGCCTGTATTACCGGAGCCTTATATGGTTGGTATTATATCGTCGATTCATCGGAACACGGGGAGCGAGTTGTGGATGTTTGGGAAAGGGCGAGCGGGTGGTAAATTCCGATAGCCAGATAATATTCAGATTGTTCATTTAGAAGCAATAAAGTGTATTCTAGCATATTCATCTGAAGTTATCCCTATAGATCTATTTCTAGTGACTTCAACTGGGGTGCACCAGGAATGTCCGCAGCGCGATCAGATATCAGTCAACTGCCCATAGCTAGGGTAGTTGCTTCACGCCAACTTGAACAAAAGTATTTCAAAATATGTAACATGAGAGGGAATCTTTAAACTTAAGACTGCACAGGCTTGGGGTCCCAGCAGCAAGTTTTGTAAGCGAGAGACAACTCATCAGCGTCGAGTGCGTTGGTAAAAAATACCGTGATCTGAACTGCACTCTCAACGCTAGAGTCGGCTTGTTTGAGGATAGCCTCAGCATTCCTCATGATCTGATTCTGCGCAATTCAATGAGCTTAGGTGAGAAACTGCACGAGTTAAAATAATGTAAAATCGATCAACAACCGTGCCTCGAATCAATTTTTTTACGGTAGGATCAGCACCTAATAAATATTATGTAAATACAAAGCTATTGGCAAGTGTAATTGCTTGGGCTATGAGTGGGAGCCTCGTCAGTAAATACTCTGAACTTTTTGAGAGACATTTGCGATTATATTGTCTTATACCCAATTGCAGTGTACTTCTGACACGGTGTTAGTTTCGCTTAGGTCGAAGCCAGGATGACAACTCTGAAATAAAGGTCAACTCGGGAGCTACGCGATGGTTCGCGAGATAAAACGCGCTGGTTACTCTGTTAGCTCCCCAAAAGCAAAAGTCCTGGCAGTGTTTTGTATAACATCCATGAGTACCTATATGAAATCGCTGAATAAATTGGCTCTTATTATACGTCATGTTTAAATGCGTACTGCCACTCTTATACACTGTACGTCTTGAAATTATTCGAGCAATCTGGCTTACTGCTGGCATATATTCGACATTGCGTTCACGTTTACTCCAAATGGCAAGCTCGACTCAAATTTTGGTATGTTTCAGAAAGTACGAGATAGTAATAATAGTACCTTTTGCATGTTGGAATTGATAAGGCGTCTCTGTCGAAGCAGTCTCGGGATATAATGTAGTAGTAGAAATGGCTACTGTGTTGACAAGCTTGTAATCTCCTCAAGCAATCAGATCACTGAAAGTAATATTGTGAAATATAAAATAAAAGAAGTTTGAAGCACGGCTACATGTGGAATCTGCGACATGAATGGATATGAAGAAGGCGGCCGCTATAGCAAATTATTTACATAGAGCATGGAATAGGTCTACTACCAACACCGCTCGTGACATGCGCCCATTGAGAAAAGTAGTTGATATAACCGTTATGACTGTGCTATGTGAGTGATTTAGCTGTTTATGAACAATACACTATATGATCTACATAGTTAGTAATTTACGCAATAACGCCTTACAAAGTAGATGCCGAAAAAGGGCTATTTGGGCGCAACCAAGCTCTCTGTTGACACATGGTATGAGCCCAACTCCCCCGTTCTTCTACACCTTCCGTAGACCAACATCGACTTAATAAACTGGCTGGAATACGAGCCAAACTTGCCCATACCACCTTCATCATCCACGGTTTGAAACAACACAACCACATCAAAGCCGTTCCTGCGTTCGCGATTGATGAGTCGTACCGCATCCAGAATTTGAAACACAGGGAAGTTTCCCTCCTCAATTCCGCCCTGTTCTAGACGTTCTTCCAACCACTCCTGGATCCAAAGTCCAGTTTCAAGACTTCGAGAACAGAGAGCACATGAGAGCAATAGTCCAGCAAACCCTATGGTGTAAGCGTTGAGGCAAACACAGTCCTGCCAGTTGATTCCAGCAGCGATTCTCAGCAGGATGAAGATCCAAGCCTCTATTTCCTCGTAAAAACCATCGATATTTTTGATAGACGCGGTGGTAAAGGTCTGTAGCGGTCCGGCGCAATGCATGATGCGGGCAACCACGTAATAAGCCATGTTCATGGCCAACTTGTGAGACGGGAAGTATATAGCTCCATTTTCAGGACATTTCAAGTCAAGATGTTTCATACGGTTCAGATTTCCCTCAATCTCTATCAAGTCTGGTAGGGACGCGCGCCACTCATCTAGCCTCTCCGAGTAGACCTTAGTCATGGCCACAAACTCACCGAAAAGAAATAGGTTCTCTGATGCCGGAGTGGCATTGTTCATAAAGTTTGCGACTGTATAGTCTCTCATTATCCGACTATTATTTCCTCGTCTTGTCCAGCACGCAATGAGAGCGGCGGTGTTGAGACGATGCGACTCGCAAAGAATCCAAAGAATGGTGGCAGAACGACCACTTTCTGTGTTCGAAATAAACTGCAGTTCTGGACTGAGTAACGGATTGAAATAGTCCTGGAAGAACTCAGGAACCCCAAAATATGCCCTGCGCCACCAATTCTGCATCTTGACTTCCACCCAAGCCGCAAGCAGGCCAGCGCCGTTAGGGAAGATAATATAAGCGGACTTCTTCAAAAGAATTTCTACGCCCTGGGAATGGATGTAAAATTCTTTAAAGTTGCCCATTGAGGATTCAACATAGCAGAAAAGGACCAACGCGGCAAAGGCCAGCATTGGGCTCAAGTCGAATTCCTCAGAGCTCCAGCATGACATTTTGCGCAGGGCAGAGCCGTACAGCTCGCTGCTTAAACATTCATGGCCAGAATCTGGTCGGAAACCGAACAATGGTGAGTCAGATACCTTGAGCAATCGTCTTTGCGGCAGTTTTCGACTCAGGCGACTGGCCGCGAGAGTTGCCAGGGTGTCAGTGATGAGTGGCGATTGCCCGCGAATGGCCTCCATAGATTCGAACGACAAATGTAAAGCTGGCAAGCAATGAATCTTCCAAGCACTCATGTAGAATCTAACGACATCACTGGTGCTCTGCTGTATCAGAGGAGATGGGGTTAAGCCGACAGATATCCCCCAGGTGATCCCCAACTCCGACGGCTCCTCAATGAGATCGACAGCAGAATGGACTGCCCAGAGTCTATTGTGAATCTCGGGAGCACAGGGCAAGTCGGGGTCCGCCGACGAGATAGTGATTGCATTTGACAAACTATCTGGGTCGAAAGTAGTGTTACAGCCATCCTCGATTCTTGGAGGCAAGCATCGTGAGTGCTTTGGCGGACTTGGTCGATACTTTGAAGTGTCTGACCGCACTCCAGCCTTAGTTGACCTTGACGGGCCCAAGATGCTGCGAAACTCAAACGTCGGGAAGATCTGCTCGCAAGATACCCCGAGCCTCACACAGAGGTCACAAGGTTTCCCCCCATTGCACTATTAACCGTCAGCTGTGACATTGACGCCTCGAATTGCAATCAATTGCTCAGCACACCTTTTTCCGCCTCAGTCTGCACATTTTACACCCCGTGCGAGAACGACAAATGTTGGTTTTTTTTGGACGAGGCGGAACTGGTTCATACATGTTGAGACATGCCAACTTGAGAAATGTAGCCAGTGAAAGTTGCTTGCAGGCCGCACCAGGCTAAAGATGATTGTCTACTAACCAAGCTCTCGTCCCTCGGTATTACGGTAAACTCTCTACAAGAAAGCTCAACCAGCTTTTGCGAGTTATGCGACATGAATTCATTTAGACATCTCATGCGCTGTATCAATTTTACTAGAATCTCATTCCTTACTGTTTGAATCAAGTATTGTATAGTAGAGCACTTTTAATAAATGAGATACAGGGATTGGTGACAGCGCACAGGATTGAGCTTTGTCATCAGTGCCTTTGGAGAACAGCGCCCGCATCTAGTAAGATAATGAGCTGGCCCCATTCTTCTAATTACAAGACGCCAGATAATATATTTGCGAAGCTTTATATCCTCGTGTACCAAAAGAAGTACCTTCAAATCTTGATTTCCGTAAGCCCTTGTGCATGCAATGCAGTGATGTAATCTTGTGCAGAGTCGACCTGTTTGATCTTGCCCGTGCAGTGATCGAGGTACAACCAATCTGTACCATTGTATGTAATATGAGTCCCTTCAGGCTTATTGCTAGATTAGGAAATATTATACCTCATTAGCCCAAAGTTTGTGAGAATGCCCAAGACGTGCGACTCATCAGGCCGGCTACTTGGGTGGACTTACATCGGAATGATCATTTTGTCATGCGGCCCAACTGTTGCATTCAACGCCCACCGAATAATAACATTATACTTATCAAACGCAACGTTATGGACAACAAATTGGTAGTGATTCCAGCCGGTATGTGCCATCTTCATAAACTTGATGAATTCGCTAGACGTCCCAATGGGCAGCTCTATGGAGCCATTGGAACCTGGCAACCGGTCTTGGTACAGGCTAACATTTGGTGCGAATGTTATATTTTCGAGACTAAAGTCTCCATTCCAAGTGTCGATGTAGTTGTTTACAGCTCTCTCTTGGTAGTTGCGACAGAGGACAAAGTCACATCTTGGGCATTCGACTGCACTGGCGAGGGATGCAATCGCACTGACTATCCAGAGAAAGTTGGAGATAATCATTCTGTTAATTTGCAAAGCGTAATCAGATGATGTGCCGTAAAGCGCCATAAAAAAAAATTAAGATCTCGTCACACACACCTTTCGAGATTCGTAGATAGGGAAGATATAGAAATGAAAGGGTATCATTCAGATTCTTCCACGACCATCCATATATATATATATATCCAGTATTCGAATCGCCCTGGACGATATTACTGCTGAACTCCGCTATTTGAAAGAGCTTCAATCCAGGAAACAATCCAATGAGGCTGCCGTGCCACACTCGCCAAGCCAACTTGGGAAATCCTGACGATAATACATCATAGCCAAAACGGAACGAACCGCATTTGGAAGAACGAGATGGATGGAATGAGCGAGTCAACAATCTAGACTAGTCCTCTGCCACTCAGCACTAGACACCAAACGCTCTGAAAAGCTGACGTATCTGTCCGGTCGGCCAATAGACACTCTAATATATTATGATAAATAACATTTCTGGGGCATGCATCTGTTGGGCCAAAGCCGTGGCTGCTGTTATATTCACTCAATTACTGCTGCAATTACGTCGAGCTTTTCCTCGCTACGTCAGTACGCTGACTTAGCACCCTACTCCATATTCTCTCCCCGATTACTAAATACGAGGACACCTCATATTATATCGTAGCCTCTCGTAACTTATTAATGGCTGCAAGACTTCGGTTGAGTGATATAATAGTAGGGGATAACTAATAGCCTTACTAGCCATTTGGGTTGCTTTGCAATGGCGGATCTAGGAGCTTATAACCTGGATTACTAGACATGTCAACCTGTATTGGTACCAACTGGTACTGTCAGATAGAGTACAGTACCTTCCAGTGGTAGATTACTGACGGTTAGATTTCGACTGAGTAGTATAATAAAAGGCTATGACTAATAGCCCTACAGTCTCCACATAAGGAAGCACATAGGCTTGGAGGTCCGTGGGACTGCCACATACTCGCCGGTTTTGATCAACGAGCCGAATTAACAGTCTATATGCTACTAAACCTAAACAAGTCCTCCATAGTCGTACCAAACGGCGAGGCTAAGCCACGAATGCTTGCTGCGTTAATCAAGTCTCTTGCAAAACTCTTTTCCTTATTATATCGTCTTGGGGAAGAACTAGGTTGAATCTCCCTTTACAAACACTCTGGCACCTTTTCAGCCTGCATTAATGATCTAGGTAACCTTACGGAACATACTTACCTATTTCAAAATACTTTGAGTAACGGTAATATACCAGTAGGATAAAAAGGATTCTCATACAGGAGGATATTGGTTTAACGAACTGCGGGCATTGATGATCTCACGGATTTTCAAGATACATCCTCGGGGAAGTCATCTTAAGGCAAGATACAGTAATCGTTAATGAACACCAAACAATTAGGATGGTTTTATTGAGATCATTGGTAATCTATTCATTGAGATTTGTCTCAATTCGTGATGTAGCAAGGAAATAATTGCTCTGAAACACCGGCAGACAAAAGAGGCAGCCCTTGCTTCCTCTGTAAACTCCCCACAAGGGAAGAAGCCTGGCCCTTCTACTTAACCTTATATAATTGCATATAAAAAAGACCTATTATCAGTCTTAAGCTCAATTGCGCTCTGAAGAACACTAATTGGACCACCTAAAGGAAACTAGATGGAATACATTGGTGGAATGATTGGCCGCGTGGCGGATAGTTTTTGTTTATCAGAGTCTCAAGAGATGCTCCATAGAAGCAGCTGCAGAGTACTTGTGACAGATAAAGCGGGAGATTAAAGTTCAAGCTTGTGACTAGCTTAATTGCTGTAAATACTTTATGGCTAAGACGACATCCCTAGTGGACACAAGTGCGTAGCCTGTGTTTCCTAAATCTGGCGGCTCGGCGCAGCATTTAGCTTTAGTATGCAAGGTTTAATACCATTTTCTCAATTTTCAGGATAGCTAATATCTCAATAGAGTGTTATTTATTACCTTTTTGACTCTATTATCTTGAAAACTTTTGTCGCTGAATCTTCGATTCTTTTGATAGCATGGTAGATGGCGTTTATTATGGCCACCCTCGATGTTAAGTTCGATGTCATGGTCTGGGCAATTTGACTGAGTGAGATTGATGATAAAGAGATTCTAGTTAAAATACACGCTGCCAGCGCCATCTAGATAGAGCTCAACTGGGATATAACACAAGAAGGAATATAGGAGTATATACAAACGCCTTATTCTCAGAGAGGACTATTCTAGCGTTATAGCAAAGGTAGGGTCTATTAAGGTCCCACCTAATGGTAGCCTTTAGGTCCAGGGTATTTGCAATTTCACGGAAAGCTGGTAGAATAGATAGCGCCGTGGATACAGATGTGTGGTATTTATTCCCACGCAATATCATGTCCGTCCTAGGCAATATTATTATGACAGTCTCCCATATGAAGAAGTCATCGTTATCGCCAGCATGAAGTATGTTGTGGCTCCCTCCTTTTTTTTTTTTTGCTTTGAAGGAGGCGGGGGTTAATACTCGCTGCTGTTTCCATAGCTTTATCCATTATGTAACACTACATGAAGTTCAACGGCTTCTTTCTTTGAATCCATTGCTTCGATTTCTTCTTGAATGGAGGGTGATATTAATTGCGGGAAATGGTTGCATGTTCAATATGAGATGTAATTGAGAAAGCAAGGGATTTGCTAGGAGGCGGGTCAAAAGAGTAGTTTGAGAAGTCAGATATGCATATGAGCTGGTAATAAGTGGTTACAGTAATTAATAGCTTCAGCATATAAGTTCTAGTCGTCCCGATGATCAGGTAATCAGCAAGTGACTAATATTAGAATGACCTATCTTCTGCCTAGTTCCTAATGAGTCAAGACTTCTAGTAACTTTTCTGCTAATGGATGAGCACTGGCAGGATTCTGTCCAAATAGTAATTTTCGGGATGGCTCCATGATAACCTGTAGGCTCCAAGCCTCGCTAGACTTCTCATACTTCCCGTCACTAGCCTTGTTGAGAGCATCTTCGAGACTGAAGGGCATGCCTGGAGGAACTATGTCATTGCTATATGCCTGCTCCTCCTCGGTATTGCTGAACCCCGTTACGCGATGACCAGCGAGGATTGGTGATCCGTCACCCAGTGTGACATTGACCAGGGCAGCCGAGCCATGACATAGAGCGACGATAATGCGGTCAGCATCATGGAACTCGCGTAGCAGTTGGATAGAGGTAACGTCCGTGGCCAGATCGTACATCGCTGTGTCACTATTTGTTAGCGCTTACACGCCACCTTCTAACTTTATGATGGTATGAAATTGACATATCCCAGCTAAAAAGTCACAAGATTTCCCGAACGTACGTCCAAATCCACCGACGATGAAGATAACATCGAAGTCCTGTGCGCGTCCTATCATAGAGGAGAGCTTTTCAGTAGCTGTCCAAAGATCTTGCTTAGTGTTTTAAAATTCTTGACAATATGCATCATCTTTGAAGAGCTTTACTGAAATAGGATCAACCGTCGATGTGCCCTCTGGAGAGGCTATGGTTACCTCGGCGTGCGGTGAGAGAACTTGATATGGATGCGTGAACTCGGGCTGCATGCTCGAACTAACTGGTTGTTACTGTGTGGCTCATGATAACCGATAGTGTGTTTCTAGAGATTTGTTACGCACAAGATACCACCCTGCCGTATGGGAGGAGAGAACAAAGAGAATGTTGGGCTTGGTGGAGACCATTTTTTGCAGGAGACTTAATGAATCAAGGCAATTAACAATATTACAAGATGAGGCAGTGGCCCAGAAGTAATCAGCTTCGGAGGCTTCATAGCATCCTTTTATAACCTGCGATTGCTATCTGAGGCGCCGAATCATTTCACATACCAATAAAATTTTGGCTATCAACATAATACCAACTCATTTCCCCGCATGAATATATTGTAGTCTATATGCGGTATCATTAAAGCGTCTTACTGGTATATAAATACACCAGGAGGAGATATGGAAATGCGTTTGCTGATTTGCCGTGCCCCGCCCCCCAATCCTGGGTAGCGAAAGAACGTCATCATAACATCATTACCCGGAGCACTGAGGAGCGATGAAAAAAATATCCCAGTCCGAGACGACTTCAATCTTCAACATAACGGGAAGAAAGTGCAAATTGCAATCTGAATTCAATATGTCTCTGATGAAAGCCGTTGGTCTGTGTTTATATTGTTTAATGGTTGAATTTTAACTGACTCAACCAGACATCCGAGGTGGCAAGGGTGAACGCGATGCTCTCTACATTAATCCAAATACCCCCAAGCCCACTCCTACCGAAGGTCAGGCGCTCGTTAAGATCAAAGCATTTGGCATCAACCGTATGGACATTATCCAGCGCCTCGGCCAATATCCTGTCCCTCCACAGGCGCCGAAAACACTCGGTGTCGAATTTAGTGGCATTATCGAAGCATTTGGCCCCGGCAATCACGGTACCTTCAAAGAAGGGGACGAAGTGTTAGGGCTAGCTTACGGTGGAGCTTATGCCGAATATATTGCAGTCAGTTCCAAGATGCTCATCCACAAACCGCGTACTGTAAGCTGGGAACAGGCGGCAGCGATTCCTGAAACCTGGATCACAGCCACGCAGTCTCTACATAAAGTACTTGGCTTTACTAGTGGCAAATCTATTCTCTGGCATGCCGGCGCCTCCGGTGTGTCAATTGCAGGCATACAATTGTCGCGATTAGCTGGCGCATCTGCAATTTATGCTACTGTAGGGACTGATGAGAAATGCGAGTTTGTGACATCGCAGCTTGGAGCTACAGCCGCGTTCAATTACAAGACTCATGACTGGGTCTCCGAAATAAAAGAGACTACCGGTGGAAAAGGAGTTGACTTTATTATTGACTTCGTCGGCGCAGACTATTTCCAAAAGAATCTTGACGTTACGGCTCGTGACTGCCGGATTGTGCTGCTGTGGCTGCTTAGCGGCGGCAAAGTTCCGGAGGCAGATATCTCTCAGATTCTTTTCAAGCGTATCCGAATTGAAGGATCCACGTTGCGGAGTCGCGATGAGGAATACCAGGGCGAGCTGCGGGATAAACTAGAAACCTATATGCCGGAGTTTGAGGCGAGTAGACTCAAGATTATTGTTGACAAAATACTATCCTGGGAAGAGATTACAGAGGCACACAAATACATGGAAGAAAATAAAAGTTCGGGTAAGATCATTTGTACTATTCCTTAACAATACACTTCATCTGCTTTCTTTATCACTCAATTGTAGCGTTCTATTCAGTTATAACACAACATTAATAGCTGATAATATTACACATATGCTCCTACTACAATATTACCAGGAGCTAGCGGTTCAACCTAAACTGCTAGTAGTTTACCAGATGGAAAACACACTTGGCCGTATATTGACTGCTATAATAAATACAAGGAATACAATTATGGAACATTAAAACCCAGCTGTTACAGCATTATTGACCTTCCCATCTTGATATTACATTTAATTTCTATGGTACATTAAAAGTAGGACAAATATACAACAAAAAATCGTCGCCACATTGGAACATCCCGTTTCACAATTCGATTAAATACCAATCTGTATTTAAGAACAAGCGAAGTAGTGCATCCCGAAAACTTATGTTTAAGATACAGCCACCAGGTAGATCGATTGGTCTGCAATATCTCGATCTCAGCTTACAGACCCTTTTTCTCAACGGCGCAGATAACCTAGATGACAGTTCCGAGTGCTGTTAGCTCTAGGAGACCTACGGCAATATCCGTCCTCCGGTCGTAGCGCATCCGCATACCCATAGCAGAAAAGTGGCCTACGGTGAGTATAAGAATGTCGTGGCTGGTGCGTGTGCAGACGTAGGACAGCATGTCCTACTAGTGCTCTAGCTCATTGAGGTTGTCCACTTGGCTTACATTAATAATGCAACATCCTAAGCTATTCATCCTAAAGATCTGAATAAGACTTTCAACGTAACAAAGCATCAGTAAAGCTAGTAACCAGCATCCGTCAAATCAATGGCGAGGCGCTGAGGTACCCTTCATTGTTGACAAACGGGAGAACAGCTCTAAACACAACGATAACCCTCACCAACCTGGCCCACGTGGTAGGGCAGGTGATGGTCTTTACGTCAACCTCATCTAAACAGGGAAGAGCCTTTATACGGCTTTCTCTTTTAGAGTCACAATATCCGTCTTATTCCCCTATTGAAATATATGTTCAATTGGTCTGCCTATTCTCATTACAAGGCGGGTGTAGCCTTCTTATTTTCTCACGCACCGTAGCCGGACTGGCCCCTGTGCGCCTACATACGTGTACCGATACTTCCCATGTTGGTGTCCCTATTTTCAATATAGCCCAAGTTGGATTCTCTGGGGGGGGGGGATCACCGGGGTTTGGCGGCTAGGATTTTCACAACTTCAGCGGCTGGTGCTATAGAATGGTGAAGCAACATCATACTTCAAAAATAAGCTCGCTTGGCAGTGGTATCCTCTTCTATATCTGATATTTATTACATCGTAGCTAAGATTTATTAAAACGCCTATGAAAGGGCGAATGCACTGATGAAGATGGAAAGTGCAATTCCTTCACAGGGTACATCACAGTATACCCTACGCCCGTGGAAAACATATTGGATTTCTTCAAACCTCTTCAAACTGCGTCGCAGCCAATCGAAGTCCAGTTATGCCTCTCGCCACATCAACTCCTGTGCTAACGGCAACTTCTTTCTTGGGTGCAGACTTGGAGACCTTTTGAAATGCCTCTTGTTCTGCTTTCTTTGCCGCCGCTTCTTTCTTGGCGGCCTCGTCTTCACTCGCATTTTCACTCTGTGCTCCAATCTCCTCCTTCTTTTCATTGTCCCATCGTAGTCCCTGCCGCCTAAGCTTTTCCTTCTGGATATTTTCATTTACCTCAGAAGTGTTGAGCTGGGTTGTATACAAGGGATTTCCGTTTTCACCTGCCGCAGGCAGCATTCCTCCAGGCTTGAAAAGCGGGATCTGTCGACATGTTGATACTAGATTGCAGTAGAACTTATTGCTGCGCATCGCTCGCAGCTTTTCGTCTGACCAATTATTGCGATGCGTAAATACTATTCGCAATTCCATCTTGTTCAACTCGTGTAGCGACGCGACGCTGATACCCAGGGTGCCAGGGACATAGTCGCCGGAGTTGTTGATAACAAAAGCGTTAAGCATCGATTGCAACTTATCAATGTCTTTAAAGGTAGTGCGGAAGTCAATAAATAGGGTGATGCGTTGTTTATTAATTTCCGATCTCGTGTAGTTCTCGATCGATTTTCGAAAAAGCTCGTCATTAGGGACTTGAAGGTCCGAGTTGTTGTCTAATCGTCGGAAAACTGTGTAGAGCAGGGACTGTCGCTTAACCGTGCATACTATGCCAGCAGTCATTTTGGGGTCGCAGATTCTGACAACATCGCCAGAGTCGAAAGGATGATCGAAAAAGACAAATATGATACCCGTCAGCAGGTGATTCAAGGTGCGGCCGATGGCAAACGAGAGGCCAATAGCGAGAGAGGAGAGCGTAGTTTGGATTTCCTTGATAGTAGGGACGTAGAGCAGCACTGCAAATGGTAAGCCAGATTCAGAATTACCATGTAAATGGGGAGAAAACCTACTAATGAAAAAGATCATGACAGCCGCAATGAGAAGTAACATGAGCCAGTCCAAAGTGTTGATACAGTGATCCATATCGGCAATAGTTCTGAAGACGTTGTGCTTCTTTTGACCGGCCTCTGTCACCATTCCCACCAGGTTTTCTAGCGAAATTTCACCACTATCTTCCACATCTAGTGTCTTGAATATGGCCTTTGCCTCTGCCGCGCGGTCTGGCCCCAAGACCTCAACGATATCGTTTGCCGTCAGTCCGTACTTCCCTCTGGATACGAGCGACAGCCAAATGCGCCGCGCCAGCGCCGCAGCAGACGTGGGGTTCGCTAAAGCCCGTTCTATGGTCGCGTAAGATGACCCCGGCCGCAACCAGTGAGCTTTTGGGTCATCTGAGATGAAGTTCCCAAAAAGTGATACAAATTTGTAACCATCTAGACCGAGACGAGAGAGATAGCTTGAGACACGCACACGGGTTGAAGCGTTCATATCACCTTTGGCGTTACGTATGATGACATCTTCTTCCGCAAAGGTGCCGCCATTGACCGGATGAAGATAGATGGAAGCCTCGTAAAGACTTATGAGCGCCCTTTGTACCTCTTTTGTGCGGTCCAGGGTTGTGCTGGTACGTCGATAATGGTAGTGAACGGCAATATAAGTAATAGCAAGTTTTTCAATGAAGTAGAAGGCCATCCAAAGTGTGACCTGGGCGAGAATATCGTCGATGATATCATCCCAAGCCATGACATCAGAATTTGGATCCTTATCCACATTAACAAACAGCAACGGATTGCCAACAATAGCCTAAGCAAAGGTGTGAGATAATATCAAAGAGATTGGGTCCAAGGATGCTGTCATACCGCCTCAAAGAAGACATAGGCAATAATTGTTGTGCCAAGGAAGCAGATAGGGCGACGCATGAACTTGAAGACGCGCCAGTACCGCTGATGGGCAGAATTGACATATCTGCAAAAAAGGCCAGCTGTGTGAGCTTCAGGATACGGGTAAGGGTATAAGGATAGCAAATGCGCGTGTTGTACATACCTAGCGATAAAGCGGAAGAGATAAGGCAGAGTTAAACCGATAATATCGAAGAATACGGCAAAAATCCAGGTGATCTCCAGCCACAAGCATATGTAGAAGACGAGGTTACGATATTGGTTTGCATAGACATCATCAATTGTTGTGTCATCATCAACATCGGCATCTTTAGAGAATACAATGATGGGTATGAGCAACGCAATGAAGATTATTATGAACACTATAGCGTAGCGTAACGCCCACCAGAAAAGCCGTCTGCGTTGGGGCACTTTTACAGCCGGCGGCAGAGGTAATAGTGGCTGGCGACCCCATTCAGAGGCGCCAATATACGTCATGTCGTGTTTTAGGCCTCCAGTTGGCGTTGAAGTTGAAGCGGCCTGAGTAGCCTCATCCGCCGCCCAGTTCGTTTGAGGTGTTAGTTGCGCTTGTTCCCATTCGCTGTATGTGTGATGGGTAGCCATGTTGTCTCCTCAGCACATGGGATTCGAGTACTCCCCAAGAAGGAAAGAATCTATCTGATTGTTTGGGGACTGAAGATGAAATATGGAGAGATTAATACTGTATTATAAAGCCACGGAAACCGGTAGCATAGTACATATTCGACCCATGACGATAAGGAGGCAGACGTGGCATGCCTAGTAATATCGTTGAAACCCGAATGTTGGCCCACGCTCGTGCGGCTGAGTTGCATTTGCTGCCCAATACTTGTAAATCAAATCAAAACTTTCCTGCACAGCTCATCGCTAGGTCTAATGAGGCTCGATTTTTCTCACAGCCCTGGCAACTAGTTCATGTGGCGCAACTATTCAGAATTGTCCAAACGTTCGCAACTCACTAGTAGTATTGCCTTTACCTTAATTAGAACTTTAAAAAACGCTTAAGTCTGACACGACACACAAGGGGGACTTGAGCCTGCGTAAAAAATAAGCACTAGACTATAAGAAATTCTCTTTTGTTATGACCTAACTCTGATAGTTACGCTAATCATCCTACTGGGTGGGCACCCAGATAAAAATAGGGCTATGGGTATTGCGGCTCGACATTTCCTACTGGGAGTAACAGGTGAACGCCTATCAATTAAAGAAACAGTCTAAGGGTCAATCACAGTAGATCAATATAAAAGCAAGCGGTACGTACGATCGCCCTTATATAACAGCGACAACAAGCGATTGTTAGTTTAGACCACTCTTAAGGTTGTAACTAAATGTTTAAGTCTGCTTCCCTACAGTTGCTAACATAGGAATCAGATTAAATCTACTTGATATACTACATGAGCTATGTAATAAAATTGTCTGAAAAACGAGCCTGACCTATTCGCTAACATAAACCCGAAAGCTTGCTCTCCGGAGCCGGAGACCTGTATGGTTGTGCTTTGGGAATACGTGCCATGATAATTATTAGGTGCACAGTTTCCCATGCTCCACAACATATATTATCAGTTCGTAAATGATCCACGGACCCGTTGAGAAAACTCCTCGATATCTTGTAAGAACAGTTTTGGCTGCTCCAGTCTCGCAAAATGCCCTCCCTATGCATTTTAATAAGTGACCACCATCTAAACAAAACGAGTTGTGAAGCACTCACTAGCTCATGTGCTTTGAAGAACACTAAGTTCGGGTAAAATTGATGAGCCCATGCTTTGGGAAGTAGAGTAAGATCGCGAGAAAACAACGAGTACCCAAGCGGCTTTTCCTTCGATATTGGGAGAGGTTTTGCTTTAAGAAGTGTTTGTAGAATCTGTGCGTGGTATAGGCTGCGAGGAAATGTATCTGTGAACCAGTAGAAGCTGACCATCGCTAGGATGGTATCAAGAGGCAACGGCGCTCGTTGGTCAACCCACTCAATGAACTTCTCCCCGATCCTAGTCTACTGTTACCAGTGAACGGACAATAAAAATTCGGCGGATGGGGTCAATTACCATGCTAACAAAGCGAGAGGATTGGAGGCAATGGCCAGTCCAATTGTGGCAGGGCGAGTGCCATGCTCAAGCGCAAAAGCCAAACCAGTTTGGGCCCAGGTCTCAGTGCGCTTCATTTCCTGTACCTCATTGGCGGAGACACCGTCGGAAGAAGGCGCCGTTTCCCCAGGATTTAGCGACAGCATATTCACTATACTCGGTTCAATACTCGGTTAGATGTTCTCCTCTCTCTTGTTGGTGTCCTTAGGAAAAGCCTACCGTGAAAAGCTTTGCATTCCTTGTACTTAACTGACATGATCCTTGCTAGAACACTGCCTAGATCACCTCCCTGAGCGACATATCCCTCGCTGAACCCAAGATCAATCATCAACTGGTGCATGATTCGTGCAGCCAAGTCTAGTGTCATCTCGACATTCTCACTAGGACTGCCAGAGAGTCCATAACTGGGAAGCGAAGGTACAATGACATGGTACGGTAGAGTTGCGGGTGTGTACTTGTCGGAAAGGAGCTCCATCATGGGAAGAAGCTCGAAGAACGAACCTGGGAATCCATGTAGGAAGATGAATGGAATAGCGTCCTTCTTCGAAGAAAACAACGCTAAAAAATGTATATCAATGTCCCCAGATTCTGAATCATTAATAGTGATCTTGAAATTCGGGAACTCGTTGATCCGTGCCTCATGCTGGCGCCAGTCAAAGGTAGTAAGCCAGGTTTCCTTCGCCTCACTCAGCCACTCGCGAGACACTCCAAATCGGTGATCATTGTGCTGGTTCCACCATGTCGCCGGCCCAATTTTTGATAGTTTCAGGAGTTCATGAAATTCGGACAATTTCTTTTCAGGGACGTGTAAGGTGAAAGGCTCAGGCCTTCCTGGCATGTTGCGAGGCGTAACCTTAAAATGGCGGGCTGTCATGATGCGAGTTATAGGTATAGGCCCATATGAATTTTAGATGCTGGATTGTGGATGCAGACTCTGATCAAAGCAGTTCGTGGAGTTTGGAACTGAGTGAGAAAACGAATGACCTTTTGTACTAATTGTGTCTCGGTAGTACAGGAATGTAATGATTCCCGAGACCACGGACGAAGGCTACAGAACGTACATTCCCACTCGCACAGTGATTGGAATAAGTGGGACCATATTACCACGTCATTGGCCATTGCGCTTTAATCGCCTCGATCCGTCCACCGAGCCTTCGGGCGAAATGTCTGGCCTTGCACATATACGTAATCCTGCTACGTCCCACCCCACTGCCTTGCCGCCTTTGCGACGTTTGCATCGGAAAGTCCTTACGCTTGGGTTTGCCAGACGGAGGTGATTCATTTCCGTATCGAAACGCAACCTGATTTATACTCAGAGCCACCCTTTAGGTACAACTACAGGGTAATATTGTGTGTATGGATGCAGCATCATCTCAGAATTCTGGGCCGTCGCTTGAGACACCTGGTCAGGAGCACGGAATCGATGGCGGCTCTCAGACAAGGAGGAGAAGAGTGCGAAAAGGGACGAGGAGCTGTTGGGAATGCCGACGACGGAAGATGAAATGCGTCTTTGGCTCGCCCGCCGATACCATCTGCATCAGCTGCAACCGACGTGGTGCTAAATGTGTTGATCAGCAATTTCCAGAACAGATCTCAACGCCTTTAGATAGGAGCCTTCAGATGGGAGACCGAGTTGTGAGAGTCGAAGCACTAGTCGAGCAGTTGCTCGAGAAGGTCACGCACCAGTCAGGCCCTTGTTGCAGATGCACAACGACACAAGAGAATACAGAATCTAGCCGCGGCATCCTTAGTCCTGTCTTTGCCAACCCTATCCCTGCAGAGCCGCCTAGCTCATATGAACCTTTGGAAGTATGTGCTCAACATCCAGAAGGTGCCCTAAGATCTCTACTGACGTATTTTGTCAGCATGACGAGAATTGTCAATACGAAATCCTAGACTATAATGGCAGAAGTAAAGCTCTTCATCTAATGACTAATATGAGCCATTCTATCGAAATGGAAAAGCACCAAGCACTGTCGCGAATTTTGCGCGAATCCTTGCCTACGCTAAAGGATATCGAGATAATCGCCCAGGTACGGGGTGATTTGTCTGCGCTCTTTTACCAAATGCTTACCGTCCCGTACAATGACCTCGACCAGAACGACCCTCGGTCATTGGAGGGCCTTTTTGAGCAACCTGGATCAAATGCTCACCCTGTTCTGATAGGGCTATATATGCTCAGGATTGCTACTTTCTTACAACACCTCCATCCAGATCTTCATGGAAACTTAAAAGGACTATCAGAATCTCCACGCCGGATGATGAACCGTCTGTTCAACACTGCTGTCAGCCTCGTAACTACGAACGAGAGTCTCATCGGCAGTATCGAAGGGCTAGAGTGCGTGATGATGGAGAGTTTGTGGTATACGAACAGCGGGAACCTACGCCAAGGCTTGATTGCCATCCGGAGGGCCATGACAACTGCACAACTGATGGGCTGTCACCGCTCAAGGAGCTCAGCGCAGTGTAGGCTACTAGGCTCAAAAAGAAAAATTCACCCAAGGTTTATATGGTTTCGCATTGTATTTGCGGAACGACATCTATGTCTCATGCTGGGTCTCCCTCAAAGCACCGTCGATCAGAGTATGGCTTCCAAGGAGATGCTCGAAAACGACACGCCTATGGGACGTCTTGAGCGTATACACTGCGTTATCGCATCGCGTATTCTGCAGCGCAACCAATCAGATCCAAGCCCCCACGACTTTGCTTTAACGCAAGAATTAGATGGAGAACTAAAGAAGGCGGCTGAGGTCTTGCCCAAAAAGTGGTGGCTGCACTCAAACCTGGCTTCGACATTGGACCACCCGGAGACACTTTTCTGGGATATGCGACGACTGTTTCATCAACTATTCCACTACCATCTTCTCAATCAACTCCATCTTCCTTATATGCTACGCTCCTCGCTGGACGAACACGAAAACCAATACTCAAGGGTCACTTGCGTCAATGCCTCCCGCGAGGTGCTCTCACGCTTCATTATGTTCCGTAGCTCTGATCGTATTGCTTTCTGGTGCCGGACAATGGATTTTCTCTCCTTAATGGCGGCCCTGACACTGTTGATAGCACATATTGACGGGCACTGTCAAGGTTCAATTTTTCGCAATGCGCAACAGCAACAGACTGCAAGACCAGAGAACTTGCTTACGCACCAACGCCCCGGTGACCTTGCAATGATAGAACAGGTGCAAGAAAGTATAGAGGAAGTGAGCCAACAAAATGGGGACGTACTGGGAGCACGGAGCGCAGAGCTACTCCGAAGGCTCCTGTTCATTGAGGCTGAAGCAGCTAGCAGCCATGCAAAAAGTGTGGACGGCGTAAGTGCGCAGGTTCCGGCGGCTACCTACGATCCCATCAATGAAGAGAGAAGAGGTACCATTAGTTTATACATACCATATTTTGGTACTGTCAAGATAGCTCGAGGAGGCACCATCTCCAAAGCAATGATTACGGAACCCCCACATACAACAAATACAGCCAATGAAAGCTGCATACAAGGTCTCGAAGCACATCGTGCAGAGAATACCGTTGGAACTTCAAAGACTTGTAGCAGCGTACCGGCGGATGTTGGATGCAGCTGCAAAGAACCACTAACAGAAACAGACATTCGAACAAAAGAGCTCCCAGCCGTGGGTGCCGCTGTCAGAGAGACTAACAACACTACACAAGAGTACAATATACCTGATAGCTTCCTACAACAAGAGGAAGATCTGCTATTTTCGACTGGAATTGATGATTGGGATTACCCAAACGTAAACATGGCTTTCTTTGATAGCTTGATGAGAGAGGCTGGAGATGATGGGGGCGAAATGCCTATTTAGGCCCGCGTAGCATAACGAGCTCTAGCTCACGGCAAATAAACAAAGATCATAGACAGTCAGATAAAGTGAATAATACAGGGAGCCAGACAGAATTTTATTCGTGTAATTTTATTAGTGTATTTATGTAGGTAGGGTCATAAGCTTTTACTACAAGTCTTTATCCTTCCGAATGATCCTCGTAATCTCATCCCAATTAATCAAGTCTTTAAACCCCTGCTGCAAAACTGCTTCCCCCATCATGCTGGCCCAATAGCCCTTAGATGCTCCTGTTCCCACCCATAGCCATTCTCTCATTGCTCCAAATCTCCAAGGACCAAGACTCCAGCCTCGCCCTTTTTGCACTTCGGCTACTACCAGCTTTGCATATTCGGCACCATCCATCTGCTTTTCCGGAACCCCTAATTCCATCCTTCCAGCCATGGCTTTGTATAAACTGTTTTCAGGTACTTGATCCGTCCCATTGGCTTCTAGTTTGCTCTGTACATAACCTGAAGGACATGTCAACACACGTACGTCGAAAGGTGAAAGCTCTATCGCGAGGGTACGAGCATATGAGTTCAGCGCTGCCTTGGTCATTGCATAGGGACCTTTGAAAGGGAAAGGTGTCACAGATGATGCTGATGAAATATTGACAATGGTGCCTTTGGCTGCTATAAGTAGCGGCAAGAGGGTGGATACAACGGCCATGAGGCCGAAGACATTCGTGTTGAAGATGGAGTATATATGTTCAGATGAGACGTCAGCTAAAGCACCACGGGTAAGAATTCCCCTAGACGTATTTGTTAGTGGCGATTAAGCTCAGTCAGCAATGATATGAATAAGATATAGTGTCACTAACGCATTATTGACTAGAACATCTAGTTTGCCGTCACTGATTCTTTCCACTTCTACCTTGGCTGCCATGACGCTCTCCGGTTTGGTTACATCAAGAGACAATGTAGTCATTCCTGCCTTCTGGAGGTGTGATATTTTTTCTATTTTTCGAGCGGTAGCGATAACATGGTAGCCTATAGACATAGAGAGAAGAGTGCGTAAGCTACTTGCTTCTGGAACATCGTCCTGGGTTTAACGGTTTGAGAATTTACCTCTAGCTTGGAATTCCCTCGCCAATGCTTCACCAATTCCGCTTGAACATCTAAGAATCACATCGAGTTAACACTGCCTCCAAAAAGCTCTATGTCACTCAATAACATACCCTGTAATCAATACTGTTTTTTGTTGACTCTGAGATGCCATGATAGCGATTAAATGCGCCTCTCCGAGATTGCTAGCGATGATTAAGTTTATATGTGTAGAAAGTTATATACAAAACTACTCCCATATGTCTAGGGCAGATAGGCTAGATTTATATAAAACGCATTTCGAGGATGAGACTCTCAACATTCAATCACCCTGGTCCAATCGCTCAGTTTGGATGGTGGAGCTGCTTACTTTTACACATCTTCTGGCATGGTTCAAGATCAAACACTGTCGCAACCTGTTTTGACCATGCGACCATTCCAGATTAGGTATTTGGAGCTGCTTATGCCTGGGGCTAAAAAGGGGACGTGGTATGGGTGGCTTGAATATTCCGATGCACGTGCTCCATAAGCCTGAAAAAGTATCTCTTGCTGAATCTCTCCTAATACAAAACTCCATGCTTCATAATCCACATTCATGGCGAACTCACTGATGCCGTGAATATTTTATACTGCATGATTATGGATCGGAACGCAAAGACGTCATCAAGAATGAGGACCAAGATACCTACTGGAAGAGTGTCTGAGCAACTGCCAGAACAGGAAAGACACAACTCCAAGCTCCATCGTCCTGTCGATGGGCAACAGCCCACACTGCACTTTATTACTGCCACTCTGCCACAAGAAATGAATAATGTCCATGCGCTAAGCCAGATAAGATCGCATGTTTCAAAAGAGTCTCACGCTCGCCGGCGACGAGCTCTTACTGAGAGACTGGCGCTGTATCACGCGGGCAGCACTAAGCAACATCTACGAGCAAGTATCAGCGATGGTGGTAAAGAAGCTTGCACTATCGGCTTTCCCTGGCCTCTCTCCAGGGATGAACTCTTCCTGTTTAATTTCTGTACGTACCGTGACTATTGGATTTTGTTTTGATGTCCTAACTTGCCCTATAGTCTTAGAATGGGTAATACCGAACGCTTGGACTGAATGCATTACCGAAGAATCCCAACAGGCCTTCCAAAAAGGCATGAGATCGGTTTTTATTCCTATTGCCGTGACAGACAAGAGTTTATTTACTGCTATGATGTACGTGTCAGCACGAAGATACAGTCTCATTTCAAATAGTGCAGCAGAGGCTGAAAAATACCACGAGCGTATGATACATTATCTTCTTCAATGCCTACAGAAAATTAAACTCACCGTTCGTATGGGAAGCGACCCAACTGATGCCGATATGGCTCTGGTACTTTGCATGGCTACTGAAGCAGTGAGTGTTCTCGTCATTTCCCAATTAAATCAACATCTATTTTGGGCTGGTAGTACACGTGGAAAGTCAGTTCGCTGATTACAATTAATCCTCTCATAGTACTGGGAGGGACAAGTGGAAGCATTTCATATTCATGGGGTGGCATTCACCGAGATGGCTGAGGCTCGTAGAGCATTTCCAAAAAGAGGCAAGGTTTCTCCCTTTTTATTGGAAATGGCTTCGAAGTCAATATACGACCCAAGATTTAATATTGTGATGGGCCCTTCTCATAACAGTTAGCTGGGTCACAAGCATTGAAGAATGTAATTTTTTACATATATCGATCCGAAAGGCGTTTTTTCTTGAAATCGCCAACCTTCGGAAACATTAAGGCCTTGCTTATAATGACGCAATAATTGGAGTTTATAGGCTGATGTTCATTAGTATCTGGAGCAGAATACTTAGCAATTATTTCTATAATAGCTACATCTGTTTGCACTTTAAGGCCTACTTTGCGGATGTCTAGATTGAGCTGCATGCGCATTTAGCCATTCCTATTAACCTTTATCTCTCCCAAATAGCTTCATCTGTCTAAGGCGCTGGCAGAAGCATTGAAGTAAGTGGACTGTCATTACTATCGAAACTGAGTTCTCTCGGAAAACGGCTGAACTATTTCTGCGCTCCGTTGTTTAGGGAGTCCTCAAAACGCATATCGGGACGGCCATTCCCATCGACATCACGCCAGTGTAAGCAAGGACTCTACCAGGACACTCATATGCTGGGTCGTACAAATCCGGTTTCAAAGCACTTCTTCTATTTAAGAATGTGCCTCTGCAATTCCATAAAGTGGCATCGCCAATAATCTTGTGTACCTAGTGTAGATGATCGACAGGCTACTATTAGTTGCAAAAACATATATGAGGCATGCTAGTGAAAAACTCACGCGGGCTATCGATACCTACAAGGAAGATTCGTTAGTTCTCGTTTTGGTGGTCGGTAAGCATGTAATTAGGAGAGAAGGGTTTGCATCCTCCCAAAAGGTATCAGTTCTCAATGCGACAAGGCAAAGCGCCCTAGTTCATCAGCATTTAGGTGCACGAGCTAAACTGTTGTATAATAATAATGGATGATGCACGCCTCCTTAAGTTTATGGTAGATGAATCAAAAGAAAAGCCATTTAATACACGCAGTGATGCAAAATGGCAAACAAAGTAAAATTATACGGCCTTGGGTAATGATAGGGTTATAGACCTCAATGGAGGCTTATGAGGCATTCCTCAAGAAGTGAAGCCTCTATAATATTTTTACTCTTTTAGTTTATTTATACGATCTGCTAATTGGGGATGACGGTACCTTCATTGTTCAACACCCAGCATTCCTCTAGATTGAAGTTAACAAGATCATGGAAGAAATCCTTTCGACATAACATCCAGAACCCCCCCATACCAAATTCTGGCCATTTTATAATATCCCTGATCATTTGGATGGGTCCCATCGCTTAATATATCGTTATTTTTCGGTCCACCTTGACTATGCATATCGACAAAGGCAATTCTCTTGCCTTCACTTTGCTTTTGAAGTATTATGTCTTGGAATTGATTGTTGACCCATTTTATGCGCGACTCAACCTCAGTGTCTAGGTTCAGTATCAGAGTAGAGAGAATAATAGTTGAGTCTGGAGATGCACTCCAAACAAATTCCAACATATTGTCCATTCTTTTACCAATATGCTCAATGTCGAAGTTTTGGATGCAGTCGTTGGAGCCTGCATTGATCATAACAAGGTCTGGCATAAGCTTTGGAACAGAGTTCCTAGCTTTGCTCTCTATCTGATCAATTCTAAAGCCCCGCCAACCTTCGTGATTATTGTTGCGCATGGAACCAGAGCTTCGCGATCCAACCATTGTCACATGATGCCCGTTAGCGGTAAGCATATCCTGTAAATATTGTCTGTAGCCGTTTTTATCAGACGATCCGACTCCATATGTGATTGAGCCTCCAAGTGGCATTACACGGATTGTGCGATATGGCGTATTATTGCTGTGTACTATGAGGAGGCAGAAAATCAGCATTGTCATATCTGTTGGAACAGTGAATGTCGACAAGACATGCATTGAGTCAATCCACCAGAGCAATAATCACGAATTGGAAATGCCCGACATTTCGCAATTGATGCCATCCAACTGTGTGTGGTGGATGGCCTGACTTGTGTACAGGGCCGAATTTGCTTATAAGGCATCATGCTTGAACCGCTGGAGAAAGATGAGACCGAGAAAATTAGCAGTGCATGCTATGCAACATAATGGTCACAAAAGCTCTCGTTTCTTTGGTCAGTCTCACCGAGATAAAAAATCGCAGATTTTCTTTCCCAGAGCAAGTATAGGCTACCGGATTGGTATTTGTTGAAAGAGAGGTCACCCCGACACCGACTTGAGTCAGAACCAACCCCGCTATTACGCCCTATTAATAACAACGCAAACCAGCAAACATCCTGGAGCACGCACTGTCTGGCAATTTATCCCAGACCCAATAAGATACATACACCGTGGATCTTAACTTCGTCATCAACATTTCCAGACTCTTGTTGTTCAATGAGGCGGCTAGGTATAGGCTGTCAACAGGCCATCCAACATCCATTAGAACATCGCTAACTAAAACCACCAGGGAGACGATTTTTTTTTTAGAACCATAGGGCCAGCAGTGCGTCCTAAAGGCCACAGTTGCATACAATGCATGATACGTGTTAATAAACAATATTAGCCATATTATCCTACCCTGCAATTTTATTTTTCTAATGGATGGCATATTTAGTAGAGAAGCCCCCCATATTTCTTACCATCAAGATAGCCTCATTAAGAGCCGACGAACACGAGCTACAATATACGCTCCCTATGTTATTCATCTACAAAGGAGAGAGGTATATCTTCGTCATTAAGCATTAATATAGCTTAATTTGTAAACTTCGGATTGATCTTGTTTTTTTCCCAATAGTTACTTTTTGTCATATTATGTTTTAGGTTAGATCTGCGATTGACCTTTTGCATTTTATAGATATTTCTATGCCACCATAATATTACTCAATATGAGTCATAGCCCCGTAAGTATGATTCGGGAGTTCAACTACATGAGCTCTGATATATCTTTGGCTGTATCCCTTTCATGGGAGTGAAACTAGCCCTAATAGAAGCGACAGTCACTCAGAGTGGCATACACACACATAATAAATAGCCAAGCAAGTGGTTGTAACAGATTTGTGAGATACCAAACTTGCATATGGGCAAAAATTAAGGGTTGGTGATAGAAGAGTATCTGCTATAACAGGATTAGGTCCCTCTAATAGTCGTCCTGTTTCCAGGCATTACAGCCCCAAAGGTACATATGTATCGACAACTTTTGTCGTGAGAATCTCGGAAGAGGTGCAGCTATCAACTCAGAGAAAATTAAGTATAACTGACAGGAAACGTCACTCGCACAATTTAAGTGTTTGAGCTGGTATCAAGTCCTGAGATATCACCGCTCACATGTGTGAGGTCAAGTCTGTTCATATCATGGGAGATGTGGCAGTGGCTAGAGAACGCAATTGTCTGGTGTGTGATGCGATAACTTTATCATTTTTATCGGCGGCATGTACACTAGGAGGGGAAAACAAAGTCATTGACTGCAACCACACACTGGAGCACCCAGGACGTTTTTGCGCGGCCCCATTAATCTGCCATTCCCTGTGAACTGGATGCTTACCAATATGGTGGAGCTGTGTGCGCAAGACTGCGATGCTTTTCTACGAAGTTTTTTTTTCTAGCTCACACACTTGTGAACTTTTTCAGTCGAAATAGCAGTGGTTAATGATTTAATTAGTAGCCTGTGTGATTCTCAAGATACTTTTTGTACTGTGAGTGCCTGTGTACGTATAAGGCGGAGGGTCAACTGACTCTGTAGCCCGCTAATGAGTACTGGAGAGGTTTAAGCCATCGCCAGATATTGCCCCCCAGAAGAAAAAAAAAAGTAGGGATATAACGGGGGGCGTAGAGGGCCGTCAATTTCGGCCATATTCAGCACCGCTTTTTTCGTGATGCTTGAGAAATCTAGGGAGATCAAGTATTTCCAGTGGGTTGTCATCAAGTGTTCTCGCTCAACCAAATGGCTAGCGTCTTCCAGCTAGGGTGGTGTGGTTCACACTCGCCTCCTTGTTTACGGCACTAGGAACTTGAGGATTGTTGATGCAAGAGTGCTCCCGCTAATACTATTAGGCAACATTATGACGACTGTTTATACAGTTGCAGAAAAAGCAGCAGATTTAACTCACCAAGATTAGAAGTAGATAGTACATGGTAGTTCGGTGCATAAAACGGGGTATAAGGAGATATATCTTGTCACCACATTATTCTCTTGCAGGGAAACTGGCAGAGTGAGTTGAGTGCAAACAAATTAACGAGATGCGTCTTGAACTGATATATCACATTACTTGTACAATAATGAAGATATGTGTATGATGCATACCACCAACTCATTTGCTAATAACTAATTGGCAATATCTATGAGTGTTTTTTCCCGCTAAACTGAAGACTTTATTTCTATGATAGGCAGCGAATTTAGTGAAGAAAAAGAAAAAGTTATGAACAGTGGAGATATTTTGGCGTGCTTGCTCTCAACCTATTCATTGCATCTCTAGAGAGGCAGCTAACCCGCCCACCTGGTTAGTGTCATAATCTCACCTTTTCTGTGGAGAGCAACCGCGACTCTATTCCTGAGCTACTTGTGTGATCATCATTCAAATTGAGTTAACCTAAAATTACTCTCAGCCGATGCAAACATGAAATCTATCACTGGTGCTCTAAGGAAGTTTTGGCTCCTACTATCGATACATATTCGGCATGCCGACTCTGACACGAATAACATTGCCACATTTAATTATGCATCTGAAGCTAAAATGTTCATGTAAATCCCATCAGTAAGACGGAATGAAAGAAAAAATACAATAAAAAATCCTTACCAAAGATCTCTAGATCGTTTAACACGCGATAGTGGCAAGCCGTGGATGAAAGTTATTCCAGTACTACTAGGCAGTCTCACGGAGATTTGGCCCTACTCAGACAAGCAAAGAGGATTCGTACAGACTTTATACTTGCTTGAAAGGAAGAAAAAAAGAAGGGGAAAAGGAAAGCCGCAAATAAAGGACAATGAAATAAAATACAACACAACCAACATAGACCATGATGGAGGGGTATATGAAAGTCATGGTGTTAACGTTTGCAATCGGGTCAATCTCTAGCTGTGTTCTCTTCAGATGGCGGTCTCAAACTGTCAAAAAAATCATGGTCCCTAGAAGTTTGAAGCTTGTTGTGACAATGATCTAAGGTTGAAAACTGTTCCACTTGCGCAACACCAAAAACGTGATTTCGCTATAGACTTAACACAGGGGATATATTATGCGTGTTTATTTTCCAGTTTAGTGTTACCTTGAAATGTTTATTTAGGCATTATAATTTATTATACAATAGAGAAAGACTAGCCTCAGCGATAGCTTAACTACCTGTCATACTGGTGATAGTCAGGGGCAGCACAAATGGACACAATGGCCCAGGCGAGAGTTATAAAGCCCTTCTATGTATTCCTAGCTACTGACCAGCAGTAGCGATAATTAAGTTGACTTATATTAAATATACATATCATCAAACAAATGTAACCTTCTATACCAAATCATCCGTCACATTGTGGACCGATTTCACGGTCCGAGCGCTCCCGACGAGTTATCCTGTTTTAACGCCACTGTGTCCCATTGCCCGAGACAACAACTTGATAGTTATTATCAAGGCCGCCTCTGTCTGATACACTGTCTTGTTCAACCTGGCGAGTGACATGAATGATATGGCGTCGCGACCCAGTTTCGTCATCGGTACTTTCCTTATCCTGGAAATGGTCGCGCTCGTCATTTTTCGTGCCGCCAGCGGCATTGGACAATTTAATATGTGTCCTCCGCCCGCTGGAGCCGCCACCAATGGTCATGAGATTAACATCACGGGACCGATCTGGTGTCCTATCGGTATTACCAAGGGAGGGCGCAACCACACGCAAGAGATGGCGCAACATGGGCATGGATCCAGCGATAATACCCAAATCGCACTCAAGCACAGTCAACATGACAATCTTGGCGATCGTATCTGTATCATAGCCAGTCAGCTTTCATTTTTTGCCGCATTATAACTTCCACCCCATGAGATGATTCAGGGTAGAACATACAGTATCGTTCACTGGTCGCAGTATAAGCCCATGTGTAGCTGATGCGAATGATTGTAGCCACCGACGCCAGTACACCTAAGGACAGAATGCCCATCGTTATGATCTTCAGTTTCTTGGGTATCTGCACATGGCGGAGCAGGAAAATAGGCACCAGTGAGGTGCTGAAATCGGTAAAGATATTGGCCGCCGAGACGAAGTAGGACACATTGAGAATGACTGTCTGACCCGATGTACAGTCTCCTGGCTCGCCCCACGCCGCTGACACAGGCTTGCATTGGAAGATAGCAACAGGCCAGGAAATTTGCCAAACAACCCATCCCAGGATGAATAATGCCCATAGGATGCGCGTATACATTTTATTCAGTCCTTTCGCCAGCCGGAAGAGAGTCCAGATGATGCTTGATTTGATGAGTGCACCATCCAAGACGTAAAGGAACTGCCAAATAATCGTCCAGAGTCCCATATGGAACATCATGCCGACCGTAATGACATCGTCGTGCGACCCGATGCCACTATATGAAAGAACGATAACAGCAGCATTGTGACCGAGGTTAATGATCTATAATGTCAGACCGACCACTGTTAGCAACACAAAATTATTGGTGATACGGATTGTTGAGCCACATACCCATCCCGCAAGCATCAGCCAATCCTCAAAGGAAAAAAGGCCGAGTGAGACGCGAACATAGAATCGCAAGAGTACAACAAAGCTTGACAAAGCCGTGAACACAATAGTTACCACCATCAGAGTGAGCGCCAGACCCTCGGGTTGGATAGGCTCATATACGGTCGTTGTTAGATCTTTCGCCATGGTCGCGGTACCGCCTGTGGCCGTGCGTTTTTCGTTTCATACAATTCGTCTTGAAGACGTACACAAGGAAGTCGAAAGAGAGGGAGGGGGTTTTGCGAATGCAACAGACGAACCGCGAGTATATCTACATAAAGCTTCATCAAAGGGGTTTGCTTCCTGGGGTCACCCAACATCCGTTTCGGAATCTTTAGTGCCTGGCCCAGGGAGGCAATTTTAAAGCGCGGGCCGCCATTGTCTATACCGGAAGAGGTAATAGGCGAAAAGTAAGGCGAAGCTTGGCGTGTAGTAGTGGTAGCAGCAGTACTACAGAAAACTTCGAGAAGGGGCAATAAAGCGTTTGGGAGAAAAGGAAAATCATACCTCAATTACATATCGCTGGTACCACCTCAACGCCATAGAGTTCCCGTATTGCCAAGTATGCAATTGTGTAAATTGTTTACAGCACCCACTAGTTTCTCACTAGAACTACAGAACTTGCATTGGTATATCTGTGCTAGGGAGCGGACTGAAATCAGGCGATTTAGATCGAGTTCACTACGGACTTTGCATTTTGCTCCCAGCAACGAGACAGCCAGGTTCAAAGCTACATAGACTGGGAATGTGACAAACTACTTGTACATCCTAGTCACTGGCAAGGATACTATTCGGTGCCTCGTTTCCATGAGCAGCACTAAAAGGATTATGAAGGGAAGTACAAAATGAAAAAGGTTTAGCCCTTATGCTCGGTGCTAAGGGTGGGCTGATGACAAGACAAGCAGCCCTGGAAGCGGCTGTCGCAGCTTTGGCTCCGTTTGGTAAGCGAGAGAGAAGGGAAAAAATGATCTGCATTGACATTGCTACAAAACGTTTCTAGCGCGTGAAATCCCTCCATTGCTAGTAGATACTGCGTACCACTACCACTCCTAGCATGCAATGCCATGCCGACATATCTCTTGCTTCGCTTGTCTGTTTTATTTTTCTTCTACACCGCTATTTTGCGCAACGGCTAGTTTCGTGTACAGTACTCCGTAGTCTAGTTACATTGTTTGGCACGATACGGAGGAGTAGAGTCCGCTTCTGCTAGCGAGAGATTTTGTTGGATTGATACCTGTAGCTGCATTGAATACCAGGGCAAACAACCCTGCCGAGAAAAGTCATTGATAATAAATACTACTACTAGTTTTAAACAGAAAGGAGCCATGGGGTACTCCGTAGATATTGATAAATATTAGGGGGTAGTCAAACATGTGTGGTGGTTATATAAGAAAGAAGAAATCCAGCTGTTTTTCGATAATTCAATGCACTTCATATTGGCTCTATCTACATTTTACAAGCATTCTATTCTCAGCCTAATTACTCTACAATTTCTTGAACATTACTGGAGGACGGCAAGACAGAACAGATAGGAAAACATGTCTGATACAACTAGCGAACAGCTTCCAGCCCTCCTTTCGGATATTACTCCTCAGTGGTTAGGGGAAAAGCTGGGGCATAAGGTTAAGTCCATCGAGAATACCTCAAATATTTGGGGTACGGCCAGCAAACTTTTCTTTACCATTACTTATGAAGATGATGGTGCCGATGAGCGGCCGAAACATATCTGCATCAAAGGTGTTTTCGACCCTAAGATGATTGAGGCGCAGCCCTGGACAGTCAGCTTGGCACAACGAGAGGCCGATTTCTTTACAAAAGTCGCGCCCAACGTCAAGAACATGATCTTCCCCAAGAGCTGGTGGAGCGGCTTGAGTGACAAGCAAGGCATCGCTATCATGAACGACTTGACTACCGAGGGCTGCACCTTCCCTACCGAGACTGCCTCGTATTCAGTTGAGAAAGTTTTAAACGGTGTTGAACAGTTGGCTGGTCTGCATGCACAGTACTGGGGTCAGAGCCAGGATGACCATCCATGTAAAGAATCCCCCTTGTTTTTTTTTTTTTTTTTTTTTTTTTTTTTCCCTCACCCGGGCCCACCACGGCATCTAACACCGCGACAGGGATCTGGAATAACTACGACCCAGCCATGAAGTTCATGTGCACACCATGGGATGAAGTCGTACGAACCCCTGGCCGACCCCAGCTACCCGAGTACCTGATGGATGGTAAGCGATGCAACGAAGCGCTAGACCGCTATTACGCGGAGCGTAACCCGAGATTCCGTACGCTCCTTCACGGCGATACCCATATTGGCAACGTCTACTTTACCTCCAGCGGGCGCATCGGATTCCTTGACTGGTCAGCCTTCCACTTCGGGTCCTGCTTCCATGATGTTGTCTATCACATGACAGCCATGTTAAGCATCGAAGACCGTCGCTCCCATGAAATGGAGATCCTTGACCACTACCTTGATACGTTGCACAGACTTGGTGGGCCTAAGTTCGACCGTCACAATGACCCCGAAGTTATGATCGAGTACCGACGCTCGTTCATGACCAACGTCATCTGGCTTATCTGCCCGGATGGTTTGCAGAGCAAGGAGCGAGTAGCGGCCCTTTGTGAGCGCACTGTTGCTACTTACGACGACCATAAGGTTATCGATGTCATTCTTGGCCAGCCCAAGCCGGCAGCTTGAGAAATGAACGCAAGGAATGGATCCCTGGCTAATGCTGTATTTATAGAAATACTAGCGATAGAGTTACCTATGATGATAAATGAGCCGTCGATTAGAATTAGTTCACCTTCCATATCTTATCGACTGATGTATCGACTGAGGTGCTTCCATATTTCCTCTCCGGTTGATACGAACCTTACTAGCTCCATCTTCACCCAGCAGATTTCACAAAGGGCCCGCTAGACAAATGTACACCCACAATACGAATACCTTAGCGTGTTTATCTGTGTAGGATTTTTTATTATTCTTGTATCACAATGCTTACTGCCTCTTTGTGTTGCAAATCCCCATTCTTCTACGTCCTATCGGCCTGGTCCACGGAGTACTTAGCGATGAAATGGGGTTATACTAAAGATGTCGAAACAACCCCCTAAACATTATTCCGTAATAATTTAAGGCCCTCTCCACAAATATCTTTGACATGATACCGGCTACCAGTCTCCGTCCCTAGTTTGACCGAGGGGAAGGGGGAACATCTACTCCGTGCTCTCTAGAGGCTACCGATACGGAGTAAGTCGCCTCGTCGTCACTACCCCTATTATCAACACTATTATGTAAATTACAGCTTAGTTTTTTTCATCTTAGCCGTGATCCGCGTTGTTCAATACAATCAGTAAATCCATACTAATGTTACAGCTACCAAGTAGCTGTAGCGGCAAGTGTAAAATGGAGTAATGCTGGGGATATGTTTAGTGGTTTCTACCATGAAGCCCCTTACTTTATTGAATGTTGTGCTACTGAGCCTTTGGAAAATGACTATAAATTTAGTCGCGCCGTGCCGGTCACTTTGGATTCCACTGAACAATATATCAAATCATCTGCAGCTCCAGCTACAATGGCACCCATTCCTCAGGTACACTTGGATTATGTTTACAATCAAGTCTTGATTGGTGTAAAAGATCAATAAACTAACAGAATTTATAGATATCCGTTGCCTCCATTCGAGGAACTCTCTCACATTTTGTCGAGGAGATCACCGGCGGCCATAGGATAGACAACGAGGCCCTTACTTTAACACCCATTGAAAAGCTCCGCGCGGCCGTTGTTCTGGAACTGGAGTCATCAAGCCTCAAGAATCACTTGGACTTGGTTAACTCCAAAAACCAATTCACAATGGCATGCTATGTAGCAGCCGACTTCACATCATCACATCCACTTGAATACCAAGTCATGGTGGCACAACTTACTATCTTCTTCTTCCATGCTGAAGACATACTTGAGCACAAACCGGAAGTGCTTCGTCGCCTCCAGCTCAACATTGCCACGGGTCAACCATGTGGTGACCCGGTACTTGACTGGTATGCTCGAGAGTTGACACCACGTCTATGGCAGCACTTCGACCCACTCGTCGCCAACATGATCGTCATAGCATGTTATGATTTCATTAATGGCATCGGTATTGAATCTCTAACAAAGGACGTCGAACTACACCCAGAGGCGCCCAATTTCCCAGACTGGCTGCGTTTCAAGACAGGGCTATCACCCATGTATTCGCTTTTGGCATTGGCACGCACCTCAGACCGGAAACTTCCTACGGGAGGATTCGAGAAATTTGTCCAAGTCATCCCGGACGTCATTGTCTTCACTAATATTGTCAATGATGTTATCTCTTTCTATAAAGAGCTATTAGCTGGAGAGACAGGCAACTATATTGATATGCGCGCCCAAAATGACAAAGTCAGCGTGCTGATAGCGTTGCGCAATGTGGCTGATGAGGGTATACGTGTTCGTGAGCGTGTTCTGGCTGCTCTCGCTGACGAACCTGAGTACCGTGCAAATTTTGAGGTTTATGCCAAGGGTATCACTCGATTTCATACATCATCTCCGCGCTATCGTATGATGGAGCTATTTGGAAGCCTCTGAGATGATTTCACCCTACCCAAAATGTGTCATGTTTTGGATAGTTCATTTACAACATGTAGTCTCATTTTCACTTTCTTTTTTTCTTTTTGGTTTGTTAGATTGTAGGTTATGGCTTTTCTTTTTCTTTTTCTTTTTCTTTTTTTTGTTTTAAATGGGGAATGGGGACAATGTTTCCAATGCTAGAATAGAAGTTGGCTGTTATTGCCTCGGGGCTGAAGATTGCAGTGCTTCAAAATGGATTTTTCAAATAGTGAGAAAATATATAGTATATTGCAAAAGCTTTGGGGTTTTGACCGATTTTATCTCGGTTGTCTATCTTTCAATGTGCTCAGTATTGCATCCCATATCTGGGATTTTTAACTGTCAGGAACATCTCATTGACCGTAGTTTAGAATATCTATGAGTCGAGTGAGGCAAACCCCTCATCTAGCTCTAATAATTGGAACCCTGTGTAGACGCTTGATAGCTCGAATTCCACTTGGTGCATTTCTATGCAATGGCAAAGCCTTGCAGATCCGGATGCCTGATCGACTCTGGACAAATTTTAGAAAAATTACCCTCGGTTTTAATATACAGCCAACAGTTGTCCAAAAAAAGTAAGAAGCACTGTACTAATATTTTGGTAAAAAAGTTCCCCTTACAACAACTACCCAATCATAGTGTCATACGCGAGATATCACGATCGACTTTTGGATCATTCTGGCAAGACTAATGATGCATATCATCACGCATTGGATAGCACACGACTGATTGAAGTTTAGCTGAATCAAACCTAAGCTCTTGTGTAACCCTCTCGAATCTGCTTAGTGGGTGGATGACGCTTACGACCCAACATTGCAGTACTGCCTGGCGCACCAATCGGCATTCTTCTATTTTGATTTAGTATACTCTGTATTACTAGGTTCAGAGTACCTGTCAGAATGTTGACAGGTAACACTGCGTGCTACCAAAGTACCTTTCCCCCTGCAGGTGCTACCTAAGTACTATTCCCCCTGCAGGTACTGCACTTCGCCACTACCTTGTCAATTTGGCCTGATTCCAAGCAGTTGTAACGTCTTTGTTAGCCAGGGTTTTAGGGGGTCGGCATAGAATAGCTAGTTTAACCTTATTTTTGCTTCGAAAATTCAGCCCTGGTCTACCTATACATATGTCAAACAAGGTTGCAGAATTCTAGACCGGAGGCGAACACGGAGTGCAAGTGAAACCCGTAAAGCGCTGGCTGATAAGCGGCTGAACCCAGGTCGGCCGACATACACAAGAAAGGCCAACAGTGCTCTCGACAGCCAAATTATAAGTATGGATATCAATCATTCAACATTGAGGTTAGATTTGACCCTAGCCGGGCTGCAAAGATGGAGAAGCAAATGCTAGAGTGATTCCTTTTACTGCATATGTATGGAGAAAAATTCCAGGCCGCTTCCATATTATTCGACTACACAGATGGACACGATTATTATAGGATTCCTTTAGTAAAATAAATGCGTAGCCATGAATTCGTACCCACCACGAAGATTTTCAGCCACTCGTGATCCTATTCCATGTTTGTGCAAGTAATAAGGCCGACTTCATATTACCATTGTCAGATTTCGCTATATTTAAAACATAGCTCTGCCGATCACCCCAAATATGGCCTACCAACTCACTGTAAAGTGGGGATTGGTCGGACAACACTCGGTACTTGTGGCTCACTCAGAACAAGCGGTATTGGAGAATCCTTGCGTTCGTTTCAGAGCGGTGTCGCTATCCCGCAGTGTATGCCGCCGGCCTGAAAATAGTACAGTAATCTTGAGTAATATAAAATCTGCATGCAGTAATTTTAACTTCGCGCATGGAATACTGTACATACGAGTTCTACCTTGTCTCGAAAGATGATATATCACTTCTCGACATTCGCCGTCGAAGACGCTAGCGTACTGATGCAGATTAAAGCATGGTACCCCTTTTTAAAATATTTGAGGTTTGACACAGAGCTGAGACCTCTATGTCCCGACTGGTAGATAATGGCGACCTATGAGCGGTGAAGAAACTGGTTCTCGGAGCATTGTTGTGATTTTACCACTTTTCAAACTCGGATCGATATTATATATAGGGAACGCAAGAACCTAGGTTTCATAGTATGAATACATATTCATTTGGTTTAGTTGGGTTTTCAGTAGTTGCAGTGCCCTTGAATTGCCAAATATCAATTTTAGCAGCTAAACCTCCATTGAAATGGCATCCATCGACATATTACGACAAATATGGGCCGATGTCCTCGGCATCGACATCAGCGACTTTAGCGACGATGACAATTTTATGGCCTGTATGATACCTCGAGTATAGCGCACTTGGATTTGAGAATGGAACTAACTAGGGCCTATTACAAGTGGGAGGCAACTCGGTAAGCAAAAAGAAGAAAAGGAAAAATTCCTCCAAAGCACGAATCCAACAACTGATTTGGACCAGATCAAAGCAATTCAATTTCTTGGCGAAATTGCAACGTTTGTAGAGAATATTGATTTAGCGGCTTTCCTTAACGGTATGGTTATTTTTAGGCCTTCTTTTCTTTCCAACAGAACTGACTGAAAGGTGGCAACACACCAGACGCGACAATCAAGAGTGTTTGGGAGACCATTAAAACGTATCAAAAAAATACAAATCTAAACAATAGTAATAGCATAACGGCCGCAACGGAGAGAGGGCCCGGCCATATCATTTCTGGAATCAGCTTTAATGCAGTTGCATCAAATCTGCGAAAAGCGGGCATCTCAGAAGACGAAATTACTGATATAGCACCAGTCAGCTCCATTCAAGGTAATGTAACTGGGCCTATATCCATGTCATACACAAGTTATCATAATCCTAATAAAAGTTTGCCGGCAGAATTCTTTCTACATCATCAGCGCAATGGTGGCACGGGCTGCATGAACTACTTTTATGAGGTTGAAGGGCCAAATCTGAAGCAAGGGCTGAAGCATTTCACACAGCTCCTAGAGGCTAAGAATCCCATTTTTCGCACAACAGTCGCCGAAGTGAGTGAGGAAAAGTTTGCCTTGGCTCTACTTTCGAAGACTGCTTCGCCTTGGTCGTATCCTCCCGACATTCAGTCGCATCTCAAAACAACCGCGGCTCAGCAGTTTCAACTAGGTGCGCCAGCCGCACGGTATGCTCTTGTGCTCGGGGACGCGGCCCACGAAGGTCGCAATTTTTTTATAATCTCCGTCTATCACACGCACACTGATGCTTTCACGCGCTTTCTAATTGACAAAGAGATGTCACTGATTACGCAGTCGCCATCTGATTATGCCCGTGCTGAGAACACTGAACGGCCCTGGTTTGGGTCATTTGTTAAGCATGTTCACCTTACAACCCCGCAGGAAGAAGTGGTAAAATTCTGGGATAACTATTTACGTGGTGCAGATGTGGCGAACATCCATCCACTTGACAAAGCTGTGGTGAGTGGCACTGTTGAGCCCATCATAACAGATATGCTCCCTGTACCTTTTCTTAACTCCGAGGTAAATGGCGACGCTCCGAGAAACCCAACGCAAGTTATCCTTGCCGCGTGGGCAATGGCTTTAGCAAAATTGTCAGGGCATCGGGACGTCACATTTGGCCTCTGTCGTCACGGCCGGTCTTCGAACACGTTTGCAGATGTGTGGCGTGTCATGGGGCCACTGGTTAATGCAGTGCCATTCCGGATTTCGGTCCAGCGTAAGGAGGAACCCGTCGAGGAGCTATTGCACCGCGTCGAAAGTGATATTGCCACTACAACAGAATGGGAACAAGGATTTGCTCCTGGCGTGGTCCCCAGCCCTGACGGGCGACCATGGGTGCAGTCTTTCGTCAATATGAGCTCTGAGCTGCACAACGTAAACACCACTGGAACCACCAATGAGAGCGACTCGGCAATAACAAAGATGATTCCGCGACCGGATCTAGTCGATTTCAACACAGATTATCACTGGGCGATTATCTTGATGATCAAGAGGCTGCGTGACCAATACCAAGTCTCAATGCTTTGCAATCTGTCACTCCTTTCACGTGACAAAGCGGGCGGCTTGTTTAACGATTTCAAGGCATTCATGAGCGCACTGTCTGCGGGAGATGAGAAGATTGTAGGGGATTTCCTGGAGTAAATTCTGCAGCGCGCAGTCTTCTCGCGGTGGGCTTGCTGGGGATCCAGTGGTAAAACATCTGTTTTCAAGGATCTGTGATTACATATATATTATCAGGTGTTATTGTTCTTAGGCTCTCTATTCAATACTGAGGTAGTCTTGTGGATATTGTGTTGACAACTTCCAATATCAATTTAGCTACTTCGAAGCAACAGAGGCTACACCGCCTATCCTTATAGACACATGCGCTAACATCGCTTTGCGCATTCCGCTTTGAGAAAGCAAAAGTACCTCCCGACTATAGTAACCTTTTTTGCCGCGCTTGATATTTCATGCAGATATAAAACCACTCCTTCTGCTATAGAATAATTTCTGTTATCCGCGTCAACGTCGGTAAACAATACGCGCGGTCTACACTTTATTGAAAAAATATCATGGGTTTAAAAATCTCAATGCCTATCAATATGCATTCTCTCACCTTACAACATTCAGGTCAGACTTGTTGTTCCATTTGCACAAATCGTTGGCAAGCTTTATTTATGTAGTCCTCATGTTATCCAATGTAGCCGTCATGAAGACATATACCTCAGCACATATCTTACTTAAACAATGGTTATGAATGATACATGTCTTATAGGCCACTATCTATCTACAACAACCCTTTGGCAAACTGCTCCGACAGTTGCGTTCTCATGAGTTTCCCTGTCTTACTGTATGGGATGTTCTTAACGAAGAAAATCTACACCGTGCATATGTTAGCCACTTCGGCCAGTATCACTTCGCCACTGTGAATAATAATACCTTCTTTGGAACTTTAAAATCCGATAGATGCTGGCGAATATGGCGTTTCAAGTCTGACACAACCGCCAATTGTTCATCTACATGTGGATATAGAGTGATGGCAAGCCCTAGAACAAAATAAACATTTTGTCAGCCTCAAAAACGTCTACTATCGTCAATTGGGAGGTCACCAATTGAGGAACATTTGCTTACCAATTTCATCGCCATACACCTGATCAGCGATGCGAAAGCACGCAGCATCCTCAACACAATTGTGAGTCAAAGCTATGTGCTCGACTTCAGCAGGGCCAATTTTGGTCCCGCCTTTGTTGATAACCTCCTTGATCCTACCTACCAGCTGTAGATAGCCACCAGGGTGGATGGCGCCAAGATCACCAGTGCGGAAGTATCCATTTGAGAGGAAAGCCTCGGCGTTGGCCTCGGGGTTATCGCTGTACCCTTCCATTATATTATCCCCGCGCAGACACACCTCCCCAATAACACCAATGTCCTTTGTTGGCGCGTTGAATTGGTTTTCAAAATCGCCAGTCTCTTGACCAGGAGGGTTGGATGGCAGTATTACCACGTCAACCCCATCTGGAATTGGGTAATAACCTCTTCGCTTCTTCTTAATGTCACCATCATCTGTCAAGCGGTTGCAAAATATTGCTGGAGCTATCTCTGTCATGCCGTAGCTCTCGAGTAAAGGTAGGCCAAGCGCTGTCAAGCGATCATATAAGTCTGGTTGAGTTTCGCCGCCACCGCATCTGAGAAACCTCAGTTGTGATGGGACACGGCCATTTGGGCGTGGGAAATTCAGAAGTAAATGATGAAGGGTCGGGACAGCGTAAAACCATGTGATCCCGTAATCAGCGCATCGCTGCCAAAAGGCGCCAGGTAGAGAATCCGGAATGACAGCACTGCCTCCAGAGAAAAGTGTTGCTAGCAAGGAGCCACAGACTCCAGTTATATGATGCAGCGGGGTGATGATAATCGTTCTATCACTGGAAGAGAGCTGACTATTGGCTATGATGATGCGCATGGATATGAGGATGTTCATGTGACTGAGGAGGACTAATTTAGGCGCACCCGTAGTACCGCTTGTCAAGAGCATGAGGGCCTTGTCTTGCGGCTGGACTTCAGTTGGTGAAAAAATAGTCGTCTCATTAATATTGGTACTGTTTCCATGGGCGAGATCAATTGGCTTAACAGCAAGCCGCAAACCTGGCTCAGCTCCGCCATCAGCGATGTTGGTCCTGTGGCACACTGCCACGCGAACTCCCAGTTCCATAGCAGCTTGTCTGGCTGGAGTTGCAATAGATGAGCCATCGCCTGAAACCCCGACGTCGGCCAAGATTAACACCAAATCGAGATTCATCCGTGAGAAAGCATCTCTGAATTCCACTTGCGTATATTGTGGATTTAGAGGAGCGGCGACACCTCGTTGACGTAGTACGGCAAGGAGCATGGCAACAAATTCTAGTCCATTCGGCAATACCAGTGCGACTCTGCTAGCTTTTGTTATGCCCATAAGGGCCAAATCAATTTGCACAGATCTTACCATAGAGGCAAGCTGCGCGTACGATACCACATCTCGGAACGATGTAGATCCAGCAACAGGGCAAATGATGGCGGGAGATGTGCATTTTTCGCAACTGGTAGGCAGGGCTAGAACTTTGGTATCAATTGCCATATCTCAGGTTTCAAAACAAAAGTCTGTATTTGGTGAGATTCCTGCTTTTCCACAAGGCTCCTGCCACCAGTAAGTTACATAACATATTACCCCTTTTCAATATCGCTATCCACGTGACAACTTCCATCAAAAATCAGCGTCTCGTTCGTTTTATCAAATTCCAAATTACTCCTGAGTATTAATCTGCGTTTGGGAAGCTTCATAAACCCTTCACGTCGGACCCAATAGCCATAGATTTGTGGTTTTGATGTACTCGTACACACGAAGCCAGCTTCTAGTCTGTTCCCTACTGTAATACTACCGATCTTCCCACAACGCCCCGTTATCGACCCAATGACTCGGTTTACGGGTTTGATCAAATTGATGGCATTAGAGATCTAGCACAGTAATGTTACACTTTTCAAGTATCCCATCCAGCAGGCGCAAAGGAAAGCAGCCGAGTGCTGTTGGCAATGAGTATTACAAGTACATACATACTAGGTAGCATATCCACTTCTCGTAGGATCCACATTACGTGGATTAGCCCCAGCAGCTTCTTGTCAGGTGGATTTCCTACAGAAGCATGGACCAATGGACCCCGATCCTTTAGATATGCCGCACTACTGTGGAGTAGTGGAAGACATGCGCCCTCCATCTAGGCACATCACATCTGAAGTCCCGTTGGAGCATCCCTACCACTACGGCGGCAATGTCACAAACGATGCCCGGCGGTGAAGCCGATATCCCTTGCGCTATGTGCATTTGTGCACTTGATACTCCATACGTGTGCATACAGCTATTTGTATACTCAAATACTGTATGGAAATGGTCGTACGATGATGGTGTGGCAGACCCCGCCAATTCTCACCAGGGGTAAGAAAACATCAGGTCCGCCAGAAGGATCGCCGACGTGTACGGAGTACGGAGGACTTCTGACCATCAGTAGTTTTCATACCGATCAATTTCCCGAGACGGTATTCGGAACAAAGTCCCAGATGATTTTCAGGGGCAATGGGAGCTTAGAACGGATGAAGTACTCCGGAGGTGAGGTATAGTGAAAAGCGTGTGACGTATAAACTAGACGAGCCATGAGGACTCGTTATATGCGTGTCAGATATTAGAGAAGCCGCCAAGTTCTTTGCTTTCCCTTTTCAGCGTTTGTAGAATTTGAAATACCATGACTCCATTGCTGGGCCACACAACTGGTCATCTGCATACTGCTGTCTTGGAATAATAAAAAATTGTAGGAGCTGTACCGAGTATGATCAGTCACAGACGGGAATCCGTCAACCACAGATGCGTGCGTGTACGCCAGCAAATGCGGTGACTACCCCCTTTTCTCTAAACATGATTGCAGCCTTTTGCGATTCGTCACATATCTCGCGGTGCAGAACATGATTTCAACGTTTCAAAATCGCGTGGAGCTCGCCAAGCAACGGTGCCCTACTTGGTCGTAGATATTTTACGGTGACATTTTTAGATGCTAAAGATCCCTTGTAAATGGACAAGGTTTGGATCCATCGTGTTTTGACCCCTTGAACAGGGCCCGCCTCACAGGGCTGTTGCTGTCTGGGTGAGAGGGTCGCTACACAAAGTGGGCCTAGCTGGGTGGTATTTTCCAGTTTGCCCACTAAAAGAAATTCATGCAGCGTTGCAGGGGTAATGGATGCATTTACAGGGCTCATCGGCAGTGGCTTGTTTCAACTCCTTGGATGTTCCACATCGTTGAGAATCCAGCTGCTCAACACTGGATCCTCCATATCCAACGTGCTCCCAATGGGCCACTCGGCCTCCCATTTTGGAGCCGAGGGCTTGACATGGCCGGTGACGGAGCAAAGTTTCGTGACGGGTACGAAGCATGTCATACATACCCCGAGGAAACATGCTATCAAAATTTACATTAGAGTAGTTTGGCCATGGGCCTGTACACTCAGACTGAGAGGCATCTCGGCGTTTAGGTCGGCGTATCGGCGTGCCGTAGGCCCTGGCAAAGGCATGCTGCCTAAAACGCTGTATTTAGCTAAAGAAGAATTGCTATGCTTTAGATGTATAGTGCTCAGCCTGCTTTGCCCGGAGAGGGGGAAATATACTATGTCAAAATACACGACTATTTTGTAGATATGTAGATTGTTGTTTACACTTTTGAACAGTATCTATAAACCTACATCTCTATCTATCCACTAATTCAATCGAATTTCTGGATAAGCGAGTAGTTCATACATTATGTTGCCTTGCGGCTTCAACTTACCATGGGAGATAAATCTGTTCCACAGAACTTCTACTATTAAACAATTATCTTCAGGATACCCTAGAATTCATCGCTGTAGAGGCACTTTAGGTAAAATACATTGTCTCATGCGGAGATATTATTCCACTCATACTTACACAAATAGTCTAATTGCAACGTGTCTTATTTTTAATGAAGTTGGTTGAATGAACTCGTGTAATACACTAAGTGACTATAGCATTACTTTTATTATTGTTGCGGAGCTAATACGTTGTTTGGTGTATAAAATGGGCTAGGTTGCTAGCTATTTGTAGAGTTAGAAAGAATTTTATTGTATAGTGAGGCCCCATGGAGCAGAGAGTGTCAGGAATTGAGGCAAAGGAGAAGAATGATGAAGCCAAAGAGATGAATAAGCAGATATCTGGTAGATACAGTGCAGTTAGATATACAATAAAGTCTGACACAGATTGCATTATAGAGGTTAATTTTATCATTAAGATGAGAGAAAGACCGTATATATGCCTCTGAGTCAGTGCATATGAGAAGAGCTGTCTTCTCCATGAAGTTCTGTTCTAGCCACAACGGCAAGCTTGGGTCTATGTAAATGCTTTCTTTCACCTCTCTAATTTCTTAACATTTGGCAGAGAGGTTGTATCAGATCATAGGTGAGTTAGGATATAAGTTAATCTGTGCTATGTCCCTCATCTGACTGATCGACTGAGTCTCACCATGATAGCTTTATTCTTCTCAAATCATCCGACACAACATCTCTAGGGGGCGTTATTACATCGAATGAGAAACTTTCATTTTCATACTCTAGATTTCTAGTATCTCCCGTCTTAGTATCTTCCATCACAAATACTGAGCTGAGACCATGATATATAAACACCAAACTTGCGTCAAATTATCACCATAGTTATTAATAATGTCTCCTTAGCCGTGCATCATGGTAGTTACTACTTTGATCTACAGAGACCGATTTCGCGCATCGAAAAAATTAATTCAGCTAGACAATTCCTGCTCGATGTGACATACGAAGCATGAACACATTTGCATACAGCTAGCCACTGTTCCGGAGTGTTTTCAACATAGGTTATGTGAATGATTTAATCATTCAGTGTTGGTACCGCTCCTAAAGATAACTATTGAGTACTCGTTGGAAGAAATCATCACCGCGCGCCTCTAATTACGCCTCACCCCGAGGTACTTCTATTGAGAAATGCTAGTATCCTCGTATAGTTGCTTCCAGCCTGATTGATCCCGCGTTAGCGGTTTGAACCAGAAATCTTTGCTGTGCTTATGGTACAAATGCACAAATTATAACACATAAGAGGGGTGTTTTAACACAATATAAACTCTGTCAACTCCAGAGTGACCCTGATCTATCTATCTCTGAAGATTTCTTAGATTGTGTACATATAAGCGCTCCCGCCGCCGACATTGTAACTAGATAGCTAAGGCCATTCAATCATACAATAGTACATTCGAGCTATGTTATCAACAAGCTCACTATACTGAACGATTCAGTTCAATTACATACCTACCAATGGGCAGTTTATTTATCTTATTTTGAAGAAGTGGACGTTTCGTCTAACCAGATAATACTCGATCAAATTGTGTGCAACAAATTGTGTTCAACTATCTGCCTCAAGATCTAACAGATAAATGTAAGAGTGATGGTAGCGACTCAAGGAATAAATTAGAACCCTTCAGAATAGCACGTTAGCGTTCAGTCTAATCTATAGAGCCTTCGGTAGTGATAGCTAATCATACGCCGCTATGAAAGTAACCATTTTATATTCACTGCTCCTATAATGGATTTGTATCATTTGTATTGCTGAACCATATGACCGGCTGTTTATGTGTCCAGACCCAAGTCTAATACACAGGGTATGTGACACAACCCTGTAAACTGAATCTCGTAATGGATTCCATCAGTTATGCCAGATATATGAATTGATGATTGTCGAGCTCAGGTAAATCAGTGCCTTCTAAAACGTCTATCTCTTGTGGAGCTTTGGAAACTAAAATCGCTTCAATGTTAAATAAAGGAGCGTATCAAGACGTTCAGATCTCCCCAAGGCCCCGGAAACATGTCGCAATAGCTAATTAAACAGCAATGTTTAAACATAAACCACACGTCTATATATAAAGCAAAAAACGTCAATCCAACCCCTCGTCAACATCACACATGCCTCCAGGACTAGTTCATCCTGTTGTAAGCCGACTTCACTCAGCCGAAGATTGTTCTCGTCGGTCAAAGGACCGAAGAGCAAGTGGTTCAAAAGCAGACGAGCGACTCTTCCACCATCGAATCTTGGAAGAAGGTAAACTGCTCCCAGGCCCCTTTAAAACTATACCAGGATGAACTAGATTTAGAGACACCAAAGCAAGAAGCATTGGCAGCCCATCAAGGTAAAGTTGATAGCCTTCATGGCGCAGTACTTCATTCGATGAGGACACGCCGCCGCTAAACTCCACGAATCGAAATACAATCCGTTCCTAGTTAGAGTCAGTACAAGATGTGATGCAGATGGAGAGAATACACGTACGACAATGAGAATGAGTACAAGGAATATGATTAAGATGAGAGGACGTATCCACCTATTCCGATTCTTCAGTATGCCGGTGCGGATATCACACGACACCTGGCGGTAGAAGGAGATAACGACAACAGCAAATATCAATACAAAGAAGAGCTGTACTCCCACGCCGGCCATGTAGATCTTTCTTCCTAGGTTTGAGTTCTCCGTGCTGGATTGATCTGCCATGAGGGCGCCGCCAGCAGCTTGAATGACGAAGGAAATAATATCGGCCGTCACAAAGCCTTTTGCGAGCCAGCGCGCTGGGATCCCCAGGGCTGCTTGTTTCGGGTGGAGGAAGTATATTAGGCGGGAGACAACCATGTATGCAAAGGCATTTATCCCTGGGAACAGACTGTTAGGACATATGAAAGCCGTTCTAAGATGGCCGTATCTTACACAACGGAGCGAGAAGGAATAATAGCGTTGATAAAGTCACATATGTCGAGTTTTGCTGATCTTTCGCACCCAATGTGCGTAGAATAAAGCAAAAGCATTCCCATAACGCACCCATAATAATGATCCAGCAGAATGGCTTAGTGCAGTTAGCAAGGGCAAGGCAGTAAGTAATGCCATATTATTTCCGCACCTTTTTCAATACAATGGCCTGTGCAAGATGCGCACACGTAGTCAAACCAAATGCAATTGCAAAGGCGGCATTATCTTCCCAGCGTGGATAAAACCCGTAATTAGCATTGCAGGAGTCTGGAGGAACATAGCCGTTGGCATCAGGGACTGCTGTTGTACAAGTTGCAGCGACTGTTGAGGTGGCTCTTAACAAAAGAGTTGGCGTAGGAGTAAGAGTCACCATGTTGGCTAATTTCGTTAGGATTAAGAATTTGCTGTGAGTGTAAAGAGACATCATTGTTCTCGATTCCAGCAGGAGAAAGGGTTTTATAAGGGAAAGTGAATATCCTCTCACTTGGTGCGCTTTTAAGACCATCGTTGCCATCTTGACCATTAATTACAGTGATCACTGCCTCCTTTCTAGTGGATATTGTACGTGGCTACAATCGTTTTCACGAAGATGAAAACGATGGCCAATGGAAACATACACGATTACTCCTTTTTAGGGCTGAGAAAGCCTATCTCTTTGACGTATGAGCCCCCTTGTGCCTGGTATTGTAGATGTGAACTTGAATTGAACAGGTCCCTCAGAGTGCTTATTTGTCAGAGCGTCGCTTTCGTCGCTTTTACGAGTCTTTGAAAACGACGGCCGGCCCACTTGGCGCTGATCCGGAGAAATACCCTTGCATCATGGCTTGACTCTTGTTGAGAAGGGCAGGCCAAGTCATCAAATGCAAGAAAACATATGAGCCGCGTATGCCAAACGCGTCCAATTTACCTAGAATTAATCAATGTCCCTAATGATACTATAATTTTACTCAACTTTATATAAGTATTAAAAAAAAAATGTTATATCCTGTATACTTGTAATATCAATGCCTAACCTGGTCAACTTTAGTTCAAGGTTCTTAGATGGGGTCAAATACTAATTGTGTCCCACTTTACGGAGTACTACGCTCTGAATGTACTGTTCGCCTGTGTCTTCGCAGACCAACTCTATGTACTCCGTACAAGGTCGTTACGTTTTTATCAAACCAGTTGCTATGCCCAGTGGCCACATTATATGCTGCTGAAACTTGGAAGGTAGATTTGCAGCTACCCTGATAACCCATGCAGTACTGATCTGCTTGCAAAATGCAAAATGTTTTGGCGCGGGACTAAGAAAGTGCTGCTCCAGAGCATAATTCAACATGAGGAAATGCGACAGCAAAACACGAGCGCAACCGTTAGATGGCTCTGTAAATGCCTTGAACTCTTCTTCCGTCATTTTATTTGTCAAGGCGTAGCAAGGCACCATCTCTTAGAACGCTATAACAATTTAATTCATGTACGTATTCACAATTTAGGTACAACGTACCTTCAATGGGAGACTGCTTTGCCAAGCGACCCAGTCTCTCGAGTGCAGAGAGATATTTGATCTCTGCAGTCCCCTGGCACAACGTCCGAACAACTTTGAGAGAGGCAAGATAGTCATCTAGCGCAATTGCGCTCTTTTCGGTAAGTTGCAGGGCGACGTGTTGCTTCATACTACCCACAAATGCCTCCCTTGTAAAGTTACGAAATATGGACATTTCAAGGTCAGGAACCAGTTTCGTCTGGATAAACATCCATCCTCGCAGCATGGTTATGAATTCTATCATTGCATCTGGCATGTAGCCAGATTGATAAGTCAATGCTATGATGGCCGCGTATCGAGCATCGGCGTCAGTGGCTGTCAGACATGGCTGTGACAAGGCTTCGTTGAGGCCATTGATAGCGGCGATTCGCAGATCCAGCGCCTGTATGGAGTAATCTGCGCCGTGGAATAACGTGAGATGTTGAGCGGAGAGGCCCAGTATGGCATTGGCAAGGAACTCGTACTGTCAAAAGCGTCCATGGTCAATCTGGGCTTGCCCCCCTTGAGGCTTTGACAGTTACATACCTCGTGAGACATGGCGGCAACATTGTGCCAGACTGGTTCTGCACCATGTGGCACAGGAGGGTAAGCCTTGAGCAGGAAATGGCTGTAAAATCGCAAGTGGTCGAGATTAATGCGTGGCTTTAGAATTGAGGATGCGGTGCTGTGTGATCTTTTGAGTGTGGGTAGAGGGCTCTCCGGGTAAACGCAAATCAACCCCATGCGATTGCAGCCGCGACATTCTGGTTTCGCCTCAGAACATTTGACTCTGCGTCGCTTGCAGTTGTAGCAACCTCGTCGCGACTTATTGAAGCCTTTGCCAGGCACCGGTTTCTTTTTTTTGTTGAGAGATGGCGACTCGTTGGATTCGGTATCTGATGATTTTTTCTCGTCTGTCTTAGGGGGCGTGGCAGAGTCTGTATCTGTCAAGATAGAAGCATGTCTGGAAGGAATTGCCAAAGGGTTTACGCTGCTGGTAGCAGAGAGACTGGAGGCCATCATATTGCCTAACGGCTCATTTAAACCAACTTTTGGTATTATAGAGATGAAAAGGAAGAACGTAAATGCATAGCAATAAAGTCGTGAGTCAAGCTACGTGCAGTCGACAGACAAAGTTTCCTCAATTCCAGTTTGGATGTGACTGCGCCGTATAGGCCTAAACTGGTGGATTGTCCAAATCTCGGCTGAGCGTGATGACGCAGCTTGGCGCTACCGATGAAAGCGATTACGTACTTCCATTGATACTGCTAGTACATACCTAGCAACCATACTACGAGTACGTGAGTCAGTACCTAGGTAGTAATACAGCCCTAGTTTTATCTCAATGCCATAAGCCCAAGGATCCAGAGCCATCCACTCATGGAATAAGGAGAAATCCCTTCGACCTAACTCCCAAGCCATCACAGCGCAAACGAAGGCAAAAGTCTGCTCCGGCCCTTAGCGCGCTACTATCACAAATAATTACGTCTCTCTAAGTAAAATAGATCAGATGTATTGAGTGAGTGGGTATCCTGAGAAGCATCCTGATTAACCGTTGGAAAGATTGTGGTTTCATGGTTGATACATATACGAAATTGGAAAAGGAGATATTATGCAAATCGATGGTGGTACGCTAGTGCAGCTCTGGTCTGCCTACTGTGCTCATGCGCTGTGTAGAGTGTTGGGAGAGTATTAAAAGCATTCGGATCCTATTAAAAGCTGGGCACGATGGGGCTTTGAACATGATATGGGATACGGAGTACAAGCTTAATCGGTTAGGGGTAGTGTAAGGTAAGCCGAGGATAAACCAGAGCGACGCTTGCCTCTGGCCACTATCGGAAGGTTACCTTACTCAATATAGATTTTCCCATATCCTGGAAAGTCCACAGATAAACGATTGCTCAGATCTGTTGAAATATCTGATTAAGACTCTAAACCTCCGTTTACTGCCGCCTGTTGGTTGATACGCAGCCAAATAGCGATTATGCATATTGCAATCCTCACTTTCGACGGCTACAACGAGCTCGACTCACTGATCGCCCTCGGCATCCTCAATCGGCTCTACCGAGATGACCTTCGGGTTTCTATCGCCTGTCCTACGCCCAAGGTCCGCTCGATGAACGGCGTCGTTATCGAGGCCATGGCTACGCTTCAGGACGCCTGCGCTGCCGATGCTGTCATCATCGGCAGTGGCGCTAAAACTCGTGAAGTCGTTGAGGATCCTGAGATTATGGGTGTGCTGCGGGGCCTTGATCCGAAACGCCAGCTCATTGCCGCCCAGTGCTCCGGTACACTGGTGGCAGCTAAGCTCGGGCTGCTTAACGGCGTTCCAGCTTGCACCGACGACATTAGCAAGCCGTGGGTTGTTGCTGCTGGCGTTAACGTCGTTAATAGACCTTTTTGCGCCAGTGGTAATGTTGCTACCGCCGGTGGCTGCCTCGCCTCCCACTACTTGGCCACCTGGCTTATTCGCCGGCTGTTTAACACCGAGGCCGCCGAGGCTGCCTTGCGCTACGTCGTCCCGGTAGGAGAGCAGGAGGAGTATATTGAAAGAGCTATATATAACACCCAGTAGAAAAGCATTCCCCTACGTTATTAAAACAAATTTGAAAGAAATCCTAGGCCAGGACGAGGAAATGTGCCAGGCCGCTATTTATCACTTCTCAATTAGCGAGCTGCAGCATTCAGTCAATTGGGTGCCGACAGTATCATTAATAAGCCTAGAGATATTTTAAGCAGAGATTTTGAGAATCATGAGTGCGAATCACTTTGACAGTGCTATCGCGGCTCTCCCTTGACTCACGTTGTACAGGCGGTTAATCTGTAAAGCTCGAGCCTCCAACTTCTCAATTTGCTCTGTCAACATCAGATATATTACTTACTATAGGCGGGCTACAGTTGGCCGAGATACAGTATAAGTCTATACCTTCCTGCTCACCGTATCCGATTTCCAGTTCCCCAGTCTTCTTTCAAGTAGTAACATCACCCTTCTTCCAACGAAATAGTTCTCGTAATGGATCGTCATAACTGCCTTTCCTTTTCCCTTGGCCAGAGTATACGGCCCCCCTTACAAAAGTTCATTGGTAGTAAATGGTAGCTAAATGATATCAAGCGACAACTCAAATCTTTCCTTCAGTCGTCTTTGTCTCGACTACCGGAGAGTTAGATGCTCAAGATGTTAGTTCAATACTTTTCAATTAACAGGCCTATTCTCAGGGCATTTATTTTCGCGTTTCGCATAGGCTACATTGGATTCTACGAATAGAACGGGGTACATCGCTCCGAACCTCTAGTAGTCGCAAGTTCATATGGAAACTAAAGTTGCATGGTAAGAAATTTATCTCCCCAATGGACATGTCAATCAGTGCCAAAATCAGAGCTTTGCAAAGGCTTGTTCGCGCAAATATGTGACATACAAGTTTAGTATGTGGGCTTAGGGTTAGGATTCAGATGTTATAGAACAAAGATAATCTGAGGTTATATATTGGGCCCCTTGCTATAACTACAACTTGGGTAGGCATCATTGACCACCTCTCAAATAGCATTTATATTGCGCGATACGTGTAAGATGTAGTGACACCAAAATGTCGTAAGTTCAAGTATTATAATCAAACTTAATTTATGAAGATTTAATGGCGCATGCGGCATGCGGCGAGTGAATCGATTTGCTGTTCGTAACATCAGTGGGTCATGATGGAACCTAGAGGTTCAATGCACAACCGGCAGAACCCAGTGAGTTTGTTGTAACAGCTACAAGTTGGGCTCCAATGGTTATGTTACCATTCACAGGTACTTCCATACCGCCCAACGTAGATACATACAAAATATTTTTATCATTCGGACCACGGCCAAAAGCAGCAGAAGTAGGTTCCGCAATCGCTGTGGAGTTGACATTGCCGGCAATAATTGACCACTGCCCATTGGTAGAAATGCGCTCTATACCATTTCCACCGCCTGTTACGAGGTAAATGTTTCCGTCACAGTCTAATGTAAAATCGTCATAAGTATCAGGTGCTGTTAACGGCCGGGCCACTAATTCGAATTGTCCAGCTGGCGTCCCATCCTCATTGATAGGAACGCTGGCCAATAGTCCCTGACCAGCATTAACAAAATAGAGCGTCTTTGAATCCCCGTGATTATGGACGTGTAACCCATCTACCCCAGCCGGAGGAACAGGGGGCTCGGGTACAGCACTGGTAAGTGTAGTGTTGATGACAATACCGTAGTTGCCCTGCGTATCAAGGCGATATATTACGCCAGCATTAACATCACTCAACAGGAATGTTCCTTCGGATTGAGATAATAGCGTGATGCCGTTGAGAAAATTGGCAGAAGTAACGTTAGCAATAAGACTAACATTGGGTGACCCTGATAGCTTGTTGCCCTGAATTGAGACACCATTCATATCGACACTTCATACATTCCATGATCCAGGACCAACATCTCCAGTGGGAATGTCGAACCTTCCAGCTATAACTGCAAAAATATCAGATTCATATTCGGCGATACCAGCAAGACCAAGTGAATCGGCGAACTCATGCACCAAAATTGCCTGGGGCGATCCAGCTGCCTGGATCAATCACGAAAAGTTGTGGCTGGTTAAGTAATCCCGTAAGGATTCCCCCATTGGGACGAATAGCAATATTTTCAAAAAAGGTATTGACGGGAAATTGGAACACCGTACGGACGGGATCGAGAACTCGAGGCTCTGGTCTAGCCAAAGCCAGGCTAAAGAGAGTACAAAAAGCTAATGTTCTTCGCACCAACATGGCTTAAGATAATGCTTCTAGGTTTATTAGCAGTGTTCTTTTGAATAATGGATGAGATGAGGTCAATTCTCTTCCAACGATGCTCTATATATATTTTACATCTACAGTTGAGAGCCAAGTTCTCAATGTCGGGTTTGGATGGAGTTACTATTAACTCCGCTACAAACCAGAACTGAGAACAGGTGGTGAATTTGATCTCCGATGAGAAAACTCTCATATCGCCGATCAAGAATATTTCATGTTCACAATTACTGCTTTTTAGGAAGCTTTATCTATTATGAACAAGGAAAAGGGGTTAGTAGTAGAACAGACTATATCAATTTGGCAAAGACCTCTATACTATCCCGTAAAGCATCTATACTGTATGAATAAATTAATTCATTATGGAAGGCAGATATAGGCTTCTCAATACTGTGCCTGATGCTAGCAACTTGTCTATTTTTAAAGTAACGTTGCAATACGAGACCCTTATTTAGCGCCATAGGATACTTTGATAAAGATAGCAAAGGTTATCTATATATATGGAAGTAACACCTCTTCCCAGATCAATTCTTATAAGATTCTACTTGACTCGTATATCGGTGTGACGTCCTAATCCCTATTCCTAGTATAGGGTAAGGGTTCCTAAGGTAATAAACCTAAGTTATAGGTTTATATTAGCAGAGAGGATAAAGGGTAGCTTTTAAATAGTTATAATTATAAGTATATAAAAGTAAAATAAAAGGTATAACTTATATTTAATTTTAATACTTTATTAATAACTAACTATTTAAACTATTTAAATAATTATAATAAAGTAAACTTATATATTTAATTATTTTAAGTAGTTTATAACGTAATATCTCTTTATATTAGGTAAGCCTATAACCTTACTGTTAAAGTTTACTTCTTTATATTATATATACTAGAGTAATTTTAAAATCTTTAATTTTAATTAGTTATTATTTTTATATTTTACTTAAAGAGTATATACTTTTAGTTAAATTATAATATAATATTTTTTTTTATTAGTTTTACCCTTAAAGTTTATATATAATATATTAGGCTTTTATATTAATCCTTAAATAAATTCCTTTTTTTTTTATTTTTAATAATACTTTATAATATTATTAAATAAAGTTAATAGTTTTTTATTATTAAAAAATCTATAAAAAATTATAAAATAATAGTATTTATAATTAAAACTATTAGATTTTTTATTATATTTTATTTATATTATAAAATTAATAAATTATTTTATAAAATAGTATTTAAATATAAAAGGTATAAAGAGTATATATATTATAATTATATTTATAATAAAAATAAGATTTTATTAATTAATAGTAAATAATTTTTTAATTTTTACTAGTGTTTTTTTATATTAATTTTATAGTGTAATATTTAACTGCTGAAAAAGAGTATATAAACGCTAAAGAGTATTAAATAAAATAAAAACTATTATAGTAATAGTAATAAATAATATTATTAGTTTAATAAATAAATAAAAAGTTTATACAGTTGGTTAAACTATAGAAGTAGTGTAAATAAATTAATATTTATAAAGAGTAAATGTTTTACAGGGGTATTTATTCTTTAAATAAATTAAATAAAATAAAATAAATTAAGTTAAAGGCAGTTATTAATATATAGGCCTTTAGTAGGGTTAATATAATTAATTAAAATATAGTTTTTAGTAATATAATCTAAGGTTTTAATAAAACTATTTTATTAGTTTTTAAAAGTTAAAGCTTTTAATAGGTTTTTAAATGTTATAAGTAGATTTATACCCTTTTTATTAAATTAAGTATTTAATTTTATTATTATATTTTAGGTTTTAATATATAGTAAATATTTTTTTTATATTTTAGTTTTTTTTTTCTTTTAATATTATAATTTTATTTAAAATTAGTTTTTTAATTTTTTTATTAATTTATATTTTTTTTAGCAGTAATATATAAAATACTAAGTATTTTAGTTTTATATTTTTAAGTATTTTAAGTTTATAATTAATTTTTTTAATTTTTTTTAAAATTTTAAATAGTTTAATTTTCTTAAAGTTTAATTTATTACTTAATTAATTTATTTTAATATTTAGTATTTTATAGTTTTGTAAATATTAAATTAAGTAGATTATATCTCCTTTTTAAAAAGTTAATTTTTTAATCTTATTTTAATTTATATAGTATTTTATATATTCCTATATTAATTTAAATTAAGTGTATAGTTCTTTATATAAGTTAATTATAAGTTCTATTTATATTTATATTTTATTAATATTTAATCTTTTAAAAAAGGGTTTATATATTAAAGATATATATTTATAAAATATATAAAATAATATTAATTTAGTAAATTTAAATTCTATACTATTATAATAAAGTTAAATAAAGGGTAACTTTTCAGTTTAATTATTTTATTTTAGGTTAATATAATATTATAAATATTATTTAATAATTTAGTTTATCTTTTTTATTTATTTATTTATTTATAA